TCTCAGGGCGAATCTGCGCAGCCTGCCCACACGACCCAGGGTGCATATCCTTCCATGACCCAGCTCTTGGATACCGGCATTGACTGGGATCCCTTTGGGCTGAGCGCCAGCATGGCCTTCCCGTCTCAGTTCTCTTTCGACACGAGCAACATGCGGTAACACTATGCCCCACGCCAACCAGGAGTCATCAGCAGGGTCCCTTGAACAGGAACCGACGAAGTCCGAGACTCTACTCACTAGGTGACAAGGGGGAGAGGGCTTTTCAAATGTTCTATCACGGCTCTTGCGGCCAATGTTTTATTGCAAAAAGAAGAAAAAGTAATCATGTGAAACGGGAGGTTGCGGCGAGCGAAAAACTCGATACCCGCAACGATACGACATCAGCATTCGGAAGGCGAGATTGGTTTTTTTTTTGGGACGAAGCATATAGCAGCGTCCGTAATCACAACAAAGCGAAAGGGGGAAAACAAAACTTTTTTTTCAAAGATGGCTTCAATACCCGCGCCGAGCGGTCATCTACGGGGAAAATGCGACCACGACATAAAAAGTACAACACCAAACTGTTTTGGTTTCTTTCGACAATAACGGACATGTCAACTGGGCGGCGGAAATACCCCACGAGAGGTTAGGCGGCCTGCAGTACTTGTCTTTTTTTGCTTTCATTATAGGGACGGGCTACGGAGGAAGCCTAGTCATTTGCTTGCTTTAATGGCGTTTTTTTTCAACATCACAGTCGATGATGGCATGGGGGAACATGGAGGAACGAAAAAAAAGTTTTTCTTCTTTTCTTTTCTATTTTATTGGCTTCAAAAAGTTACATATTTTGTCTTGCTTCGGTCTCGGTGCGTCTGCTCCCAGTGTGAAGTGGCTCTTTGTCATCCGGGCGATGGCTCTTCGACAATAGCTCGTCGTCGTCAAGGGAGGGGAACCCCGACGCGAAGTTGAGATCGGCCGCCGGCGAAAGAAGTGGGGCACGGGTTTCCAGGACCGAAAAAGGAGGGGGGGAGGGCATTGCGATATCCACGCCCTCCATCACAGCCCGGTGCGGGCATCGGGATCGATTCCGCGCCGATTCCTGGGCTAGGGTTGAGTCACTGGCCGAAAGAGGCCTTGGCTTGGGTCTGTTTTTGTTCGATACTGTACGTTTATAGAAATGAAACATCACGAGCAAGCAATGAGAATTGCGTAGCTGCCGTTTCTGACAAGTGATTGGTTTATGTTGACTGGGCCGGCCTGCATATTTGGTACTATCTTCGTCACGTATGCTGAGTGCTTCGCAACCCGGGTCATATGACGCCTGCCTGTGCCGGGGGGGCTTTAGGTAATGAGCTAGGTATCCCGGGAGCTTGACTCGACGGGCGGGCTGGGCGAGTCCGAGGCCCGGGGGGGTTTGCAAGATGCGAAAGTTCGGGGACTCCCTTTTCCCGGATTTCCTGTACATATGAAGGCTCGGCTTTGTTGGACGACACGTGGAATGAGGGTGTGTGTGTGTGTGTGTGTGTGTGTGTGTGCGATGGGCCTGGGCATGAAGCTTGTGTCTTCCCTCCTGTGTCCTGCAGCGTAACGAGATTTGTCAAGACGAACGAGCAAGCCCCTTCCGATCGAAGGAGGGATAGACGTAGGTCTGGCCAACCCGTACTACCACTCGTTGCTACCACCTGCGTAATCGAGGCTTGGCCGGGTTGCGTTATGCGCGCTCCCGGATCTTTGTTGGTCATGAAATGTCAGAGGTGCCTTTGCAAAACCGATCTACCGTGGCAGGTGTAACTTTGGCTTTTTGGAAGACGACCCAACAGGCCAATTGGAACGTCCTAACCCGCGACGTTTAGTAAGAGTTATGTCTGGGGTACTGGAGCCCGGCAGGGAATACAACGTACCTGAGGCAGGCTCCCATCAGTGAACGATCGGGGTCCGGAGTCGGGCTGGAAAAAGGGGAGGGGGGAGGGGTTGGTGTCAAGGCGTGTGAGGTGACGTGACGGGGGACCGGTATTTACACTAGTGTAGCACGTCGGCGTGGTGTGCGTGTAAGAAGCCGTGCCTGACGGCGGCCCCAGTCCCCGGATGGGGACCTTTGCGAAGAGAGAAAGACCAACAAGAATCCGGGGACCCCGTTTTGTTTGATTGATTGCATTGCTCTCCCGTCGAAGCCGTGCGCAGGACTCGGGGAGGGAAGTCGATGGGTGGGCTGCCCGTTTGTCGTGACGGGGGGAGGTGGGGAGCAATCACCTAATAATTATGTTTAGGATGGAAGGAGAGCCACCAGCCCGACGGGGAGATGGATCTTTGGAGAGAGGGACAGAGTTTCGGTCCCACCGTTGGCCTTTGGGAATTACGTAAGTGGGACTTTGTTCTGTGTCGGGTGCGTTGGAAGAGGAATACGAATATGCGAGGCGTGAGGGGGTTTATCCCCTTTGGAGGCGATGGATGGATGGAAGGAGGCTTCCTTTGGCTCGTTGGAGGTCACTTGTGTGGAGCGGACCAGGAGGAAGAAGAGCGAGAGGAGACGGGAGCTGAAGCCCCGTTGGCCGGCGGCCGAGGGTCGGGGCGGCCGGGCTGGTGGAGATGAGGTTTCGGGACGGTGGTTTTGAGTTTTGATTCTGGGCCTGGACTGAAGATGGCTGGCTGGGCGGAGGGGTTGCCGGTTAAGGATTGGGAGTTACGCGGATTGCTTGGCTACCTTACGGCAGACCAAGAGATGTGATAAGATTGAGCGGTGATGGTTCTGCACGGAGATCGTGACGTCGTTGGAACAAGTTTGTCTAGGAATCAGGCAGGAAAGAGTATGGGTTTGTCAGCTTCTGGTCTAGGCCTTCAGATGACGGGCCGAGTGGTCTGAGCCAAGAGAATCAATCAAAGGCTCTCCGAGATGATGTCCTTGGCTTTGGTGATTGGGATTGCATTGTCGACGTCACCCAAGACAGATGGATTAGGGCATACCGTTTGCTCTGCCTTTCTCGAATGTGCTTGTCTTGACTTTACCGAGGACTCTAGAGTTGACATGACGTGGAGGGACTGATGAGAAACTGTGACGTTTCAAGGACCGTCGACATGCTTGGCTTGGTTGGAGTGTTTGCCGGGCCAATGCTGTGTTTCCGAATTATTAGGAAACTCTTGTTGTTTGTATCTAACAGTATTGGACAATGTCCCTTCGGAGGCATGGCCATGGAATATGGAGGTCAGATTGCTTTCTGCCTTGACGTTGTTCCCGTCAGGTCGGTTCTCTGTCAGAGGCTTTTAATAACGAGGAAGAGCGCATATTGAGTGTCATTGTATAAATAGGCTTACACAAACACCCTCCTATAGCTATGGAGTTGGCGTGTACGATTATTCTGCCTTGCGAGACCTCTCACTGTTGAGTATCTGATGGTCCCATTGCAGTTTCGATAAGTTACTGTCCTTACTTTGAGCCCATTCGAAACAGTCATCCTCCCTTGCAAAAGCCACCAGCCTATCCGCATACAATAATGGGATTTAATCCGGTATGTTGTCATAAAGAAACGCTGGATATGACCCTTCTTGTCCTGGAGAACGTTTCACTGAATCAAAGTTCAGTCTTACGCTTGATGCTTATACCATGTGTCAAAAAACGTAGTATAAGGTCAAGACACTCGGGGGTGAAGTATATGGTAAGATGGCGACTCAATGGAGCGGCGAACTTCGTGGCTCAAGCGTTGCTTCTCAAGGCATCTGACTGCTGGTTTCGGGGCTTTACATGCTCACCTTACTTCCCACCTTGACTCTTGCTTATCTTTTGTGTTGACAGTCTGGGTTATCTCAACTCTCCCTCAATATGCATGGTGGGGCTTGTCAAGTGAGGCGTCACCTAGGAGTCATGACTGCATGTGATGTGTAAGAAGCTGTTCACGGCAACTGCTCACTTCAGCTAAAGCGGACGCCTTTATTGAGCTTGCTCAGTACCAGTTCTGGAGCATCTCTCCTTAGAAATAACGCTCGAGCTTATGTGAAATTGTGGCCCATGAGAGAGACTATAGTCAAGAGTACATATTACTAGGTTGCTTGGAGGCACGTTGATGGGAAGGTTGACTGTAACCGGGTTCGCATCTAATGAAGGAAAGAAATAATAAACTGTAGATCATCTATCAACCAACCTTTCAGTCAATTGTTTTTCTTTGTCCACTCCTGACGAAATGAACCTCTGCTTCTATGTTGCACATTATTACTCCAGGAACATAGGATCGATGGGAGCCCCTCCATCCGGCTATGGATACATATGTAGGCAGAAATGAGGTCGTCGGTGTGTGCTTTGGAGTCCTCAGATTGCTTCTTCATTCAGAGTACAACACTCCATGGACAGCAGCAAGAATGGGGGATGGTGAGAGCTGGGAAGTATTTGATGGTAGCAGCATAATGACCTGTGTTAGAACATTAGACATATTCGCAGATTGGACGTGTCCCTTTTATGGCGTTAAACAAGAATGCCATGCATGGGCGTCATAACAAAAACACGTTTGATTCTCGCCACAGCTTGAACACAAGGTAAACACAAGTTTAGGCTATGAGGAGGTATAAATAAACAAACACGGCTCAATGGTTAAGGCCAAGATTCAGTCTCCTGGCTGCCGTTTGACTCCTACTGTCTGGCCACCACTCCCGTACGGCGCTATTGCTTGTCACTACTTATTATTCCCCAAGCGTGCTCTCATAGAGGCGCCGTGAGAAATGATAAAATGATTGAAGCCCAAACGAGGCGAATTGTGAGTTGAAGGCAACAGTCTTTGGATAAAAGGGAAATAGGAGTGTGAAACGTATGGGTCGCGACTGCCTTGCCTGGGCGATGGCTTCACCCACGCGCCTTTCCACATAGGCAACTTCTACATAAAAACCCCTGCCTATCGGCTTGGTAAAACTCTCTCGAATTTTTCCTCTGTATTGGTCTCAATTAAGACCGACCAACGACAGAGATCTTCGCGTCACTTCCTCATTTGCCCACCTTCCACCTCAATACAAAAATACCATCACCAAAACCCGTTAACCTCAACATGAAGACCAAACTCCGCGCCTCCGACCCCGTTGAGATCGTCGACCCAATCTTCCTTACTCCGCGTCCAAAGATAGGCCGTGAGTACAAGGCCGCGCTCAAACGGCTCCTCCGCGCCAAGGTTGGCAGCGTGCGCGAGGAGGACAAGCCGCTGCTCCAGGCGGTCATGCCCACGCTCATCCGAGCAGCCAACGACCCGCTGATGCCGGACCCGGACCGATTCTATCAGGACCCGGAGTACTCGCCTGACTACAACAGCGTCTTGCGGCTGGTGCAGCAGTTGCGGGCGTGGTATGGTCCTAGGGCGCATTTTCATCGATGAGGGAATGGTGAACTCGGCAACGTGGAGTTCGCGATGGTCCAGTCAGTCTTTCTCAGTAAATTTGGTCTTCAGGTTCATGTGCTGATTAAACATTCTGTTTGGCAGTCTGCAAGGGGAGTCAGATTCTGTAGTGGGCAGTTACGACATCAATAGCGGCGAAAAGGGGCAGGCGCAGTAGACGAGGTCGTGGGGTCGATAAACATGGGTTATAAACGTAATAAAAACATCACGATACCTAAAGAAAGCGAGTCACATGATTAATTCAGAAACTTCTTGGCCTTCAATGCAATTGAATGAAAGACGTGGTGGTGCCAGTTCAATACTACACCGTCCGCCCATCCTCAATCCTAGGAGGTGCTGACGCTAAACCTCACCACGAGCAAGTTTTCCATTGCTCCTCCACGTTCTCAAAACACCAGACCCAAGCCGAAAGAAGGGGTGTGGGATATTTAATACCAAAAGCCCTGGGCATTCTTCAACAACAGCCTCAGTTTTCGAAGGGATGGCTTGAGGCAACGGGGCCAGATCCAGCGCTGAGTGCGGCGGAGGTGAGTTCATGTTCCGACCTGTTCCAGCGAAGCCTTTCTTTTTGTACCTTTTCTTAGTTTCTCGACGCGTATCCACAGTATTATACATGTTCTTTGTTTAAGCATCCGTGTATGATGGGATGTACCTCGTGGTGCGGTGCTGTCGGCGGCGGGACTGGTCTGGTGTCGTCGGGTCGAACTGTGGGTACCTTCCGTCCCGTCTCTCGGGCCCCACCGCGCGACCGGCCCCGCGTGCGTGAGTGCATCGTGCCTTCCTGAGGTGGCAAGGGGAAGTTGGTCAATGGGTCATGTAGGTAGGCCCTTTTGTTGTCGACGGGGGTCGATCTCGGGGGCCGAGGTTCGAGTCTTCCCTTTTGTCTTTCTTTTGTAGTTAACGTCGTTGATCATTTACTATTCGCTTGAAACATGCAATATAAAATACACGCTGCAGCTCCTTTCATCTCGCCGTCTTTTACAGCCGGCTCGACTTGCCCTCATCCATGATCGCGCCACTCATCATAGGAATCTGCTGCGCATCCCGCCCCAAGACTAACTCCCGCCCGCCTTTGGTGGTCCACCATGCGACGCCAATCGTGGCCCTTTCGACGTCCATCTCGCCGCTGACCAGCACCTCCCAGAAGCGGTCCTTGACAGGCTTGCGCATGACGGGGTCGGCAACCTCGTTCATTGTCTGCGCCGTCAGCGTCATCCAGTCCTCCACAAGCGGCAATGGCAGGAAGGGCAGCGAGTCGATGAGTGTCAAGACGAGCGAGCTCTGCTCGGAAAGAGGCTCTTGTTGCGGCGTAACGCCCTTCTCACTCTGCGCGATGGCATCTTGCGTCTGGGGCAGGAGGATGGTGCTCGCGCCCATAGCCTTGAAGCGCACCATCTCGAGTAGTGTCTCAGACAGTTGTGGCTCTGTGAGTGAGATCGGGAACGGCGGCGAGACAATCTGCATGACTGTCTTGAAAGCTACCCGGAATTGCCGTGACGATATTTGTGAAGGGAAGGATGCAAAAAGAGCATCAACGTAGAACGGCACAAGCCCCACGGTCAAGGGGCCATTGTGTGGGCAGGACAATACAGAGAGGACGGCGCTGTGTGCTGCCTCGAATAGCTCAACCATGGTCGCCGTCAGCGCGCCAGTGTGGGTAAGGTAGGCGGTCGCTGGCCGGACGATGAGGCTGTCGCAGGCCTCGGTGGGCATGTTGAGTGGTAGGTGTTCCGACACGTTCATATAGAAGAGGTCCAGCGTCCGGTCTAGGGGGCTAGGAGGCACCGTTCCCGCATGAGGGGGTTTCGTCTCGGTTAGGAAGGACACACAAGCGTCCCCGAAGCGTGACAATATGTCTAGAGATGTGAGGTAGGTGAAGGTGTATGCCTGGAACGCACTAGCTCCATGCCTCGACGAGACGAAGAACAGGAAACGTAGGGTGTGTAGTGACTTCGTGGCGACTTGGGGAGCCATGGCATCGTCCCTCATACGAGGATCGAGCAGGCTGCGTCCGATAACTGCCTGCAGAACAGCGACCGTCGCGTACATCGTCTTCTTCAGCGTCCCCCACAAGATCGGCCAGGTAGCCTCCAGCGTGTTGATCTCCAGCCGTGCCGTCTCGTCAACGGCGTCTACTGTTGACAACGGATTACGCTGCCATTGCTGGAATAGTTTCTGCGAAAATTCTAGAAGGGAGTCCTGGGCCTCGAGTATGATTGTCGAATCCGTCGCGTTCGTGACGGCAAAGGCGGCCAATCTCGATAAAGGCCCCATACCGCCCATCAATGGTTTGCTCTCGATCGATTGCAGCAGCTGAAATGATGGGGAGTTTGGGTGCCATTCAACGATCTGACCGTGTTGCCTGACATCTTTTCTGATGTCCTCCAAGAACCGGCCATCTTGGAAGCCGTCCTCCCCTGTGATAGCCAGCACAGCAATCGGCAGAAGCGCATTGCAGTTGATCGCGCTCTGATGGAAGTCCGAGAGGAACGGGAAGACGTAGTTGAGCGCAAGCACAATCGACGCCGAAGCAAACGACCCGTCCTGCCTCGACAAAGCCAGATTCGCGGCCGTTACGACCGCCTCCTCTAGCGTATTCCTCAGACCCCGCGACAGCGAGTGCCTATCGTTGCCTTCCATGCCCATCAGGATGCCCGTCAGAACTAACAGATGCTGCCACCGGTTGGAGCGGTCGTCGGCGCCCTTGACTACGGCTCTGACCCAGGCATCGCAACCGAGCCCGCCGCCCTGCCGCGGAGCGTGTGGAGCCGTGATTTTGGCATTGTCCAGCTCATTCTGGCGCACCCGGATCGCAGCGCTGTTGTAGACGGAGATGATGCGCAGGCTCGTTTGTAGGCCGTCGCGGCGGTGCCAGATGGCCGGCGCGGTGAGCAGCTGTGAGGTGAGGAGACCGAGGTTCAGTGGGTTTGAAAGAGTCGTGAGGAGTGTCACGGTCGAGCCGACGATCTGGTCCGTCTTGCGGTCATCGTGGACGTTTTGGTACAGTTGCAGGACCGTATTGAGGAGTCTGTCGGCCGGCATCGTGCGCAGTGGCGGTGCGTCGTTGTGCAGTTGTCGGTTGACGAGCAATCGTGAGCAACGGGCCCAAAGGATCGAGTCGGTGGTGGGACAGACGATAAGACAACCGCGGATGGAAGTCGGTTGGGCTGCGGTGGCTATGATTGACGCCGATGGCAGGACGTTTACGTAGGACGCGGGCGATTTTACCGAGGCACCTGAAAACGGGCCTAAAGCCACACCTCGAGCTTTCCCGGGGAGCTGCGCCATCCCTGCACAACTTCCCGATGACACCTGAAGATCGACCACCCAACCCCAGCAATAGCAACCCCCCAAAAAGTCCCAACCCAACAACAACTACCTACCCGCCGAGCTGTCAACCGCGGGTGTCGACGACTTCTCCAGCCGACATCCCTCCAAACAACCACGCAGACGGACCGCCACGATGTCGCAAACGGCGCGCAACTACCCCCCCGACAACTACAAAACACCCTCGTTTCCCAGCATCAACTGGCAGATTAGGGACCTGACGGACGACCACCGCTGGAGCCTCTTCCACATCAGTGACATCTGGCGCTTCACTGTGCTATGGACCATCATCATCTACTCGGTCGTGCACCTCGGCGCCGCGGCCATCACCATCGCCATGCACACCAATAAGCGGGGGTCGCTGACGTATCTCTGGGCCGTGCCGCTGCTGTACCTCATCGTGTCCGGCGTGCAAGCGCTGGTCGCAGGCAGCGTCGTCGGGCTCATGTAAGTTGCTGCCCTGGACCGCCAGGTGCTAGAAGAAGAAGAAGAAGCAAGGGCTGACTTTTGAATCTCTTCATAGCCTCGGCGCGGTCTACAACTCCGGTTTCTTTTCCATGTCGACCTGGATTCCACTGCTCTGGGGCATCATCAACGTCCTGGTCCTCATCATTGCGTCCTTCACCATCCAGGGTGGTCTATGAGTCGATTACACATACGAATGCTACGAGAAACGATATGATATTATTACATAGTAGAGCTATAATTGATGTTGGTCGACAACGGCGGCGTGAACCCGGCAACCGACGGCTGCGACGGCACGATCTTTTTGATTATCCGCGCCGGGTTGCCGACGACGCACACATAGTCCGGCACGTCCTTGGTCACGACGCTCCCCGCGCCAACGGTCACGCCGCGCCCAATGGTGACGCCGGGCAGAACGATGACGTTGCCGCCGAACCAGCAGTCCTCGCCGATGGTGATGGGCTTCCCGGTCTCCGGGCCACGGGTGCCATTACGCAGGGTGGGGTCCAGCGGGTGCTCGCCGCTGTAGAAGGAGCAGTTGGGCCCGATGATGGTGCGTGAGCCCACCGTGATGAGGCAGGTGTCTACCCACGTGCTGTTGGAGTTGATATAAACGTTGTCGCCGAGCCTGTTGTGCGGTTAGAGGCGGTGAGACGACTTACGCCTTTCACTTGGCTGTGTGTGGGGGGCACAAGGGGGATACGTACTTTACGTTGTAGCCATAGTCCATCTTTATGGGGGCGTCAATCCACGGGTAGCTCTCAAGGAGGGCGTCGTCTTCGTCTCGGCGGGCACGCGGCGGAGGAAGAGGGATGGTGTCCCCGTTGATGCTGTTATTCCGAGTTAGACACATGCTCACCAGGACAGGGCAACGAACTCCTCGGGTGGCAGGGGGTGGGAGCCAAATGCTAAGAAAGCCATGAACACAAACAATCAAGGCGCAAACTTACTCCTTCCACAGACCGATGAGTGTGCGGCGGCTCACGTCGCCGGCGCGGTTAAGCTTGTCGCATGCCGTCTTGCACCGTTTCCGGTCCGCAATGAGGTCTGGGGTGAAGGCCCAGTAGAGCTCGCCGTTCCTCATGCGCCTCCGGTTCTCCTCTCTGTCGATGGAGTGGACATCCATGACTAGCTGCTGCATGTGTGGACGTCCCGTCTGTGTCTGCGCGTTGTGCGTATGTGTATATCTCATGGTCGGGACGGGTGGGTGGGATCTCACGGACAACGCGTGTCGGCGAGTGACCAAGAGTGATGAAGCGAGATTGTGTAGGAAGCGAGCAACGGTGGTTTTACGGGGAGCGAGGAGCAAGGCAAGGGACGTCTGGAGCAAACCCAAGACTTTTTGTAAATGACAAGACCCAATAGGCAAAGGGGATTCCCTGACGGAGAGGTATGGGTATGGCTAAATAGCCTTGAAGATCTCGGATGCCAAATGCCGGCCGTTGTCAAGCTAGGAGTAGTTTATAAGTTTATTTCGCCGTCTAACCCTGAAGAAGGGACGTCAAGTGACCAATTGAGCGATTTGGACCAGGGAAAACTAGGAGAAAAGAGAGCCAAGGAGCAGTAAGCAGTCGGTGAAGCCGAATCGTTCAAGGGTAAAGTTGTCAGTCCGTCGTCAGCTCCTTGTGCTCTGCTCTTCTTCCCCCTCCCCAACAACAGCAGCAGACCAAAGCGCATCCCGCCTCTGTCGCAGTGCCGAGGAGACTCGCGACGACGGTGGGGTGGGCAGCTGCTCCACGCACTTGCGTCACCCGCCCCCCTAACTCGGCCCGCGCTCACGCTTGGCCTTACCCGCGTCCGACTTCTGAACTCTCTGCACTCCCTCTTCCATACAACCACTCGGAAACGTTTCTCGTTCTTGTGTAGTGAGAGGAGAACTGTATCTTCACACCCGAGAAGAAGCTCTTTCTCCCTTTGCACTTTCCACTCAGAGTTGCATTTGGGCTGGAGTGGGGATTTGCGAAAAGCTGGATCCCCCCACAGAGTCCACGCGATAATCTGGACCATACACTTTTTTTTCTGTCTTACCCTGTCGTTTTTTCTCCTAATCTCCTCTGTTCTCTCCACGCAGCCACGTCTTCGGAACCGAAGACAAAGTACCAACCCCCAACGAGCTTTTGCAGGGAGCGCACTCGCGGACTCTTGTCGGTCTCTCTCGCATCCGCGTCCAAAGTGTCGTTGCGCGTAACACTCTCCGGCCGAATTACTCACCCAGTCTACTCTCACTGCCCACGCTTTGATCTGAAGCCGACCAGAGTTGATCAGTGTTGCCAAGTTTTTGACTCTCGTCTCAACGTCTGTGCAACGCAGGTAGCATTGGAATGACGGCACTTGGGAGCTAGAGCCGCCACACCTATTCCTCACATTGCCCCCCTGCTTGTCTGTCCTTTTCGCTGCTTGAGGCTCAGGCCGAGAACTCGACCACAAAACTCACCATTCCGTCCTACCCGTCTCATCCGCATCCCGCATCCCGCGGCCCCAAAGTCCTGCAGGCACAGTGTTCCTGAGTGGCTCGGCCAAGCCTTGAAAAAAACATCGGATCACTGATCCCACCGCCGCCACAATGTCGACCTTCCGTCGCGTGTAAGTAGTTGGCTGTCCTTTCCTTGCCCTTCCCTACCAACTCAGCCCTGCCAAGCCTCCTTCCCTCCCCCATCTTCGGCTCCAGGCTCCGTCAAGAGTCCAGCCCGATTCCCCGTCCGTTCCCCGTTCCCGCCCGGGATGTCGCCCCTCGATAGGTGTGGCTACCGCAGCTGAAGACCCCTTTGAGGGACCCCTTCACTCGACACTGCCCCTCAACACCACGACCCCCGCCTTCACGATGTCCTTACGCAGGCCCGTGAACCCCCTTCACTCCCAGCCCTCGAGTCTTCTAGATCGCTACTATGAAACATCCCCTTCTTCGCCATCTCAAGACCCTCTCCCACACCATCCCATCCTCTCATCGACGCCTCCCACCCTGCCCTCCTTACTCGTAACTAACACTCCACCCCCAGCGACGCCCGCCCCGCGGACCCTCCCGTCGCCGGCAAGGAATACTACCCCCGCCAGCCCAAGTCCCTCGCCGGCATCGCCCTACGTGCCTTCTGCCTCGGCGCGGCTCACCTGACGGGCCTCCTCCTCACCTTCCTTCTCCTGTCCGCGACCTCCTCCCCGCTCTGGCGTCTGCCCTTCTTCCTCGCCGCCCTTGCCCTCTTCCACTTCCTCGAGTTCTGGACCACGGCCGCCTACAACACGCCCCAGGCCACCGTTCACGCCTTCCTTCTCACCGCCAACTGGCCCGCCTACGCCATCGCCCACGCGACCGCCTTTGCCGAGTGCTTCCTGACGAACCTCGTCTTCCCTGGTGCCGTCTGGGTGCCCTTTGGCCTGCGGCCCGCCTTGCTCGCGGCCGGGCTAGTGTTGGTGGCCGTGGGCCAGGCGGTCCGCTCGCTGGCCATGGTCACGGCGGGGCAGAGCTTCAACCACACCATCCAGCACTACCGGGCCGAGTCGCACACCCTCGTGACGAACGGCGTGTATGGCTGGTTTCGGCACCCGTCATACTTTGGCTTCTTTTGGTGGGCCATCGGCACTCAGCTGGTCATGGGGAACCTGCTCTCCCTGGTTGCCTACGCGGGCGTGCTGTGGTACTTCTTCTCCAAAAGGATACGCCACGAGGAGGATCTGCTGGTGAGGTTCTTTGGCCAAGACTACGTCGACTATCGCAAGCGCGTCGGAATCATGATTCCCTTTTGCGGTTAACATGCCTGTGTGGTGGTGTACAACCTCGCAACCGAGCCAGTGGACTGTATAATTCATGTGGTGTTGAACAGCGCCATTCTTGGTTTTCCTTTCTTTTCTATAACCGAGGTAGATACATAAGAGACCAGGCACCGCTATGCCCTTTACAAACTATGCTCGTTACGAGCTTGATGCAGACGACCACGCTATCTGTCTGCTCACGCTACCGTATTTTGCCTGCCAAGCGTAAAAGTACATCAAGGCAGCGAACGGCTGGCCCAGAATGGTGAAAGAAACCCAGAAGATGCAGTTGCCAAGCATGCGGCCTGTTGGGGTCTGCATCTTCTCGAGGGGAGTGGTGATGGCGATCAGAGGAAGTTGTAAGAACATGCCGGCGAAAGCAACACCTGGTGTTGATTAGTATCTGTTTTACGGAATTTGCAAAAAAAGTTGACGTACCAATAATGTTGTGAGTTGGGATGCCCACGAGTACCTCGTGGAGAACTGCCGAGGCGAAGAAGACTGCCAGCTGGGCAGCCCTGGGACTCCATCCTCGACCGATCAGGGGTGAGTAGACGTGACGCTTGAAGTACTGGTACACAGGCTTGTTCCAGAGACGCCAGTACGCACCCAGACTTTCGCTGTTCCACCAGTCCTCGTAGAAGCACCGGTCGCCAAAGCAAGTCACTTCCGCAAGTGCGTTGAGAAAAGACTGGAACAGAGCGAAGAATCCAGCGAGCCAGATGACCAAGGAAATGGTTGAAAGCTTCATCAGCCGCTCAAGAATCTTCGGGACATCCAGGGACGCGATCTTGTCCAGAGAGTTAATCAAGACCGGGGCGGCGTACTGAGCACTGGCGAACCAGATGAAGACGCCCAGACCAAAGACTTCTGCCATGCGCTTAGCGACAAACAACCATCTGATCTTGTCCGTTCTCGGGTAAGCCGGCTGGTAGACCAGGGTCGGTGCCCACCAGAAGTAGGCCAGGTTGTGCATCGTAATGTTTTGCGGGTAGGGGCACTGCTGATAGATCTCGGGCATGGCGGCCAGCTCGCCCTTGACGGGGTGCAGGTAGGCATGTCGCAAGTCTCGGTTCGTGAAGGCGTACGATGCCGTCTTGAGCCAAACGATGATGGCATGAAGCTCAGTTAGGGTACCGATCAAGGGATGGTGGATGTGGAAGTAGACGACGTAGGACGTCACAGCGAGAGCAAGCGTGATGTTTACGGTGTGAATCCAAGCAATGATCATCCATGTAGAGTTGAATCGTGCGCGTTGGTCGTGTGTCGGGCTGGCGGCTCCATCCTTTGACTTTGATCGCAAGCCCCTTGCTTGTTGAGCGGCGGCAAGTTCAATCAAGTATGCGGCAAACAGATGGCAAGGGATGAGGAGGTATAAGCCCAAGCCCAGCGCAAGATCTTGCCGACGGAAATCGTGGCAGCGAACACAGATCAACACTCCATACTACGAATGGTTAGTAACGCGGGACCACGTTCGAACACCAACAAGTGCCTACTTTTTGTATGTTCTCCATCATCAGACGAAGGTTACCGACAACTACCCATCGTTAGCCCAACCACCAAACAGCTCGAATGGCGATTCAACATACCTAGTACAATCACCATTAGGTTCCTGAAACCAATAAAACTCGGAGCAGCATTAGAGTCGTGGCTCAAAGTGGAAGGGCGAGACCTGTGGTGGACGGCAGCAACGTGTCTGTACTTCCGCTGGACCGCCCTCCTCAGCTCATCAGTCGTGCGTTGCTTCTCGGATGTGGTTGGCTCGGCGGCCTCCTTCGGGTTGGAGCTGCCATTGTGTGCGTTGCGTAGGGACGAGGTGGTGGTTGAGCTCTCGAGGCTCGTCACCGTGGCCGTGTTCATGACGGGCAGGACGTCCTAGGAGCAATTGGATCCTCGACAAGAAGGTATGAAGAGGAGGAAAGAGAAGCGTCCACGGTGGATGACGAGGGGGACAGATGGGTGAAAGTTTAAAACGTGAGGGAGCTGGGTTGGTAGGTAAGGAGTAGCTAGTGTGTATGTATATGCAATGCAGGTGAGAGGTGGCAAGCGCGATAAGATATCGGACTGTAAAATATGCAAGACACGACGCCCGGCCAGGGCAGGAAGAATAGGAACGAATTGACTTCGTAACCAGTGTTTCCAAGGGACGACGGATGGCGATTTCGTTTGGATCTAAGCTCCCTAAAAGCTGAGAGAAGCTATTTTATTTTGGATGAGACGGGCGAGTGAGCGCATTGACATTTTTAGGACTGTTCCTTTTTGAAGAGAGGGGCAATGACCGAGGGTAGGGAAAGTAAAGTAGGGGGTACGTCAAGGCACAACAAGGGGGGGGGGGAAACAGGTGGAGGGAGCTAGGCCGACGCCATCAGCCATCGAAGCGTGGGGATCCGTTCGTTAACGTGGAGGAATGATGGAAGAGGAGGCGCGCTGACGACAAGAATGCAGCCGGCGTGCAGAACTGGGCGAGTCACAGAGACGCGAGGCAAGAGGATAATCAAAGACAGAAAGATGCAAGACAACAAAACAAAAGAACTACCTAGACAGACGGAGAAGATGAACAACGCAGTGGGCGGGCTAAAGGTGGCACGTCCCTGGAGATTGGAAGGGGGCCTTGAGAATGTCAGGGTCGTCGGCGCTGTCTGATGTGACGCTCTGGATCGTTGAGGGACAGGGCCAACACTGTAACCAGCCTGGCGCAGTGAGCAGCCCACCTTCCAAGAACCAAACCACACTGCTAAAGCTGACGCCAAGGTAGTTGAGGCCCTGAGAGAAGAGCGCATGCATGCACGCCAAGGGTCTCTATGGTTCCACGGATAGCGACGGCGATCCCCGGTGACATCTCTGAGTGGCGGTACACAGGAGGGCCTCGTGGGGCGTAGGGTGCATTGCGAGAGAGAAAATGAGGAAGGAGCCGTGGCTTGAACTCAATCACATGTAAATTTCCAAGGGGGTGGGAGAGGAATTTCTCTGGCGGAAAAGGTGACTGGGGTCGTCAAATCGCGCCTTTCCGTAATTATCACCTCATTCTAAAATCGCGGGATATTTTGGGGCAAATCCCAGAAATCGCGGATGGAAATTTAGGACCTGAGTCCGATGTTGGCCCGGATAAGAAACCCTGATAAGAACCGTGGAGCTCTCTCAGGTGCACTAGCTTACTGAGCTGCCACTTGCTCAACGGGACATGGGACGTGCCTTCCAGCTGAACCGTTGGCTGAGCTTGCCGGTCATGTGACCTGGAGAAACCGGAGATGGCTCGTGCACGCGTCGCGCTCATTTTCGCTGTGGTGATTGGCGATGAACCAGCCTCGTGGACCGAACAATCGGAAGCTCCGTCACCAACAACGCCGAATTGCAGTTGGTCAAACCTCAAGCTTTTGTCCATCAGTATAAACAAGGATACGCCTTACAGTTGTGACTGGTTGACCTGAAGCTCTCTCATGAGAGTCTAAAGATGGCGTACGATCCTCGAGGGGATCACCATGACAGGAGAGGGCCAGGCGGAGATGGCGACGGTGGATTTGTGAGAGCTCGAGGTCGACGTGAGTTAACTCGTGATTTTCTTATCCCGAACCCATGAAAAAAACCTGGGGCTGGAGCTACTCATTCGGCTGCTTCATCAAAAGCCTGGATACACCATTGTTCACAACGGAGTCACCTCGAAATTCGTGACACTGGTCAGAAGGCATCAGAGAGGTACACGGCTAACATCCTCCAGGTCCCGTCACTGATTACGGATCAACTGTTGCCAACTGGATGCGTCACAGGGCACCTCTGGATGGCGATGCATACACCGGAGAGATCGAACGACCGAGTGCAAGCTTCATTGTCGATGTGAGTTTCTGGCAAGACCTTTACCTACTTACCGTTGCCTTGACACTAACAGCCTCATAGTTCATACCACCTGCTGCGAGGAGGACAGATCCTGGTGACACAATTCCAGTGAAGCACCTCCACTCATCACTCAACAAGATCAAGCATCCCATCAATGTCGTCCGTTGGACGCCAGAGGGTCGCCGTCTTTTGACCGCCTCCAGCAGTGGAGAGTTCACATTATGGAACGGCACGGGATTCAACTTTGAGACCATCATGCAAGCTCACGACTCTGCCATCAGAGCGCTGGCCTACTCCCACAACGATGACTGGCTGATTTCTGCCGATCACGACGGAAGCGTCAAATACTGGCAGCCCAACTTCAATAACCTCCAAAGTATCGCCGCGCACAACGACCCTGTCAGAGATCTCGCCTTCAGCCCAACGACTCCAAGTTCGTCACTGCTTGCGACGACTCAACCTTGAAGATCTTTGACTTTGCCGGAGGAGTGGAGGAGTCGATCTTGAAGGGCCACGGATGGGATGCCAAGAGCTGCGACTGGCACCCGACCAAGGGATTGTTGGTATCGGGCTCGAAAGACCATCTGGTCAAGCTGTGGGATCCCAGAACCGGCCGTTGCCTCACTACCCTCCACGGACACAAGAACACAATCACTAAAACCTTGTTCGAGAAGGTGCAAGGCGACTGCCTCGCGACATCAGCACGAGACCAGACTGCCCGAGTCTTCGACCTCCGAATGATGCGCGATATCTGCTTGCTTAAGGGACACGAAAAGGATATCTCGACCATCGCCTGGCATCCAGTCCACTCAAATCTGCTGACCACTGGCGGCCATGACGGCTCCCTGTATCACTACATCCTGGACGAGCCAAATACCCCGGCCGGCCATGCCAACTCTATGGCGCCGTATGACAGCTCCGATCCCTCGACAACCACAGCCCAGACAATATACCCCGCACACAAGATTCCCTACGCTCACGACTTCGCCATTTGGTCTCTGGATTGGCACCCCTCGGCCATATTCTAGCCTCCGGTTCCAACGACCGTATCACGAGGTTCTGGTCCCGAAAGCGCCCCGGCGATGCCGATGTCTTCCAGGACCGCTACCACGTGGGAGAGGCAGCTGCCGAAGCAAACGGAACCTGGGACCGCCGCGGTGGTCGTCGCCAGAGGCAGGAGGAAGAGGAGCAGGAGATGGAGGACGAGATGGACGGGCTTGTCGACCAGAAGATGCCCCTCAAGCAGCCCATGGTGCCTGGCTTCCCCGGCCTTCCGGGCTTGCCTGGACTACCCGGACTTTCCATGCCACAGAACGGTACTGGTGGTCCCGTTCCACCACCACCCATGATCCCTGGCGTCGGTGCCAACGGCGGAGCACCTCCTCCGCCGCTTCCCTTCCCCTGCCCGGTCTGAACGGCGCACCGCCGCCGCCAATCCCCTTGCCCGGCGGCATCGACCCGAGCAACCCTGCCGATCTTGCCAAGATCGCCGAGATGATCCAGAAGGCCGGAGGCACTCTCCCGCCACCGCCTCCAGGCGGGTTCGCCCCCCCGGCTTGGTACCGCCGCCAAACTTCGTGCCGCCTCCCGGATTCCCGCCCATGCCATGCCTCCCACTGCGAACAACCAAAGCGAGTACGATAGTCGCGGCGGCAGGAGAGCCCCGCTGCCTAGTCAGGAGGAGAGCCTTAAAGCGGAGCAGCGACGGGGCAACTACACCAGGTCGCGTTAGGAACGCCTCCAGGGCAAGGGCAAGATGAGCGAAAATTTGGAGGAGAGGAAAGCGAAGGCCAGAAACCAGCAGCGCGTTGTCACGCTGCCCTGGTGAACCCTCCATGTATGATATTGACTTGAGCTGGACAACGGGTTGATACCCTGGCGTTAGATGGAAACCAAAACAACATAAGTCGGGCACAAATTCGGAACATGAGGAAACTCAATCGTCTCTCACGCTGTGATGTATGTGGTGGCAGTCTGTTGCCAACCGTCTAATCGGCGGGGTCTATCTTAGGTAGTGTACATGTGCGTCGTTGCCGCAAGGGAATCCCTCGCTGAGTGCTTGCTTGCGCCCCCCAAAAATAACTAACTCTCTTCGTATGCAAACGCGACGCGACCAGCCTCTTGTGATTGCTCCTCAGAGGTACAGTAATAGTACAGACATGAAGGAAAACACGCCTCGTCATGCTAAATGTCCGCTACCAAAAAAAGGCATCAAATGATCAGAAGGAAATGCCATGCCCTGTTATAGTCCCAGCTCTCCCGTACCGTCACCATCCAATCTATGGGCTCGGGCTCCGGGACTGCGATCCACCCTTGCCGAACGACTTCTGCCTGTCGGCGTATTCCTTGACGACGATGGCGCACGACGTCTCCGTGCACAGCCTCTTGCGGCGCTGAGGCGCAAGCTTGGTCGCAAACTCGATACCAGCGGCGCGCTCGACGGCCTCGAGGGGCATCTCAAAGTCGGAGAGGGGCTTCTCGTTGGGGATGGGCGCGTTGGGCATGACAAAGGCTCCGATGGCGACGTTGCCGCCGACCTTGCCGTCCTCGGCGAAAATGACCTTATAAAAGTGCGTAGGCACGGCGACGTTGGGCGGGTTGCCGATGACCTCGTACTTTGTGTACCACTTGCCGTCGACGGGGTCGCGCTTGGGCAGGTAGAGGGGGCCGGTGACGATGCGGACGGAGGGGTAGCGGGTGGTCAGACGGCGGCAGAAGTCCTCAAAGTGTGCCCAGTAGTCGCGGTTGAAGCCGTCGCCGACCTGGGGGCACATGTTTGAGAGGTAAAAGGTGTCGTCCATGGCCTTCTGGGACCACTTGCAGTCGGCGGCGGGGACCTGATGGCCGCGGTCGTAACCGCTGCGGTAATAGTCCTTGAGCTTGGCCTGGAACTTCTCGGGGATAGAGGTGTCCTCAACGAAGGCGCTGTGCTTGCGATCGCCACCACGCTGGGCGAGGGAGGCTGGGGTAATGTGCTCGACGACCCAATGCGGGTTGCGCGTGCGGCGGTCGTAGCTCGAAATGAGGGCGTGGCGGCTCGCGAGGTCGGCGACGGGGCCAGGGAAACCGTACTCAAAGAGACCGGCTGGGTTTACGGGGCTGCCGGGGACGGAACCAGGTAGCGGCGGCGACGGCGCGGCGAGCGCAGGAGGGAGCGGCGCATTGGGGTTGGTGAAGACTTGGGTGCTAGGCACCGGGACGGAAGAGGAGGACGTAAGAGAGGTCGTGGTTGTTGGGGCGGTAGGTTGCTTCTGAGAGCGGAACGAGTACATGGTCGCTGTAAGTGCGGCACCGCCTCCCGCGCTTAAAGCTGCGATGAGGGCGAGAGATGTGGTTTTGGACATGGCGACGGTGGATTTCGCAGCGCGCGGCCGGGCTTTTTGTTAATGGTTTGGTTTTGGCAGCAAGCAGAAAGAAGGAGAGAATAGGAAGTTGCCAACGTCAGGCGTTTGGCAACAATGACACTGTTCTGGCCACGGGAATAGGAAGGATGGGCATGTGGTGATGGTGGTGTGGTGGATGTCTCAGCTGTCCTTCATGGGACGGGACTTTGGGAGCTTCGGAGCTGGAAAATTTTGGGCGACGGGCGGCCGCGTCTGGGCTGCAAAGGGATCTCCAGGGACCTGCCGTGCAGTTGCATGGGGGAGCAGGTACCTTGTCCCGAGCATTTGCCGGTGCGAGGTCCAAAGGTTGGGGTGGAAAGCTTTCGGGGTGCAGGAGCTGCTGAGGCAGGCGCGCTAAGGCAGCTCACAGTGGGCTGGTCTCGGTGTGCTTCTCTCACCGAGACTGGGCAAGGTGGGGGGGGGACCAGAAGGGAGACGGGCGGCGGGCGGATGACCAACCCCAGTCTCCGATTTGCGGTTCCCGTCAACCCTGCGGCACGAGAAACTCTCTTTATCTCAAGGATCCCAGCCAACTGGCATCAAGCATGAAAATAAGACAACAAACCCACGGGCATGCCACTTCGACAACATTCAAAAACGCCTTTCACGTGTGCTAAACCAGGCATCCCTTAGCAAGGCGCTTCAGGTGGCGTACGTCAATGAGCTGGCGCGCATAGCGAAGATCACGGGGCTCGAGGGAGTACAAGGATACCGAGCCCATCCGGGTCCTCAAGCCAGGTTTTTCTCGATCATTTGCGTGCTGTCAACCGTATGCCTTGACTCGACCTGGGGCCCAGGGTGGGGGAATCCCCAACAAAGGCGGACAACGTTGCTGTTTTGTAACTTTTGTTTGGCTGCGAGCCCGACCTCTTTTGTGGGATACACAAAACAAAACAAATCCGGGTTGCCCTTGGATGAACGGTTGGTTGTTCTCCTCTCTCGCCTCACCTCAACTCTTCTATGCTAGATGAGCCGCATGTTGACAGCACTCGAAATGAAGAGAAAGGTGGGTCGCTTTCGGGGAGGGCCAGACGGCAAGTTGCCGGATGGCAAGTCAAGTAAGAAAAAAAAGAAAAGGACGAGGCCGAAAGGGAAAGGGAAACGGACAATGTCTGGGCGTGAGACCTCAGACGGGGCGAGTCCAGCCATCTGGCTATCAAGGTTCTCAAAATTCGATCCTCCATTTGCATCGACCAGGACCATGAATAAGGCCCGGCCCCCGGCCCATTTCGCACAGAAACAACGCAGCACCTGCCCCAACAGCGCCCATTTCAGCGCTCTCCGAATCCACTATTCCACGCTGGTCACAAAGCTTAAGGCGCCCGGAGAGTCTCTCCCACCCACTCGATCCATGGTCCCAGCGCTTTCCTTCTAGTTCCATTTTTGTTAGCAGCCATCGACATCACTGCTTTCTCAGCAGCAAAACAACACCCTACTACACTCGTCACATCCTACACCTACGTCCTCTCACCCAACTCCTCGCCTCTCCCCTCGGACCTGTGACGAAAACATCACGACGTCTCCATTGGTCTACCTGCCACCTTGATATCCTTTTCTTCGTTCCAACTTCCAGGCGCCCCTGCATCTCCGACGACTAACCTACTACCCACCTGGGTCTCTTACGCGCGTGTACTACCTACGTCAGAGGTCACCCGTTCCTGCAGAAGGAAGAGCAGCCACATCGATACCTCCACCCAGCTCTCTGGGACCCGCGAACGAGATTCGAAAATCCTATAGAACAAATCCCATTTGAGAAATATCGAATTTACTGTCTGCCCCCCTTATGCGCTGAGCCCCGAGCCCATCTACAGGCACCGATTGGAGGCGTTGGAGCCGAGCTGCTCATCATGGAGGCGACAGAGCTCGACAACGACACCAGGGGGTGGATCATGTGTATCGTGAGCGGAATAGGTGGGTGATCATAGATGCTGTGCCGTGCCGTGCTTCGGCTTGCTGACACGAGTTGCCGCTGACGTTTTCTGTTCCATGACAGCTTGCGTTGTTGGTGCATCTATTATCTGTGTCGATTTGCTTGTGCGCTACATTCCTGGGAAACGCAACTTCAGGATACAAGACAGCAATGGCTTTCTGGCCTGCTCACTAAGCCTGAGCTTCGGCGTCATGGTCAGTTGGTTCCCAGAACCTTCTTGCGATTTGCTTCTGGAGAACGTTGACTGACAATGGCATTGTGCGCAACAGCTCTACTCGGCGTTAAACAGCATGCTGCCGTCCGCGAAACAGTATCTTAAGGAGGATGGGTTTCAGGATCAGCTGGCAGGATTCCTTATGATGGCCTGCTTCATTGGGGGCTTTGTCGGCATCCAGGTCATTTCACGCCTGCTGCACCAGTACATGCCGTCGCATGTTGTCGACTGCGACCACACGCACGACCACAGCGAGAGCGATGCTCGATCGCGCAGCCAAAGCAGAAAGACATCTCTGTACACCTCGAGCCGCCGGTCGTCTCGTCGGCCTCTTCTCGAAAGCGTCGCAAAGAATGGCCATGCCACCGAGTCTACTCCTCTGCTCAATGGAGGGGTGGCGCAAGAAAACGGTGCTCCCCTCGTGGCTAAGCGCCACGCCTCAAGCAGAGGCAACCTGGGCCTCAACACCGGGCATTCGACACCGGCCCGGACCTCGCGGAGCCGTGGTCCCACCGTCGACAGACGACCGTCCATGGCCCAAGTCCAACAGCGGGTCATGTCCTTCGTCAAGGACACAAAAACCAACTGCGATGAAGAGGGGCCGTGCTTTGGGTATACCGACCCATGCGGTCAAGAGTGCTTCAAGCACTTGAGCAACCGATCATTAGCAACTCTGAGACATCCGACTATGCTGCGGAAGAGCACGGGGAGCTTCTACGCTCACAGCCATGCCGACCTGGAGGATCTGGAAGAGGGCGGCTCTTCATGCGACTCGCCAATCAGCGGAAATGTGCGGACCAGCCGTGCGACGTCGAGAGAGCCTCTTCCAGCGCATCCTGATACGGATCACAATGGCCACGGCCACGATCACGATCATCACGATCATGACCATGACCACGACACTCACAACGACGACGAGCACGTGGACGAAGACGTCGAGGCGCAACATCACCACCACGTCCCGACCAACGCCTTCCTCTCCCTTGGCCTGCAGACCTCGATCGCCATCGCGCTGCATAAGTTTCCCGAGGGTTTCATCACCTACGCAACAAACCACGCCAACCCCACACTGGGCTTCAACGTCTTTATGGCCTTGTTCGTGCACAACATCACCGAGGGCTTCGCCATGGCGTTGCCGCTATACATGGCGCTTGGCAGCCGTATGAAGGCCATGTTCTGGGCCGCCGTTCTGGGCGGTCTCAGCCAGCCCCTGGGTGCGGGCGTCGCCGTTTTGTGGTTCAAGCTCGCCAAGCACACCCACCTCACCCCCAACGCCGTCGCGTACGCCTGCATGTTCGCCATTACGGCTGGCATAATGGTGAGTGTCGGTCTGCAGCTGTTTGTCGAGGCGCTCGGCCTGAACCACAACCGGAACCTCTGCATCTTTTTCGGATTCATGGGCATGGCTCTGCTGGGCATCACCAGCGCCATCGCCTCTACGCATTAATGACACGGCATGGCATTTGCAGACGTAATGCTATGTTTAGAGACACAAGCATCAAAATCCCTCTCATCGGCGTTAAGGATTACTCTTTTTGGGTTCAAATTTAGTAGGCATGTTTAGGGACTGGCACAGGCAGGGGCAAGGCAGGCATGGCATATAAAGTTATACCACTGTACGGGTTTATGACTTGAAGGGCTTCAATTGGATTAGACTGAATGGAAAGGTCGCTCTCACAACCTCGCGAGCACGCGCCTGACCAGGTTGGGTTGGTTCTCGACCGCAGGGTATGACGCTCGCGCGACATTATAGATGTGATCACTGAACAATGGAACTTGGAAAGATCCTTTCACCAGAGAGCAAACAGCAGTGACATGACATCATAGAGCGTAAACAGCTCCTCGTGGCTTCCATTGATAGTATGTACATTTTGATTGATCAAAGCAACAACTTTTGGTGACCCCCCTTTTTATCTAGCAACTAAGTATCGTGGCCCTCCGTGCGGCCGGGTATCAATGCTGTCGTCAAAAAAAAAATCACTGCGAACTGTTTTTTGGTCTTGCGCATGGATCTCGCTTAACCCTCGTTTTTAGGCGGTGCTTCCGAGCGCCGGGTCGACGAACTGCGAAAAGTCCTCGTCGATGAGCGCGCGCATGGCCGCCTCCTCTTCCTGCCATGTCTGCGGCGGCGTGCCGAATTCCTCGGTTGCGCCGATCCAGAAGTCGTCGTTGGGGCCCGGGACGTCGCCGTCACCGTCGCCCGTGAAGTCAGTCACGCCGGGGATGATGCCGTATAGCGGTAGCTCCGGCATCTCGCGATCCCCGCCAAAGGGCGCGCCGTTGCCGTTGGGGTCATCCGCCAGGCTGAGGATGGCGGCCTCGATCTGGTCCATCGGCGCAGCAATCGGGGTGGACTCGGGGTGGTGCTCGAGGTGGACCTGGAGATCGTGGTGGCGGATGAAGCGTGCCGTGCAGCCTGGCATGGTGCAGAGGATGGTTCGCTTCGTGCCGGCGATGTCGTCGATGATGTTGGGGGCTTTCTGGTTCGGCACAGGGCGTTCAAGGCCCAGGTGGACGTAGCGGATGTGGTCCTCAAGGTTTGCCTTCGTGACGAAGCCTCCACCGCAGCCCTGGTCGTTCGACCAGGTCTCCAGGTCAGGGGAGTTCTTGACGTCAACCTCGCCGCAGACGAAGCGGAAGCCTTCGTGCGCTGTGCGGACGTGCACCGTGAGGTTGTGTTTCTTGGTGAACTTCTTGTCGCAGCCCTCCCACGTGCATGGAATCGTCTTGCGCGCATCAACGGGGATGCCCGAGTGACGAATCTCAACATGCCGCTCCAGCTCCCACTGCCCTGTACACTTGAACTCGCAAAAGATGCAGTTGAGATGCTCCTTGCGGATGTGCGCCTGGAGCAGCGCAAGCGTCGTGAACCCGACCCTGGTCTCGTCGTCGCCGCCGCACTCCTCGCACCAGAACTGTGGCTCACTGTGCTCGCGGCGTGTATGGTTCCGTAGCGCACCCTGGGAGTCGAAGCCTGCGCCGCAGCCGGACACAGTGCACGGGTAGGCATGGGCGCCAAGGTGCTCGGAACGGATGTGCCGCTGGAGAGTGTTGTGCTTGCGGAAGCTCTGGCTGCAGGGAGGGAAGTCGCGGCACCGGAAGCGTTCCTGGCCGGCGTGGACGTCCTGGTGACGGCGCAAGCGAGTCGCCGTGAGGAAAGACTTGCCGCAGCCCTCGTGGGTGCAGGTGTAGGCGCGCTCCTGGGTGTGGGAGCCTTTGACGTGCTGGCGGAGGTGCTTCTCCTCGCGGTAGTCCTTGTCGCAGCCGGGATAGGTGCACTTGAAGGGGCGGTCGTCTGTGTGGGAGCGGAGGTGGGCGGCCAGCCGGGCGGGCCGGTTGAAGGTTTTGTTGCAGTCCGGGTATGTACAGGGGATCGTCTTTAGGTCCGAGGGAAATTTGCGGGAGCGAGTGGTGAGGGAGGTTTGACCGGTCAGAACGGACTCTACCTCTGCGTTCGCGGTCGAGCCAGAGTTGCTGGCGGTGTCATCGTAGTCGTCGTCGCTGGGGGCTTGGTAGGTCGTGTTAGCGAGATACACCGCTGCGTGGGACGTCAGATATCACCAACCAGTGTCTTCCTGACTCTCTACCTTGGACCGTTTCGGGTCCGAGGCAGCAGCGGCCTCTTGGGCCTTCCTCTTCGTCATGACAGGCGAATTGAAAAGGGCATTGCCTTTATAAACGATGGGGAGGAAATTTCGTCGTCTAAGGTTTGAGAGAGGCCGGTGAACTTATTCCTGGCAGAAATTCAACGATCTTGGGCGGTCAGACGAAATTTTGTGCGCTGCACCAGCCACAGATAGAGGGGCCAGGGTGCCACTCGGTCCGGATAAGCTTTTGATAACGATAGCACGGACCCACCGGAGGAACGCCGTTCAATCGTAGCCTCGTCAATAATTTTTCACGGCTGGACCAAGTAGAGGCACTTTGGCTTTCCCCCGCGACAACCTCTCAACCACGCGACCGAACCAGCGCCACACCTCGACAACCGATCGCACCACATCTCCCAGTCATCACTCTCATCAATTGACACTCCAAGATGTCTGACTTTGGCGATGACGATGTTGGCGGAGGGTACGTAGACAGATCTTGGATCTTGCAAGCGCGACTCTAACTGTTGACCAGCGACGAGCCCATGTACGAGGACGAGGCGGCCGACTACTGGGACCCGGAGGTGCCCGCCGATGACGAGGAGGTTGGACGAGCCGAGGGCGATGAGGAGGAAGCCGATAACGTGGTTGTGTCGGGAGACCCGTCGGCTGCGGCGAACGCAGGCAAGGGAAACGAAAAGTCGCACCGCGACAAGAAGATTCCTGACGACCAGCGGACCACGACGCCATACATGACCAAGTACGAGCGTGCCCGCATTCTCGGCACGCGCGCGCTTCAGATTAGGTAAGAAAAAGGAGCCCTCGCCCATCATCAGCTCCCACGATGCTCGTCGTCATCCACACGATCAACAAGGCTAATACAGACGTTTAGCATGAATGCGCCGGTGTTGGTGGACTTGGAAGGCGAGACGGATCCTCTTCAAATCGCGATCAAGGAGCTCCGAGAGAAGAAGATCCCTCTCATCGTGCGCCGGTACATGCCTGATGGATAGTAAGTGCCGGGTTTCCCCTGTCTGCGCAAGCTCATCCTGGATATTTCTCTCCTGGATTTGATGAACATGTGCTAACTGCGCGCGAACAGCTACGAGGATTGGACTTGTGAGGAGCTTCTCCAGTAAAAAGGGAGACGGCTGACTTTTCGTCACTTTCGGGACAAAGGAAGACACGCACACGCGACTAGATGCAAGGCACCTTATACCCATCTCCTATTGTCGTTGCCTGAAGAGTAGTCAGATCCCCCCTGAGCCGAGGCTCCAAATCCGTTTTCTCTGTCTCTTCTGAGTCTGCCCGCTTCATTGTTGCTGCGCAGGAAGATTTTCGAGGACCACTCCCCCCCCCCCCCCCCCCCCCCCCCCCCCCCCCCCCCCCCCAAAAAAAAAAGATACACCGAAAGGAAGTGTATTGTACTTTGATTTTGCATTAAGCGTGGCATTTTTCTAGGCAAAACAAAAAGATTGGATTTTCAGACCAAAAAAAAGTACCTCCTCGCCGTGAGACGTAACCACATTTACCCCTATTTCTGTTGTCCGGCACTCATCCTTGTGACTATTGCAGCGATCCATGAACGAGTTACGCGTTTCCTTGCTCAGGTCCTCGCATGCGAGTGAGAGACAGTTTGCAGTGTAACCAGTGGGAGCGAGAACCTGATGTCCTCCTTCCCCCGCCAGCGCGCCGGGCTTGGCAAACCCCCGTTGACTGTCCTTTTCTTCCTCTGCGGCCTTCGTGATCCCTGGAACGCGGGGGCCTCGTGAACCCGAGGCCCACGGATCTCGGTGCCATGAAGCGTTCCCTCAAATCGTGATCAAGGACGTCAACCCAACCAACCGATGTTTCGAGCTCCGGCTGTCACAAAGTTCTCATACTTTCTCATCTGAGCTCCTCAGCCACAAGGTTTCCCGATGCTGCGCTTTTCTCCACAGGGCATTAGGCCTTGCTGGAGACCAAGGTTGCAAGAGGGAGGCTGAAGAGACAAGGTTAGCTAAGAACACGCCGTAACGACGAGCTAGGCCCGATATGATTGGCCGGTACGGGATACAGCTTAAAGGACGACGAGGCGATCGCGATCAAGAGGCCTTGGTAGTCGATCCGCGCCAACACCACGGCTCAACTCTCGTAGTCTTTCTGTTGTTGCTGTTCTGTAAAACCCTTTGCGACCCATCTCTTCTTGGCGGAAAAGTCTATCTCGGCAACGACGCAACGGACCGAACTAACCGCACCCGCCTTGACTTAACCTGTCAAGTCTGCCCTCCCTTTCTACTCTCCTCTGCAAAACGAATACGGGGAAGGGTCCGCTACGCTTCGCGTCCTATGGAGTGGCCCATATTTCCTTACAGACAGTCCTATTCAATGCTCGAACCTCATGTCCGTCTCGGCCTGGCCCCCATGTAGTCCGTATGTCCGCACCCAAGTGGAAGCCCGAAATACAACCTCGCGCCATCTCATTGTAGCAAGATAGCCCGTCTGCCCCGTAAGCGATGGAGTTTGCCTCCATCATGGCCCAACCACCGCAGACTTTCTCCCGAACGCGAGACCGCCTCGGCTGCGGCTCTCCGTCACCTCCCGTCCTTACCCCGGCGTGTCCAGCCCTCACACCCGTCTTTGCATAGTTTACGGATTATTGGCTCCGCACTTCACTGCCGCCTTTCACCTTGCCATCTCTTGATCTGCATCGACTTGCGCGTCGTCACGTTCCCTTTTATCATAAACGTAGCGATGCTTACGGGCCGGAGAAACCGACTAGCTGGGTAGCCCTGCAGCTTGATACCCTCCACCACGGAGGACCGAGGGTGCAACCAAAGTTTTGGCCTTCTCCCGGCACGATGTTATTTCTCGTCTTGGCATGGTCTGCTCCTCAATCGTGATATAAAGGGGAAAAGCCTCTGCGCCTTTTGGTGAGAGGAACATTCTGGATAGACCCCCATCCCTCAGCTTGGCGTCCTCTGTCAGCATCTCTGGAAATACCCTGAGCCAGCACGCTCGCTACACCCATTTTTTGCCCAGATCGTTCGTTCTCTTTGTGTCCCACGATGATACTCCAACACTCCACCCTCACGGCGGTCGTAGCCGTTCTGCTACTGTTTCTGGCGAACGCCTCCGCTCTTGTGGCGCCTTGGACGACGAACTTCACCCAGCAGGAGATCGACAGTGGCACCGTCCTCGCGGACCTCAACAGGAAAGCCTACAACAACGTGCTCGCACGTCTTGCGGACAACACCAACAATACTGCGCGGTGCACGAAAGAAAACATCAAAGTCCGGCGCGAGTGGTCCGTCCTTCTCCCCTACCCCCCGGGACGAGCATGAGATCCGCAGTATGATATCACAAACGACCAATAGAAGACTGACTTTGCTCCAGGAGGAGTATACCGGCCGAGGAGCGCATCAGATACACCGACGCCGTCACCTGTCTGCAACGGACGCCGCCCCTCTACGCCGACGTCCCCGGCTCAAAGTCCATGTTCGACGACTTCGTCGTCCTGCACCAGCGCGCGACGAATTTCATACACTCGTCGGTAAGGTTTTTTTTCCCTTCTGGGCTCCTTTCCTCAAATGCAGAGTAGCGCCGGGGAATGACAAGGTGATACCCATGCTTACACGCTAACACCGATGATCTTTCTTCACCAGGCAACTTTCTTCCTGTGGCACCGCTACTACATCTGGACGTATGAGAAGCGGCTAGAGACCGAATGCGGCTACAACGGTAATCCGCCATCGCCACTTACTTTGCTCACCTACAGAGAAAAGACTGACACTCGTCAGGAACCTTCCCTTACTGGGAGTGGGGGCACGACACCACGGACAACCTCTCCTCTAGCCCCGTTTTCGATGGCTCCCCGACCTCCATGGGCGGCGACGGCGCCCCGTCCCGCATGGGGGCCTCGTCCTTAAGAGCCCCTCGAGTAACGTCACCACTGACCTCCCGGCCGGCAACGGCGGCGGCTGCGTCACCCGCGGCCCCTTCTCCAACATGACGGTCCACCTCGGCCCGCATGCGATGCCGTCCTATGGCAACGTTACCGCTCAAAACTCGGCCACGCCTGAGGAGGACAACCCGCGCTGCCTGAGGCGGGACCTCAGCGCCTACCCGCTGCGCCGGTGGGCCAGCTTCCGCAACACGACGACCCTGATCCGGGACAACCGCGATATCGAGATGTTTCAGGCCGTCGCACAGGGTGACTCGCGGTACGTCGACGCCGGGCAGCTGGGCATCCACGGCGGCGGGCACTATTCGCTGGGCGGAAATCCGTCTTCTGATGTCTTCTTGAGCCCTGGCGACACGGCGTTCTATCTGCACCATGGGCAGATGGACAGGGTGTATTGGATCTGGCAGAACCTAAACTGGGCGAATCGCCAGGTGAGTGCCGCCATTCCGTCTTATTGGCAGCACCTACTGCTTGTCCCTCTAAGCGTAGCGGCGACCGATGGATGAGATACTGACCTGAGACTATAGACCATCTCCGGTACGAATACGACCATGAACCAGCCGCCTAGCCCAGAGGTAAAGCTTGACGACGTGATGACCTTGGGACCACTGGGTGCAGGAATTACCCTAAGGCAAGCAATGGATACGGTCAATGGGCCGTTCTGTTATGTATATGCATCAGACTAAATGAGTGCGCTCAGCACGGTAGAGGTTGGATTCGCGATGCGATAAGCTGCGACGTTCAGGCATCGTCTCATCATAGCGATCGAATCCTAAGATAGGCATATAGATGGACAGCAAGCATTATTCTGCCCAACGGTTTGCCGGAGGGCCATAGCTTCTGTATCAGCGAGTACACTTTCAGACACCACGAACCTCTCTTAGCACGGAACCTCGGTCGCGAATCTGTGTGATAAAACCAGGCAGGCAGGGCGCCTGTTGAGTTGCCAAACTTGGGCATTGTCAGTTGCGAGTCAGCCACCTCGTCGTCAAGCTTGAAGTGAGGCGGTGGATGGGAATAGACATGCGAGTGCTGCGGAGTCTCTTCCGGCGTCAGGCAACGATGCACCCCGAGCGCCTGCTGCGATACAGAACACCATCATACCGTTCGTCGTCGTTGCGAGGTGAGTTCTCCAAGACTACCAGCTCGCAAGGGGCAACCCGGTATCATGGAGAGCCGGGCAAGCCGGCCGCCCGGGCATGACGTTCCTGCCGTCATGGACAAACCCTCGGAAGTGCCACACTGCGGCCTGTCGCCCGAGCGGCGCCCCTTTCCCTCCGGTTCATCGCCCTGAGGGAAGATCGCGCCGAACCCAGCCCCAACGCATCGGGCGCGGGTGGGACCCGGTCTCTTTTCTCAGGCGGCTTCATGCTTCATGCCCCGTCGGTTCCAGCTCTCTCATGTGAGTCGTTTCGCAAATGAATCAGTCTGCGCTCGTTGGTATCCCGGATGATAATCCCAACGGCTTTGTTGGTCTGCAACGCTAGTTGCACTCGCTTTAAGTAGAAGGTCGAATCGGTAACGGCAGCTATCAGCGTGAATGATCGGACGGCTTCTTCAAAGGTTCTCCAACAAACGCCAACCTCGTCGCCCACGTTCGCGATCGTTAACCAGCCCGAACCCGAGTCAACCGTCGCATCTTGCAGTCGTCCGTCTCACCATTCTCGAGACGCATTGGCGCCTTGGTTCCGGAGAGCCCGCCCCAGAAAGAAGCAATGATGTTGTCGTCTCCCATTGGCCTGCCCACGGTTGCTCGATGGCTGTCACCCCACCCAGGCCTTGCCATTGCTCGTCCGAACCCAAACTGAATCGGAGAATTTATCTGGTCTACCATTCGAGTCCTTGTGGCTTTTGCCCCGTTGCCTCTTGCTGTCGTTCGAGAATGTGTGAACGGACGGACTTTACGCTCTCGGACCTCTGAAGTCCATCCCGATGGCTGTTTCTGTGATAAGGCAGCATGAATCTCTTAGCTGCAAATATGCGCTCGGCGACGGCGGATCGCTTGCAGCAACAGCTCCCACCGTCGAACGGACAGCAGCACGTCGTGCCGCTCTTGGTGTAGAGATCATGCAGTCGGACGCCGCGCTGCAATCTCTGTGTCCTCGCGTTATGATGGCATGGGTTATCTGTGAATCGCTGCGAAACCACAGCTCCAGATGAATTGTCGACAGCGTGATATCACACGTAAGCTGTGTGTAAGAGGCTGAGATTGCTTAGTAGGCAGCTCTGGCTAATTTGCGTGGACCACCCGAGACCTGACAGTACGTGACAGGGATGTAGGCTCCGTCTCGTCAAAGCCACTTCAGGAAGCTCGAGTATGTGAATTGCGAGCATATCGAATCATCCTCCTCATGCCCTACCAACTGTTCCTTGGGAAACGCAAGGCAGTTCACATGTTGGCCAGTGCCTGGACGACGAGGTCAATATAGACCAAACCACGGCCAAAGTTTCAATGCCTTGGGTCGGGACTTAGAGTTTCCGCGCTCTGGTCTCCCAGCCAAGGATGGTCGCAGGAAAGCAAGCAGAAGGACGGTAGGAAAACGGCAGGAGGAGGCCGTGGTTGGTGAAAAGATGGAGAGAGAAGCTTGCCGTGTGCTCAATATCGCATAATAGGCATGAGTTGTCTCTGGGTAGGTTGGGGAGGTTGAGTTGGGGCTTACGCGGAAGCCAACCAGGAAGGGAGCTGTAGCTCTCTGGTCCAGTCAGCGTTCGGGACAGGTACCGAAGCTACCTTACAGCGGATACATTCCCGCCACGGTACTTCTTAGCCAGTGCGGTGCAGCGCGCGGTGCACCCCTCATGCCGATGACGCACCCCCCACCTCACCAAGGCCAAGAGACAGCTAGCTCCCAGCTCTCCCAGCTTCGCCGGTCCCGCGCGACAATGCGGGGTTCGTTGCAGCATGAGCGAAAAGACCTCCATTGAGCACCCACCCACCCCCCCCTTCTAACGGCATTACAAACACAAATTGGACCTTGCGATAGCTCGCCGGGTAGCTTTACCAGCTTTGGCATGTTACACGCCCCGACTCACCAGTCTTCAAAAAATACCTTGCTGGATGAGAGTCTCGAGGAGGGGTTCTTCTCCAATCCCTGCTGGGCGTTCGGCGGTCCATGGTGGGGTACAATTGGCATCATCACGACTAGGGGCAACGGTCAATGGCAGAATCCAGACGGCGGGACGGGGGAGGGAAAAAACGATGCAGTCCATCCATCCCAAAGCCAAGGCCGTCTTGTCTCCCCTTCCTCCACTTCTCCGATCTGATCTCGGTGGACTTAACTCGGGGTTTTATTTATTAGACTCCTCGGATGCCGCCCTCCTTTCTTGATACCCTGCCCTCCTCTTCTCTACTCTGCAAGCATAGAATAATCCCAACCTGTTTTCCTCTTCTTCCATCATCGCCCCCCTCCTCTTTTCTCATCTCTTGCCTGTGCTTCCTCTCGAATTGAAAGCAATATACCCCCTTCTCACAAGTGATACCCCCCAAAAAACAACCGCAACAATGGCCGCCGCCGCCGTGTTCCAGACCAAAGCTACCATCACCTCCTTCGGGGGCAGCTCCTCAAGCTCTCTCACAAGTCCTCCACCACTGGCACCGACATGGCCGTCAACCTCTACCTCCCGCCTCAGTGCACCACCCGCGCCGTCCCCGTCCTGTTCTACCTCTCCGGCCTGACCTGCACCCCGGACAACTGCACCGAGAAGGGATTCTTCCAGGCCCAGGCCTCGGCCCGCGGTGTCGCCATCGTCTACCCGGACACCTCCCCGCGCGGCCTCGACCTGCCCGGCGAGCGCGACTCCTGGGACTTTGGTGAGGCCGCCTCCTTCTACGTCGACGCCACCCGCGAGCCCTTCCGCCAGAACTACCGCATGGAGACCTACATCACAAAGGAGCTGCCCGAGATGCTCTTCCGCGAGTTCGCCGGCAAGCTCGACCGCTCCCGCGTCTCCATCACCGGCCACTCCATGGGCGGCCACGGCGCCCTGTCGCTCTACCTGCGCCACCCGGGCATGTACCGCAGCGTCAGCGCCTTCGCGCCCATCGCCAACCCTTCCAAGTGCCCCTGGGGCGAGAAGGCCTTTAGCGGATACCTCGGTGATGATCGTGCCGAGTGGGCCAAGCACGACTCGACCGAGCTCGTCAAGAACTGGAGCTACGGTCCCCTGAACGCCCTCATCGACGTTGTATGTTGAAACCCATCACCTGGTGCAAGATGACGCAGACGCAACAAAACTGACAGCGGAACAGGGTCTTGGTGACAACTTCTACATCCAGAAGCAGCTGCTGCCCGAGAACTTTGAAAAGGTCGTCAAGGAGAAGAACATCGAGGGCCTGAGCCTGAGATACCACTACGTGAGTCGGACCATACGAGCTCGGTACGCAACAGGACTTGAGAAGCTGACAATGACAAGGGCTATGACCACTCCTACTTCTTCATGGCGTCCTTCGCCAAGGACCACGTCGACCACGCCGCCAAGCACTTGGGCCTCGGCAACGCCACCTCCGCCTGACTCGAGGGCCGGAGCAATAGACTGTAAACGAAGTAAATGTTAATGTTGACGTCGTTGTTGCGGTGGCCAGAGAGCAGTCGCCTGTGTGTGTCAAAGGTCAAAGTTGAAGTGAGATGGATACCATGGAGGTTGTGCGAACAAGGAGTCTCGCGTTTTGCGCATAGTCGAAAGTTAGTTTTTAGTAGTATGCTGCTGCTGCTGAGATTCTTGAAATTTGAGAACAATAGCCGACGTTCATCCACCCGTTCCATCATGACCTTCGTGAAGTGAAACATCAAAAGCAACCCTTTCCCTCTTTTGCGCAACCCACGTTGCGCATGACATGAGTGCTGAGCAGAAACGCCAGTGCCGGGTCAAGAGACCGCCCGTCGACCTGGAGGATATCTAGAAGAATGCAACCAAAGAAGTGAGTAAAAGCGCTTAGCTGACCCGTTTCTCCACCTCGGGGCTCACGCCCTCCTTTTCAAGCTTCGCCCGCATCTCCATATCCAACTCCTTGCGTATGCGGTTATACGCCAGTTTCTCGAACCGGCTGAGTGCCTTCCACCAATGCTGACCCGCCTCGTGCTCCCCGATGCGTTCTAATAAGTCGGCCGTCTTGAAGCGCACGTCGCGGTCTTTGTGGAAGAGACCCAGGGCGACGTAGAACAAGCCGGCGTGCGATTCTGGCGCTACGCTTAGGAGAAGGCAGATCTCGTCGTAGGAGTGGACGTATTTGGAAAATGCCATGTAGATTTCCTTGCTTTGCATCGGATTCAACCGCTGCGTCCGTAACCGGTCGTGCATGTGATGCAAGTCGAGGCCTTTGAGCGGCTTGATCGTGTACATCAGTGCGAGATCCTAAGACTGTCAGTCCAAACATCCGGCGCTGGTCAAGAGTGTCTGGCGCTTACTTGGATGAAGCTGTAGTAGCTCCTTGTGTTTCTCCACCCTTCGATTCTCGTCACATTGCCTGCCATCTCCTTGGACTTGGCCTGCTCGTTGGGCCACACGTAGCCGTGCCCATTGACCCCTACTGACCCCATCTCCAGCTCATCGCCACCAATGTAAAGAGCACTCGCGCCATACACGCTCTCTTCGAAAGCAGCTGCGATTCGCGTGAATTTAATCACCCAGTCTCGCCATTTGGCGCGTATCACCCTTTCACCATGCCTGGCCGCTATGCTCCTCAGAATGTCTTGCATGAAGGCTGTGTCTCCGGTGAGATCGCTCTCGGCTGCGACCTTGGAGGTGCCTCCAACGAGGCCAGCATACGACGGATTTTGTTGTTGAAAGTAGACCATTCCTTCGGTCGCGAGTGCCGGGTCGATCTTGCTACTGATCTTGACTCGTCCTGTAGGCAAGTCGCACAAGACGTCCCACCATTCGGGGTGCAATTCGAAGGTCGGATTTGTGACGCCAGCGATGAACCCAGGTACATTGAGGAGATCATCAATCTTCGTCAGGTCGGTATAAGGGAAAGCGTGTCGTGTGAAGCCCCTGAGTATGCCGCCGGACGCCAAGGCGCATGCCGCCAAGACTGCCTCCGCAACCTCGCCCGAAGGCATGTTGTGCCCCAGAAAGATTACCCGCTTCTGTGTCAGCAATGCATTGACCAACACAATGATCGGGTGCGTATGCGGGCCGTTTGTTGTCAACTGCGCGTGCAAGGGAAACGGTTGTGGCGCCTTACCCTGCGGCTCAGAAAACTTCTGGATAAGCTTAATCAAGGAGAAGTCGCCCACAGTCTCTGGCATGACGGCCACAGGCACCTTGATAGGAATCGGGATGCCCTTGTACATGACTTTGCTTTCGAATTCGTGTGTATCGCGGGGGACCGAGTATTGTGAAGCTCCCTCAACATGTGCTTTTGTCCCTGCTCTGGAAACGCCGGGCAACTTCGGCGGATCTCGAGTCGCATCAAAGGGCAGATCAGCAAGGTGCTCGCCGCGATCTTCGGCTATGCGCATTTGAATCATCTGTTCAAACTTCTCCACAAACAAGTCTTTGTTGTCACTGGCCAACAACAAATGCCGTTCAAGCAGGCTGAGTTTCGGCATGAGAGACAAGTCCATGGAGTTGACGGCATCGTACAGCAAGGCCAATGTCTCCGGGACCGGCGCCTTGAAGTATTCGTCTAGTGCCAGCAGCAGAAGGGGCTATAATATGTCAGTGGATAGAGCAAGGAGATGAAAGTAAGATGCCTGCTCACTTTATATATGTGCAGGAACGGATGCCTGGTGCAGATTGCCATGGCTTTCACAACAGCACCTCTCTTAACCGTCTTGTCCTGCTTTGTGTTGACCAAGTTCAACACATAGATCAAAGGCGGCCCTTCTCCTCCTTCGGGTTCGCCGTCGTCCGACTCGGAATCGTCGTACTCGTCCAAATCATCCAGGTCTCCATCTTCCTCGTCCAAGTCCTCGCCACCATCTTCTTCGTCAATAATCCCAGCAGCTCGGTTGCGCAAGCGCCTTCTCTTCTTTTTCCTGGCTTCCTTGGCTTTGCGTTCCTCGTCCTCCTCTTCCTGACTCGTATCCTTGTGCAGAAAGAAAATGGTCCAATCCTGATTCCGAACGTGGGCCTGATCGGGTAACATGAGCTCCGCCAGCATGTGCTCGTCGCCGGTGATGGAGACAGGATATTGGTGCTCCATCACCGGGCCGCGGTCGATATCGAAAGAGGCTACCAAGATGTACTCGACATGGTTCTCGGTGGACCCACGCGGGTACTGTGAGCGCAACTTGCGAGGAGGATGCGCATCGGGGTTGTAACGCCTTGGGGCGGATAGAGACGAGTGTTGTGACGACACACCAGTTGAGGGCGTCTTGGATTTGGAGCTCGGGTTCGAGGAGCGATCCGTCTCGACGATGGGAGGCGGCTGAGGGGATCGTGATGGACGAGATGTGTTGGACATTGACGAAGGAGATCTCGAAGCTGGGAAGCTGGAAAGCGACGTCCGACGACTGGGCCAGGGGCCGTTGGGTGGGGGATACTGCGTTTGCGTATTGGAGTAGTTGCGCGTGAGGAACGGCAGTGCAGTCTGGGTTGAAGCCATGCTAAAGAGGCAATGTTTAAATTGCGGAGTCGATCAGATTGGTGGATGGAGGGTTCGAGGCGTTGCGCAAGATGCCGGTAGCCAGAGCCATTCAGGATTGGATGCAGTCGAGGGGTCCGTTCGGGGAGGTGCAGCAAGTAAGGTTGACTCCGATCAAGATATGCGAGGTTAGCAAGCCTTGCTAGTGGTTGTCAGAAAGGTTAACGGCTCAAGGCCAGGGACAGTTGACGACGGTGAGGATGCGACATGAACTGGGCGACCGAGAGGGCGGGAAGTCTGTAGTGAATCGTGATTGTCGTCGGAAATCGTGAAGGTTGCTGGTAGTCTGGCAAAGTCCTGGAAGAAGCCAAGTGCGAGGCGTCGGTCCAGGGTGCAGGATGCGAGGTAGGGAGGGCGGCGACGGTGTGATGGAATGGGTACGAGGGAGGGACGCGGACGACGCGGCGGTACAGTACGTACTTGGTAGGCCGTAGGTGTGCAAACTCGTCCTGGAGCGGTATTCAAAGGTATGTGTAAGTCTCCGTCTTCAGGTCCAGGGTAGCGCGTGGAGGCGTTCTCAGACGATTGCCGAATGCGCTCTTCGAAACGTCAGATGCAGGCGACTGACTGACAGCAACCAGTCACCGCCAACAAGCGAAAACAGGAACGCCCCTCGGGAATTTGAGGTGGCAGAGAAGGAATATCCTGTTTGAAATGACCTAAAAAGCGTCAATGCGTGAAAGAGTAAACCACCGAGACATGATCTGCTACGACGTTTGGTTTGGTCTTCTCTCCCGCCCTCCCGCTCTCCTGAGCTTCCGAGCCTTCTCGTCCATGGGTTGGCAGAGGCCCTCGAGGTCCAGACTACCCACAACTCCTGACAGGGGATGGTTTAAGGTGTGGTGCTTCTTTTTCTCCTACCTTTTATTTATTTTAAATTGTGCAATGCGATTCGAACCGCTCGCCAGCTCAAATAATGCTCAGCTAAGGCGCATCGAAGCAAGGTACACGCACTCTTTTCGGCCAAACAGGGCGTCGGATTGAGATGGAAGGAGGTCTGCCCCTGGAAGGAATGCCGCGAATCGAACCTCTGGTTGGTTGCTCACCCTCTGCTGGCTGGCGGTCCTCCGCGTGTCGCTCTGTGCTAGTGAGCGGTGACGAGTACTTAGAGCAGCTGGTGGTTACGGATAGATTCAGATTTAGAACTCTTCAGTGCGTACCTCAGCGGAGCGCGGGCCAGCTGGTGGGCAATCGAGCGACACACAGATGGGGAGCCAAGTCCTAGCTGTGCTAGGTAGGCTATGCTGTCGGTCGGTCTGTCCAGAGACACGCAATCCAGAGACGGACAAAGAGACAGACAAGCAGGCCGATAAGCGGTTGACAGTCTGAGCTGGCATCCATATCCGTGAGCAAGTGGGCAGTGTCTGTGAGAAAGCGTCGACGAATGCGTGCTAAGCAATGCTGATCTCGGATTCCAGGTGTCCCTTTTACGGAATGCCTTTCAGTCAATAGTGTATGGGCTCGGGCCCCTCCTTTTGCTAGGCTTATCTCAATCTGTTTGAATTTTTTATTCTCGGCAGCTCTTCCCCCTCCCCAAACCTAAGCGTCCCCCTTTGGTCCCCTCCTTTCTCTCCCCTTTCCACGTTCCTCCCCGCTTTCCTTGTCCTCCCTGCTTTCCCCTTTTGAGAGATAGGTATCCCAAGCGGTCGCACCTAACCTAAATTCTGGCTTAGCGCCTAGGGTCCTTACATGAAACCCCTGTGGCTGAGGAAGAGGCGATTTGGCAGCTGATGTACTATGTAGGTAATGAAGTACATGTGAACCACACACCACCCCTACCCACCAGCCACGAGCCACAAGCCACAAGCCACGGTACCCTCTAATTCGGAGCCTGTCATCGTGCACGGACTGAAATGAGATGCAAGGCTGCCGTTGTCACGGAGAAGGCGCCTCTGTTTACTTCCAGCCCCCCAGAGCCACATTGTCTTGTCTTTGAATCAAGCCTTTCCACAAATTGAACCGCAACGCCAACTTGGCTTGACACAGAAGATTTATCTTTTCTTCCTTCGAGAAGTATAATCTGACACTGACGACGCCGCTTTCAAACCCCATTATTGCTTCTTTTGCTGCATCATCGCTGCCCCTCCCGGCACTCTCACCACCGCCTCTTGGCCTCCCCATATTTCTCGCATTGTTTACTTTGGTCCCAAGTGGGCGCGCGGCATCACAGATCCAGAGCAAGGCATTCCCTCTTTCCCGCCCACATCTGCTCCCGCCCCAAGTCCCGTCTCAATATGGTAGGCTAGGGCCCATCTCGCGCCCGGATCATCAAAATCTCTTGGGAATTCGCATGAATTTTGACCTGAAGAACCCACAACAGGCAATGCCCGCTGGCTACAAACCTTCCCCACTAGGGCCGCATGGCTCTCCTCGCAGCTCTCCGTTTAGAAGACCAGAATCTCCAGCATCACCGTCAGCAGTGCGACAGCCCTCGACCCAAGTGACGCCCTTCGGATCGCCGACGAAAGCGTCCTACGCAACCAACAACGGGCGCTTCGGCAACCCAACTACACCGACAGACACGGCCGAGAGTCGGACCCCCCGAGTACGAACGCCGACTGCTGAGACCACCATGGTCTCGCCACAGCCTCTCCGGCCGGGGTTGAAGAAGGCGATAAGTCACGGAAATGCGCTCTCGCATCTGCAACCCGCCCAAGTCAGACAGCTTCGGGAAGGGTTCGAGATCTTGGATCGCGACAGTGACGGTGTCATTAATAGAGAAGACGTCGCGGACATGCTGAACCAGCTGGGTAAGAAGGCAGGTGCGCGAAGACATTGAGCGCAACCGATCTAACACATCTCTAGGCCTCCCGTCCAGCGCATCCGATGTGTCACAGTTCTTCCCTCCGTCCGCGTCTCAGGCGATGACGATGGCTGCTTTCCTCAACTCCGTAGCCACGATGTTGGCATCATTATCACCCCAATCCGAGCTTCTTTCTGCATTCTCTGCATTCGACGATGACGATAGCGGGCAGATCGACCTCGCTGAATTGCGAGATGCACTACTACACACAGCGCCAGAGCCCGGCGAGCGGCCCTTGACGGAGGCGGAGGTCGAAAAGGTGATCGAGGGATTCACAGGCAGGAGAGCATTCAACCGCAACATGCAGGGCGGTTTGGGCAACCGTCGCGAGGTCTTTAGATACCAAGACTTCGTCAACTCCATCATGGGGACCAACACGGCGTCAGAGGGGGCATCGGCCGAAGGGTCTGAGGATTAAGGTCGCTTCGGGCAAGCAAGGCATCTGGCGTTTGCCAAATTGGGTGTGACGACATACGCGAGCGGCGCATGTGGAGACGAGGGCCGCGGGGGAACGAGCACAATTAAACGGAAACGAGGTTTGACGAACACATTCGGACATGATTGTACTTTTATTCATAGCAGGGCCGTTGGATCACGGTGGTGTCAGGTATAATTTCGGTTCGGTTTCACAATATCACAGTGTTGTGCCAAGGGTATCCGTTTGCTGTTGGGTAGTACCGGCAGCCCGCTCCGGACCCCATGTGACAGTGCGATCGAGGGACGGGGGGATGAAGGCCCAGAGGCCGAGATCGGGTGGGTGCGGCCTCTCGAGGTCGAGTCTGTATCCGTATCCTTGACCAAGCCATGCGCATGGGAATTTGGGTAATGCGAAAGGCTGGGAAAATTAGCCGTTGATGGCAGTGCATGCATCTTTTGTAAAGTTGATTCCTGCTTGCATATGTACGCAAAGGAATGCTTGGGCCCCACCGTATTCTTGGGTCTCGCATGGCCTTATGTCAAGAGAGGCACTTGACGGACAAAAGGACGGCATGGTGATGCCATAACTTTGGTTTGCAGGAGGTTGGGAGCTGCAAATCAACCAGGGCCCCCTTCCCCCTCCAGTGCCTGCAGCCTGCGCTCGCACCCGCAGTGCAGCACACATATCCCAAGGGGCGGGCGGCAGTGGACTGGGGCATGGGTCGGTTGGTGACCGCTGGTGCCCCCTTCTGCTGGTGCTGCTGTGTGTTATCGCCAAAAAACTTCAAGGGACCTTTTTCTCCCCTCGCCCTCTCTGGTGCTGGTTCAACACGGCGCAGGTAGTGGCTCGGGTTGGGTGGCATCAGGGAGAGCAACCCAACACCGGGCGGTTCGGCGGACCTTGAGGAGGGTGACACCGGGCGACAACCCAAACTGATTGGCTACAATCGCAGGGGTCCCCGACGGACCCCACCGAACCTTCTCGAACCGGCCCGCTGGGTTGCAGCGAACGGGAAAAGGCAATAGCCGTTTGTTGCAAACGCCTCGATATGCCGATTTGGGCTTTTAATCTGTGCCGGACATTGGACTGAGAGAGGAATTGGCTTTTTGGGCATTGACCTCGCTGTCAATTGGGAAACGATTTTCAACGTACCCGCCAAGTAACCTGAAATCACTGGAGAGTCCGTCTTTGAATACTGCGACTTCATTCTCAAAGCGAAAGCATTTCACCAAGCTTCTATCAGTTAACTAGCCAATTTGGTCCCCTGCAAACGCCTTGACGCCATCACACTCTGGGGTCCGGAGCTGGAGACCCTCTAAACGGAGGCTGAACATGTGTCGAGCTCCTCTCTTGCGGACTAAAAGCGCACCCATCACCCTGGTCTATGTTTTTAGAGGAAACCATAGGTAGGCCCATCTGGCACCTGCCTGATGCCCTCATTGCGCGTGGTGCACCATTGGCCACCAGGAAAACACCAAGAAAAATACAGGTGGCTAGGAAACGAGACAACGGCAACAACCACAAAGCGCGACCAGTGGCATTCGACCGACGATCTCGTCGACCACCCACCGATGTGCAGGTATCATGGTAAACAAGTTGCGGTTTCGAGGTTGCCATTGGCTCCCCGGCGGCTGCTAGTAGTCATCGGGAGACGGGACTGGGCCGTTTGGACAAGCTTCCTGTGGGGGTAATAATGTGAGCGGGCGACTCGACTTTGTCCTGGTTACATCAGATGCTGGCGTTGGCATAGGCGTCTCTGCATGTAGTCGATACCGTGGTCTGATGGCCATTGGTGATGCTACTGACGACTTTTCGCCCGTCTTGCCAATGGGAGTTCCCATGGGGTATGCCTAGGCCCCCGTTGCTGTACACACACGATGTATTCCTCGTTGTCTCCTCTCCTAGAGAGGTTGTCGTGGGCCAGCTCTTGGGCATATACATAGTACATCTCTGCATGCCCTGCTGCGTATGGACTGGTTGACACATCTTCCACATCACACACGCCCAGCCAGCACATGGGCAGCATCCAGGGCCTTGTCTAGTCGCCCAGTCTCCGTCTTCCCCGTAATCCCATAGGCGCAGACCCAGGCCTGGTAGGCGGGAAAAGCAAGACGAGAGATGGGAAAAATTTGTGCACAGCTGATAAATCGTCAAGAGTGTCTGCCCCCTGGGCGAGTAGCAAGGCACTCTCACTCGCCTCGCTTGTTGTTTGGGTTAATTTTGGTACTTCATCTCTGTTCCTGCCTTGGGCCACCGAGAAACGACAGCAGCAGAAAATCAATAACTTTGTGCAATTCACATCTGAAGCCTCCCCGCCGACTTCTTTCCTGCTTGCTTGCTTGACTGCTTGCCATTCCTGGAGAGATTATTCCCCTCCTACCCCCCTCTTCCCTCTTCCATCCATCTATCTGCCTCAACTTACGTATACTCTTGCTCTCTCGCTCAAGCACCCTGCCTCTTTCGCCGGCTGCATCTCCCCTCCAGTGTCCACTCTGATGGGCTGTGTTTCCTCTGGCCGAGCCTCTTTGCAGCAGTAGCCTGGGCTTCCTTCCTCTTTTCCCTCCTCATCCGCTCTCGCCCTACATTTCATACCTTTGCCTCCCGAGAGCCGCCCAACCTCTCTCTGCTCCTTCTTCCTCTCTCTCGCCTCCTCTTCCCTTCGTCTTTGTATTCTTGGACTCTTTGAGACGAAGCTGAATACCCAACTGCACACTCCTCCCGCACCAGCCGCACTCTCTCGCATTCCTCAAAACGAGTCAAGCTAGGTGCCGCTACCTTCCACCGGGCGCACCTGAACCCAGTAAAAAAAAAAGGACAGCACCTTTTTTTTTCTCCCCCGTTCCCCCTTCACTAGGCCCGTTAATGCGCTTTGGGGAATCCGTCACACAAGCATAACCTTGCATCGAGGTTCCTTACCTAATTAACCAACAAAAAAATAAGCCTGCGCATTCTTTGGTTCCCCTCAGAGGGTACTTGCTTTATCAATGAAGCTCTTCGCAAAGAAATCGTCCAAGAAGCAAGGCCAGGACGACGACGACCACCACCAAGATTCGAGCTACTTTCCCTCCTCTGAGGCCTCTTCTCCTACGAAGTCGCCCACCAAGCCCCGATCCCCCACCAAATCGCCGACAAAGTCCCCCACCAAAAAATCCTCCCAGCCCGCATCTCCAGGCCCTCGGGAGACAAAGTCGTCGCGCACATCCCGCACCTTTGGCCGCCACCCTACCGACCCGGGCTCACGCAGGAGCAGCAAAATCGACCTCGATTCCCACCCTCTTAACCTCCCTCCTGAAGAGCGTGCAAAGAGACTTTCCGCCCTGTCAGCCATGAGTGGAAACGCCATGGACATCGACCGTGAGTCGAGTGCAGCGCCGTCATCGCCTGCTGCTGCGGCACCCCAACAACCCTCCGTGCCGTCTTCTTCCTCCTCCCCTAAGCTGAATGGCATCAACACCAATGTCAACGGCACTGGCGATGCTCCGGCCCCGCCCCCTCACAAGTCCAACCCCTCCAGCCCAGTCCCCACGACCGAGGATGAGGCCGAGGCCTACAAGGCTGCGGGCAACAAGTTCTTCAAGGAGAAGGACTACAAGAACGCCATCCTCCAGTACTCCAAGGGTATGTTTTACCGCCGACTGCGAACTCCGTAGCACCCCAAATTGACAATTCCGCTCCAGCTATTGAGTTGGTCCCCGACTCGGCCACCTATCTGAGCAACCGTGCTGCTGCCTACATGTCCAATACCCAGTACGAGTACGCCCTCGAGGACTGCACCCGCGCTGCCGACTTGGACCCCGAGAACCCTAAGATCCTTCTCCGACTTGCCCGCATCTACACCAGCTTGGGTCAGCCCCAAGAGGCTCTGCTTGTGTTCGGCCGCATCAACCCTCCCCCCTCCGCCAAGGACCAGGCTTCAGCTAAGGAGATGCTCAAGCACGTCACCGCTGCCCAGAGTGCCCTCCGAGATGGCACCGCCGGCTCCATGGTTCTTCATGCCCTAGACCAGGCTGAGCGTCATCTGGGCTTCGGTGCCTCCAGACCTCGCAAGTGGCAACTTATGCGGGGCGAGGCGTACCTCAAGATGGGTACCGTTAACGCCCTTGGCGAGGCGCAGAACCTTGCTATGGCACTGCTCAGAAGTAACAGCCAGGACCCTGAGGCTCTGGTGCTTCGTGGTCGCGCTCTGTACGCCCAGGGCGAGAACGATAAGGCCGTCAGCCACTTCCGCAAGGCCATTAGCTGCGACCCCGACATGAGGGATGCGGTCAAGTATCTCAGAATTGTCCAGAAGCTCGACCGGATGAAGGAGGAGGGTAACTCCGACTATAAGATGGGCCGCTGGCAGTCCGCCATTGAGAAGTACAGCGCTGCGCTCGAGGTCGACCCGGCCAACCGCGGCACCAACTCAAAGATCCTGCAGAACAGAGCGCTGTGCAAGATCAAGCTTAAGGATTACGATGGAGCCATTGCTGACTGCGAGCGCGCCATCAGCCTGGACTCAACGTACCTCAAGGCCCGCAAGACCAAGGCCAACGCTCTTGGGCAGGCAGGCAAGTGGGAGGATGCTGTGCGGGAGTGGAAGTCGATCCAGGAGCTCGACCCTGAGGACCGTACCATCGCCAAGGAAGTGCGCAAGGCCGAGCTGGAGCTCAAGAAGAGTCAGCGCAAGGACTACTACAAGATTCTCGGCGTCGAGAAAGACGCCGACGACAACCAGATCAAGAAGGCCTACCGCAAGCTTGCCATCATTCACCACCCCGACAAGAACCCCAATGACGAGCAGGCTGCCGAGCGCTTCAAGGATATCGGAGAAGCCTACGAGACCCTGAGCGACTCTCAGTAAGTCCAATGTTCTGTGACGAGAAAACGACCGTTGCTAACCCCCCTTTTCAGAAAGCGTGCTCGCTACGACAGCGGTGAAGACCTCGTCGACCCGTCTGACATGTTCAGCGGCGGTGGCGGTATGGGTGGTATGGGCGGCATGGGCGGCATGCACGGCGGCATCGACCCTGAGATTCTTTTCAACATGATGGGTGGTGGCGGTGGATTCGGTGGTGGCGGCGGCTTCAACGGGGGCGGTTTCCCCGGCGGAGGCGGCGCACACTTCAACTTTGCCGATGGAGGAGGCGGTCGTCCGCGCGGAGGCGGTGCCGGCTTTGGCGGCCGCGGCTTCAACTTCTCGACCTGACAACCCGAGTCGGAGGAAGATGAAGCAGAAAATTACGACGAGCCCGCCGAGCCGGGACGCAAGACGGGCGGCTCATTTGCCCAAGAGTCGAGGAAGAGCCACACGAAGCGGCGCCGAGATGAAGGCGACCGACTTGTGGACAAGATCCGCCGGTATGGAGTCTGGGTCGTGGCCGCTCTGGTCCTCGTCCCCATGCAACTCCTTTTACTGGCGGCGGCAGCTGTGGGATTCGTGTACATTTGCATCATAGGGGCCCGGAAGCTGGGCATACGGCTCCGCGGCGGGGAATGAGCTTTCGACTGCAAACCTTGGCATTCGGGATAGACTATGACGCACAGAAAGAGTCACACACACCGGCGGCGTTTTACCCAGGCATCGAAATCGTCCTTTTTTGCGTTTTCACCACTTTACTTTTGGTAGAGAGAGAGAAAGAGTCACGACCCAAATTCTCTAGCCCCCGAACTCGTGGAGACGAGAGAAAGGGTAGGGGAGACGTCTTGCATATCCCATCGAATGCTGGATGGGCTTTTCTGTTTGCGAGGTTAGACATAATTGACACTGGTAATGGAGCTGTGGGCGTCTCATTGGGACGCCGCGCCAGCCCACTTTTGACTTGTTCATGAAACTGCTCTGGTGATTTTTGTTCTGCCATGCTCTGCACGTGGCTATGGGTATCATTTTCTCGCGCCCCGATCTCGGGCACCATCATCCTCGCGCTGCACGCGTCGCCCTTCCCGTCTGCTTTGTAGCCATTTTCAATGCTGCTACCCCACGGCCTCCGCCACGACCACCGCATCCCTCCTCGGCCAACGCATCGGGCCCCAAAAAGACGAGGCCTCGCCCCAACGGGCGGGCCTTCTCAGTTCGCCCCGGGCCTCCCACTCCCGACAACCCTTGTCCCCTCCAGGACCCTCGCCACGTCGTCCCGCAGCTCGGGCATGCCCCTCTCGATGTGGTCGGCGAGGACGTCGCGGAACTGCGCAAACGCGCCCATCTTGCCCTTCATCAGCTGGTTGCCCCGGCGCACGAGCTCGACGAACTCGCGCGTGTAAATGTCCGGGTTGCGGCCGTTCTCGACGTACTGCACGAGCTCGGGCGGGATCTTGGGGAGGGCGCCGGGCAGGTCGGGCTGGGGGGGCGCGCCGGCGGTGGCGGTCATGTGCACGCGCTGTAGGGACTGGGAGAGGGCCTGGACGGACTCGGAGAGCGCCGGGCCCGAGGGGTTCGAGGGGGTCGCGTTGTAGGTCGTCACCTGCACCATGATCTGGTAGAGGTCGTGGATCGTGTCTTTGAGCTGCTCTGCGAGGTCGCGGGAAGGGTCAGCGCGGAAAGGGGGGAAGGACGTGGGGATGCGTACGCTCCAGCTCGGCGGGAGTTGGCTCGTCGAGGGGCGCCATCTTGGCGGTTGCGTTGGTGTTCTCTTCTTTGTGTGGTGTGTGTTTTTTGGTAGCTCGGAGAGGGACGACACGGGCGGATTGAGTATCTTGGGCAGGCCAGCCGTGGTTGATGACGACTGTGAGTTGCGACGTGAGGGACGAGGCTGAGAGAGCGAGGTTTGGCCGATCAAGGTTGAAGTTGGCTCGCACTGGCGGGATGGGCCGGCGGTGGCACCTTGCAAGTGTGGGTGTGGGACAGGTACTTGCAAGGGTGGTAAGTGCAGGCAGGTTGCGACGGGTCGGAGCCGGTGGTCCCTGGTTCGGGGGCCGTTATGCTGCGACCCCGGTCTTAATAATGACAGAAGCTCAGTAATGAACCCCCTACATAACTTGCCAGCGGTTCGTGCTTGGCTCTCGGCCATGTGTACCGGGAGGAACCTACGACGTCAACAAACTAGCATCAAGAGCCCAGTCGCTGATTAAGCGTTTTAGTTCGAGTATTTCTGCATGTTGCACTACTGCTAGCGGTAAGGATATCTCTTGAGAAACTACTTGTTCAGGGTCCGAAACCTTTCACTTCCCGCCAAATAACTTCCGTAAAGCTTGCATGTTCTTCCTCTTACCCAATTCTCGAGGCGAATCCGCCCCGTCAGAGAGTAATCTGATCGTACTTTGGTTAGATCCTTGACCGCTGCTGCTTTCGTCCGCTATACTCGCCGTCTCCCGTGACAGTCCCAACCCAGCTCCAAGGGTCGCTCGACTTAGAGCAAACATGGCTGGCTGCTTAGCCCGTAGTCGCGGTGACGGGGACCGGATCGGGTTGTACCGCTCCAAATACTCGGATGACTGAGGCGGTGGAGTCCGGCGTATGGCGTTGTGCCGTGGGATGCGAGCCGGAGCTAGCGGGCTTTGGGGCCTGGTGCGGCGGAGCTGCGGCGGCGGGGCCTTGTACCGCATCATTTGCTCCGAGGGTGTTTCCGGCGGCGTGACGTAACCCGACGAGGTCGTTGTGTCTGATTTCTCGAGACGGGATGCTACGCGGGAAGAAGGACGTTTGAGAGGCTCATTGCTCACCCAGGAGAGGGGCGGCGCACGTCTGATCTCAGAAGGCGTCCAGATCGAAGAAGAGCCGGGTGGGGTCTGCGAAGGCGATGGACGACGAACGGGTGTAGTCAGTTGGTCGGTTGGTGTAACTGACCTTGCCGACCCCAATGTCGAAGTATCTGACGTTGATGTGGCCGGTGTATGCGCAGAATCTGTCAGTGGACGAGGAGGTGTGCTAACTACTTGCCATTTCTCGTCTGACCGTGCAACCCCGCGGAATGACTGCATCCATATTGGTATGGGCTTTGTCGGACTGGGTTTGAACGCAGGTCGGCCTATGGGATCATGAATGGAGACGTATATCGTAGACTCTAAAGGTGGTGTTGCCGAGTGTCCTCTGGCCCCATCGTGCGAACCGTCTCCCACTCGACGAAGTGAAGATGAATCTCGACTCAGTGATCGAATGGACTGTGACCGGGTCAGCCTCCAGCCCATACTCTTTTTCTGATGACTTACCGCTGGGGCCCTCCTCAAGTGTCCGGCTCTAGCCTCACCAGCATCCCACCTTGCCCGACTCAAACCACCGTCAACCTTCTCGACCCTCTTGAGCCCTTGCTGCATCACATCCTCCCCCTCCATACCCAGATAACAGGCAGCACACAGCGGCGGCACATCGACCTCCTTCATGCGCCCCTTACCCGCCGTCCCAGCAACCCTGCGAGTCGTGCTCCCTTCCTCGTCGACATCGTGGCTATCGTTGAAGAGCTCCAGCAACGGCACGCCACGATACACCAGCTTGCTCCCGCAAAACAGACACCCGTAATACGAGCGATGCCAGAAGCACTATCCCAGGCTCACGCACTCGTCGCCGCGGTAGACGATCTCCCCGCAGACCCAGCAGATGGCGAGGTCGATGAGAGCCGCGTGGCAGGGCGAGCAGGTCAGGCGTGCCTCGGGACCCAGAGCGTGAGGGGGGTCTTCGGAAGGTTGGTAGCAGAATGTGCAGGTAAAAGGGACTGAAGCGTGCGGCGCCATGCTGTGCAAGAGATGTCATCGTCCCGGGCGGCCGAAAACAACTGCCCCGTAGACGATGAACAACTAGCAATGTTGGGTTGCTAGCGAGTGGTGTTTGTTAAGGCGCAAGAAGAGGTCGGCGTGGCTACCCACTGCTAACGACAGCGGCTGCTTCAATATAAACGAACAAGTCGACCCTTCCTACGTCGTACGTCCCCCGCAACTGCAGTCTTCGGCCAATGCAACTTCACTAGGAACATATTGTGAGCTCAAAATCAGAATGACATTGTGTTGTAAGAGTACAACTTTTGATACCCCGAAAAGCTCAGTTGAGGTAAAGCCTGCCCGAGACCTAAACAAAGACAACCCTTTTGCCAACTCCAGTCGGTATTGTACAGAACAAAGCACAAACAACGCCGAGACCAATCCATCTCCCTATGAAACCCCCACGGCCCAGCCTACTCAACCCAGTTGTCAAGACAAAGCATCCTAGTTACGCCTGTCGTACACCCCTGCAACCCCGTACTGCCAACAGCCATCAGTTGTCGGACGGATCTGACAGTACGTGTTCGACTCTCCAGAAATTCGCGTTTGTCATCATATAGTACAGTTAGCAACACCAACACTTGGCATCGCATCGCAATAGGTGGGTCTGTTGTGTTCCCCAGCAATCATCCATGGAATGCTCAGCGTCGCAGCTTCGGCTTCGCAAGCATGTTGAGTCGGCTCAGACTCATGCCGCCGCGCTTCATTGGGCTTGGCGACTGGGCGGCCCGGAAACCCTGAGCCTTCTTGCCTACAGTGCGGGGGGTCGTTCCCATCAGTCTGGGGGCAAGTAGAGCATCTCCCTCGGGAACATGCTCAGCCTTGCGTCTCTTACCGGCTCTCTCGGCCGGGTTCTCCTCAAGATCTCCCTCCTCCTCACGAGCTCGAGCACGCTTCTTGTTCGGCATGCCGTGGGGCTTGCCAGCGAGCAGCCGCATGGGGGACCTATTCTCCTTGTTGGCAACGAACTCGGTCCCGGTCGGGAAGCTACCCGGCATGTCCAGCGAAGACCTGACATGACGGACGCTAGCTTGTCCAGCAGACGATCCAAAGCCAGTAGGCGAGGCGCTACCAAAGCGAATGGTGTGGTCACTACGGAAAGTGAACGTTCCAGGAACAGTCGGAGGCAGATCGCTAGTGCTCTCGGTCACCTTATCGGTGGCCTTCTCGCTCGCCTTCTCAGACGGGCTGTCGACGTTCAGGTCGGGATAGAGACCGTCGTCCTGCTTTCGTTGGGTGACGTTGCCGAGCATGGCGTCAAGGCTTGGATACTGGACCTCTGCCTGCTTGCGGATGGGAGTCATGCTGGCAAAAGCTCGGTGCGCGACCGTGTTGGGAACGGCGGCGTCGGCGGTCCGATCAGTGTCCGGAGTGAAGTCAACCCTCTTAAACAGCTTCCTTCGCGGCGTGGTGAATGGAACCGCGTGCAGAGGCTTTTCCGCCACTTGCGGAGCAGGAGTTTGGGAGACGCCAGAGGCGGGCTTGGGAATGGCGCTCTTCGTCTTGTCCAGAGCCCCCGTGCCGCCGCGCAGAATCGACTTGACTCGTTCAAACCGGCCTGGGCTCACAATCCGGCGTTTCAGCTCGGCCGTCTTCTCGAACGCAGTGAGGTTGTTGGTTGTAGCAGACTTTGTGAGACCACCCAGGTCAGGTTTGGAAGGCGATTTTTTGAGGCCTCCAAGTTCCGGCTTCGAGGGCGACTTTCTAAGACTACCCAGGTCGGGCTTACTAGCTGACTTGGTCAGCGTACCAGGAAGAGGCATTCTGCTGCCGGCGGCGCGAGCCAGCGAGGAAGCGGTAGGGCTCGTCAGCGACGCCAAGCTGGGCTGAGGTCGAAGACCAGAAGGTGCGTCAGTTCCGCTAGACTTAGGGCGCGGTAGAGAGCTGCCATCGCGGGAAACAGGTCGAGCTGTAGAAGCGTCGTCCTCAAAGCGCTGTCGCACGCGTTTGACGGAAGAGGGCGGCTCGATGAGGGCAAAGAGACGAGCCTTGGGCCGAGAACCAAACGAAGCCTTCCTGGAATCACTAGAGTCCGTGTCGTCCAGATTGGCCTTGGACGGGGACCGCTTGAGGCTCGACTTCTGCTGACTAGGCGTACCGGGTACGCCCAGGTTCAGCTTGGAAGGCTGCTTGAGGATAGACTTCGGGTGGGTAGGAGTGTCTTCAAGGTTCGCCTTGGAAGGGGATCGCTTGAGGCTTGACTTGGGATGAGTGGGAGTGTCGTCCAAGTTGACCTTCGAGGGGGACCGCTTCAAGCTGGACTTGGGCTGAGTAGGCGTGTCGTCGAGATTGGCCTTGGACTGAGTGCGCTTCAGCGAGCTCTTGAGAGGAGTGACTCGGCCGGGCTGGGCTCGGAAAGATGAGGGGTGACCTTCGATAGAGTCCATCTTCTTGAAATCGGCCATGTGGGCGGCGCTGAAGCGACCCGACTTGCCCCTGGCCTTGGCAATCCTGCGTCCGTTGATTTCTTCATCCTCTCTCTCCAATTCACGTTTGGCGACCAGCTCCGCCTTGATCCGGGCGGCCTCCTCGCGTAGGTCGTTCATCATCCGCTGAGCATCATTGCTCAAGCCGGTGTCGCTGGTAGGCTGCGCGACGCGAAAGGTGAAGGGCGACTCAGGCACACCAGTGGTCTTGGACGGCGTCGCCTGAGGGTCGGCGTCAGAGGGCTTCATGTCTCTGAAGCCGAGCCAGGTAGCCGAGGGAGGTGCGACGGTGGGGTGGACTTTGCTCGGGTGCATTTCAGACAATGGCGCCTTAAGTTTCGAGGATGAGGAAGGCGTGGCAGGATCGTGGGTCGGGACGACGAGGGCATTCAGACTCTCAGCGACCTCTTTGGAGGGAGGAGTATCATCGCGTTCGGCGACGGCGGCTAGGGCAGACTTGGCCTTGGGCTAGAAATAAATAAAATGTGAGTCAGGGTCCGCGAGTCGGCTTTTTTTTGTTTATCCAAGCGGTCAAAGAGCCTCCTTACCTTTGGCGTGTTGGCGCTGGCCAACCGGGCCGAACGACGGCGGGGCGGTGACATCCTGATGGCTGATGGTGAACGTCGTCAGCTTCGTTTGCTGGATTGCTGGACTGTCAGTAAAGAGCAAAGAGCAAGACGAACGAGGTCGATCCAACGAGGCCCTGGGTTGAAGGAGGAAGGGTTGATGATGTCAGGCGAGAGTGGATGGGGTTCGGCTCGGTGCGCGACGGGGGACTTTGGAGGGGCTCCTCGTTTGTTTACATTGCGCGCCGCAATCCGATTTCTGATTGGGTGGAAACGGACAGACGGCCCAAGCTCCAGGCCCTGTGCCCACGGTGGGTGAGGTGGGGCCACAGTGGGCGAGGCCGTGTTCTTCACAATCTTTGCGGTGAATTCAAAGTAAATATGTGCGGCTCCTCTTCGTGATCCGCCCAGTATTTACTTGGATGACCCTCGGGTAAATAGTACTCCTCATGGGTTGTAAACAAGGGCAGCGCGTGGCTATGGAGCCTGTGTCGGCCTACTAATTCTCGAACCCTCTCTTGTTTCATAACAGTTGGTGCATCTCATCTTGTTTGGACCCAATGCTACGCCTGCCATGGCACAACCCTATTCTTACCCTTGGCGCTACTGCTCGAAGCCCGTATTCCTTCGATGTCCTGGAACTGGGTAGGGTCGAGATCTACAGCCGCCAAAAGCGGTAAACTTGGGTAACATTGATCGTTTGGTCTAAGCTGTGGCTTGACAACCATATCACAAGCCAGTTTGAATCCCAAGAGCTAGGTCCCAAACCCGATCCGCCCTGCCATCGCAACAAACGTTTCGACCCTGCCTCCGACCCTGGTTTTCGGCTGCATTTTCAGACCTGCTTGGTCTACAATGTCCTATGACACTTGGGCTATCTCTTGACTTGCTTTTGTTTTTATCCGGTCCAAGTGAGCGGTGATGTTGGCCCATGATCTCTACACGTCGACACAGCATGTGTTGGGACATGCTTCTTCGTCAAACCGGCACCACTTCTGACTCAAAACGGATTTGTTTGCTACACCTAAAGCCTATGCTTCGGAGTCGTCTCACCTGATTGGTGCCATCATGTCACAACTCATCGCAAATCCATCTCCTCCGCAGCGTGACTGTGCCCCTGGGCGACTCCGGTCAGCCACCATGTGACAAATTGATCTCTCCGACGAGTGAAACGACATGTTGTCTTAGAAAGCCGCGGGAAAGAGTTGACTCTGCTTGACAGCTTCGAGGCCCATGACCACGGGAGATGTCTGCAACATAGTCACACCCGCCATCTTTCTGAGGCTACTACACTATCACTGGTATCAACAGGCGTATTGCACGAGCCTCAAACTTTCTCAGATAATCTCCACATGAGTATTTGCCGTCTCTGCTAGCAGTGTTTGTCGAGTTAAAAGAATGTCCAGATGACAGCGATAGCATTAGGTGAGAAGAACCCACCTGGACAGACTCTGTTCAGCAACTACGTGGTTTCCCCAGCTGGATCTGGAAACGGTAAGCAGGGGGGTGTTCAAGTAGAGCTACGATCTTCCTCTACTTCCAGGCCACTTGAAGGATGGCAGAAATTCTTCGATATAGTCGATTGACCAGGCTAGGAGACCTCCATTCAGCGCTACAATACACATAATACAACATCGTACAGGAACAACGGTAGAACAGGAGAGTGTTCCAGCATTGTTACAAGTCGAGCAGCTGCCGACTTTTGGGGAAAACAGAGCAAATCGAACTCACCGACCCTTCCAGTGTCGTTGGAAACAGTAGACTAAGTCGGGCGTTGGACGATGCTCATGCTGTGACTATCTGTAACGGATTGTGGTCAGCTCGTGGTCAAATGAAACTTGGAAAGAAAGAAACAGAAGTTGAGAAGCCCCAGGATCGCGTTTGGCCCTTCTCAGGTCGCTCCGATGCGTATCAGAGTCAAACAAGACGAACCGCCATAGCCTTTCATGCTCAAACTTCGATCAGAAGCTTAAAGGCGCTAGGGCAGGTACCCTTCTTTCCATCATTATACTCCTCGCTGTCCCCTTCAACGATACCGCAGACCGGGGTATTCAGGAGTGCACATGGACAAGAAAACTACAGAAAGGCTGGGTTTGGCACAACCCCTTACTGTAACTTTCGAATGGACAACGGACGTGTAGTGAAACGAAAGGCCGAGAAGACCTTTTCATTAACCATGGAGGAGGTGTGTGGAGGCGTGTGAGCAATGTTAAGTGGACTGAAGAGCACACCATCGATGTTTCGCCCGCGGATAGCACCGAGTTTACATGCATACAAGTGTTGTTTTTGTTGTCAGACCCAACTCAGAGAACACCAGCCAGGCAAGGTGAAGATGGCGTTATCTTATTACTATCAAGGTAGCTGGACCCAAGAGATGGTACGGCCCATCTCTCAACCGGTCATGCTAGATGTAAAAACACCGCATTTGTCTGAGGAAGCATCGTGCGAAGCTGATCCATATTGCCAAACACTCAAACCCTCGACACAACCTTCCTCCCAAGTCTGCTGTTCATAGCATGGAGAGTCCCGTGGTACGGCGCCGTGTGCGTGGTCTACACGGCTCAGCTACCATAACATAGAGGCATCGGCACCAAAATTTTAGGTGTTTGCGAGACGCAGGCGGCCAAAAGCCTGGCCTCACCATAACGATGGCTGGCGTGAAAGCAGACAGGCCCCCGCGCTGCAGGAGTTTGATAGTTGACAGTGATGTGCGGGATAAGCTGTCAAACTCATGCCATTAGTTGGCCCAGAACCTGCCGCTCGAACACATCCTATATTGCCGGGGCCCGAACATCCTTAAAGGCATGAACGAGAACCGCAAGGTCCCTAGCATCCTGACCGGTGTCGGGCGTCTCCCTACGCCCATCACGTCGATTCAACGGCCGTCACCGGGGGGGTATGCAAGCCGTGCCGATCCGTCTCGGAGACCTCTTCCGTGCCGCTCTTCTTGAGGGCGGCCTCGGCCTTGGCTCGCCTCTTCCGCGCCCGCCGGACCTCGATCTCCACGTCCTTCATCTCGGCATCCACCGAGACAAGCCGCGGGATAATGTCCTGTACGGCCTGCACCGAGAGCGTTTGCGCCTGTCGCAGAGTCAACGGCGCCAGGATGCCGAACCACCGCAGAGGGTCGCTGCTCTTCTTCTGCTTCTTCGCCTGCTCTTCCTTCTCCGTTTCCGCCTCACCCTTGGCTTCATCAGCAGATGTTGCCTCATCGGCCCCATTACGCGGAGCCTCATCAGCGTCACCAGACGCGCGCCCCTCGCGGGTCTCCGCCTCCGCCTCCACTCCCGCCGCCTTTGGCACCGTCACGGCATCCGCAGGCTGGACAACCTCGAAGCGGGGAACACCCCTGGGGTTGGCAGAAATGTCGAGGACCCTCGAAGCCCGCATGCGCTCATCGTAGTAGTCGGGGCCGTATCGGACGCCCCTCTCTGCGGAGAAATTGGCTCGTGCGATGTTCTGATACATGCCGACCTGGGCCTTGCCGAGGCGCTCGCGCAGGACCGTGTACTCGTCCAGCAAGACGAGGTAGCGCTCCAGCAGGCTGTCGATGTGGTCCGTCTCCATGGTCGCGTGGGCGGGCGTATGTGACGTGTGTCGGCTGTTTTGATGGGAGAGGCGAGGCGGCGGTGATGTGGCTGGTGTATAATACCGGTATGCGGAATAATGGCTTTGTCCGTTGTGGCTCAGTGTACGCTGTGACGAAGCCGGCACGGGTGATTTGCAAACGTCGTCAATGTTGCGGAGGCGGATTGAGCTCCATAGGGCTATGCATGAAGTCGATAGTCAGCTGTAAGCCTCAAAAGAGCGAGGAATCTGTGGCTTGGGTGATGATCTGCACAGAGGGGGTGGTATGCAGGGTAGCCCTGAGCTAGTGATTTCCAAGACCCAAGTTTACGGCTGCAGTAGCGGTACTTGGCTTTCCTGAACTGCCGTGGGCAACTCTGGCCAGAATTTCGACGAGGATTAGTATCAGTACTTTGGCCATGCCTACCACCAACAGCAGAAGCTAGTTGCAGCTCCGCGAAGCAATCAAAGCAATTTCCATGTGCAACTCCTCGATATGCGAAGAGCGCCATATCCAAGTCATTTCCGAACGGGTCATGGCCCACGCCAAGACCGGCTTCCACAAAAGAAAACGGCCCGGCAAACAACGTGAAAAAGAGAATGCAATGCAACGGCCCCGTGGAGCACAAAGGCCGAGGCGAGGTCGAGATTTAGCAGCACACACAGACGGGAACAAAGAACAGCGACATCGTCCAATCCACTCTCTTTTGGAGGCTTGCCCTGCCCCTGCCATGGGGGCCAGGAGGCAGTCGGGTCGATTGCTTGCAATGCCTTCGTATTCCATGTCACCATTCTGGCATAGCTTCAAGTGGGGACAATGGCCACTGGATGTTGCGCTGGGGGAGAATGCCGTCCGAAGGGGGGAAAACCGACACTCAGGGAGAATTACAGACAGCGCAAGGACTGTCAAGGAAGGGTCTATATTGCCTGTTAGTACTTATTTCCCGTTGTCAACCGCAATCTGTCTAGCACGAGCAGGGGGCAGTTCTCTTGTGTCGGCGATCCCCGTTATCAATCACATAGGACCCTTGACAGCAACGGTAGACGGAATTGAAGATGAACGGATAAAAAGGCAAGCGGAGACCTTGGCTCTCATTTGGTGACCGGAAAGAGAGTCAGAAACGATGAAAGACGGAAACCTAATGCAAGGCGGGATGCAAGCCGGGCTATGCTGTAAAGTACCGGAGTCATGGACGGATGGAAGCATTGAAAGAAGGACGCGGGCGTCCGTTGGCCGATCCCCTCCATCTAGCTTGTTCCCTGTACGCAGGAGACTGCTTCAGATGCGTATCGTCCATATGATTTGAGAGACACCGTCCGACCCCAAGTCTTTCCCGGACGCCGTGCTGCGTCTCGACTTCATGTTGACAGCATGAAGCGAGGGTCTCATGCGAGACGGAAGGCGGCAGCGGCAGAAAGATTGCATAGCAAATGGGATCTGGCTGACACTGCATGCTGCGAGCGGGCGGTGGGATGGCGTGTCAGTGTCGAGCGTCTGGGTTCGAGACCATGGGCCGAGCCAAAGACAAAGAAATGCTTGCCAAACGATTCGTTCGTTGGACGAACCGAATCAGCGCACAGGCACTCCGAGGGATGGCAGACCCGACCGTTAGGGCTCGAAGAAAGGCCAGAGTGACAACACTTGCCTTGCACGGCAGGCACCAGCAAACAAACTCAAGGTATGGAATAAGGTGATGGTAAAGACCGTGGGGAATGTTAGTTCTAGGCCGTTTTTGCTTTTTGATGGAGGTGCGGATACGCCCGGAACGACCATCTCACCTTGATGCAACCTGTTCCACAGTAGGCAGAGTCGGTTGAAGGCGTAGGCCCCGCCTCCGAGAGGCCAGGCTGCGAAGAGCAGCGTTCGCCAACTAGGAAGAGAAAGAGGATCGATTGAGGGCCTTCTTGGATCCGGTAGTGCTCCTATCTCGATAGTCGGGTGCTGCATGCCGCAAGTGGCGGCGGAGCGCAGCCGTTGGTTGTCCAACTTACGATTTCATGCCGATACGGGCAGGGCGTCGATCTGTTATCGATCCTCGAGCGGAAATCGTCGGATGGTTACGTGAAAGAAATAGGACTGACAGGCTGGCGAAGAAAGCTTGCCAGACAAATTTGAGTTGATGCCCATCATCGACCCATGCAGGTCCGTGCGTTGTGCACCCAGAGGCTGTTGGGTAGGGGGGAGGGAAGAACAAGAACCTATGGATGCATGTTGAATGTTTTATCAACCTTAGCCGAAGAGTCGAAGTCTAGTTTGCCTATCTTACCCAAGGAGCTGCGTTAAAAACGCACCCTGCACCGTCGATGTGTAGGCCAACGTGAGGGTATCCAATTCCCATCTGCCGAAGGACATTCGGGCGTTTTCCTCATCTGATGAATTCTGTGGCAACCGTGCCAGTGTCTTGCATCGAATTACACACTGACATGAGCGTCACCATTGTTAAATCGAGAACGGGACGAAAAACAAAGGCCTCGGTGACGGGAGCGAGCAAGGCCTGAGCTGTTTGGCAAAGAGGCAGATATGATTGACGCCAAACAGGCTGGCGGGATGTCAGGCCTGGGAAGCAGGTGCTTGTGCTTTGCCTGTGCTTGCGTCGAGGAAGGTCTCGCTCTTGCTCTGCCCTTCGCTTCCCGCCTGACATGTTTGTTCAGCAAGAGGATACCTTGGTACGAACCAATATGATATGTACGTACCTCACCCCTCTGAGCACATGCGTTCTGCATATGTACACTACAAGGAGACGGGTGGGGTGGAGGCGCCTCAGGCCCCGAAGATCCTCAATTTGCGCAACGACGAGGGTCCTCTGAACGCAACACGGCTTGGCACTCCCCCAAGCATCAACAGCGCCCTTACTGGCAAATGCAACTGCCTCCCGTCATTAATCACATCAACCAACACGGCTTGGCCACCCCGACAGAGGCACTCTGATTGCTGCCGGCCCAAGATCTGCTCTCAGACTCTAAAAGTCTAAGTCAGCGGATGCTTCTCGACCAAGAATAAGGGACGACGACCCACCTTTTACGGGATTCACGAAAAAAAAGTGGTCAGCGAGAGCGGTGAAGAAGTCCCATGGCCGTTGCCAGTGCCCCGCGTCCGACCCTGAGCGAGATGGGGGCGGTTACAAGCCCAGAGCCCCCCAAAGGCTTTGTCCAGCGCATCATCGAGGCCAGTGTTTAGTCCGTTTAGGTTTGTTGGCAAGACACCGAGTTTGCTTCCTCGGGTCCAAGGCACGCATAAGCATCGGCACCGGCACCGGCACCAAACGCACCTCTTCGTCTCAAGAGCAAGCGCCTGAGGTGTGTCTTGTCGGCAGCGCTGGGTGGCTGCTCGCGCCGCCGTCCATGCTGCATCTCATTCTCTTCTGCTATTAGTGGAAAGGGAGAGAGCGAGAGGAGAGGGGAGAGGTCGATTGGAACTGAGATGACCAGACAAGGGCATGGCACTGGCAAATGGCTACGTACCCCCCTGAATGGTGTGTTGAAGCCCGGACAGATTGGAAGCAAGCCAGCCGGGCTTGAGAGATGGGAAGCCCCAGCCGGAGAGCACCATTCCTCGTACCGCCGCCATGGATATTTGATGGTTCGGTACCTTGGTGCAGTCAGGTACGGCACCAGGCAAGAATTGGAGACCTTGGACGCTTGGGGGGTTCCTCTCCTTTGCAACGGAGAGGTCATGGCTGGAACATGGCGACCTTCCGGGTTAGGTCATGTCCTTCAGCTAACACTGCACCAGACCGTATCAAGGAGCCCAAGGACAACCGACAAGGCGCCGTTGATCCGGCTGGAACAGTGAACTGCCTCATCTGCTGAGTGAGGTACGACGGGGCGCCAATCCCAAGCTTCTGCAAATGTCAGCCTTGCAAACAACGAACTAACACGGAGGGAGTGGTGGATAGGCCAGGAACTGGAGTCTTGGAGCCCCCCCCTCGACACGGGCACTCTCCTCTCCTCCCTCCATCACCACCAACAAACCACTTTGACAAGGGAAAAGGCGAGACAACGGGAGACACTTGCCATTCCCCTGCTCGTCTTCGTTGCCCTTTGACGAGAAATGAAAGGTCCGTACCCATGCCCTCTCCCCTTTTCATCGGGTACCCTGCCACCCTATCTGAAGGCCGTAAACTACCCGAGGTCGGTACTTTCGATGGAATCCTACTCATCTGGGTATTATTGTGTGCAGTTTGCCCAGACCACTCGTGCAGATGCTGTTCTTGCTGCAACCCTGCTTAATTTTCTCTGCCAGCAGCCTGGGCTGGTTGTCTTCAACCTTCGATTCGGCCCTTGAAGAGACTCGAGCGTGTGGCTCACTCTGTATGGGTGTGGTTGAGAGGAGGAGGAGAACCAAAAGGAGGAGTGCAAGCGCTTTCTTCTTTTCCTACCTAGGCAGTTTGTGATCAAATCCAACAGCATACCGGTTCTCGGTTTTTTTCTTCTTGAACCAGCACCAGAGACATCGAGTGAGAGACAGAGAGGGGGGGGGAGAAAACATTCACACTTCCCCTGTGCATGGTTGTCTTCCTGCAACTTCCCATCGCCGACAGTTGGACCCCCTCCACTGACTGACTGACACCGACACCGACTGACACTCGACATTTCACTTCTCCCCGTCTTTTAGATTATCTGATTGTTATTTTGCCCCCCCGCCCTCCTCTCAGGGTGCATGCAGCCTTCTGTCCTCTCTGCTCTCTGCTCTTTCCTCCCATATCCTAGCTGCTGCTCCTTCCTTCGTACCAAAGGTGGTGCTGCTGCTGCTACTGCCGATTACTGACTGCCCCTTCCACTATTCCTTCACTCCGTTCCACTTTCCCGCGTTTGCTGGTCGCTGCTACGTGCGTCGAGACCACCGCCGACGCCATCGCTCCCAAAAAAAAAAATCCCCGACGACATCTCACTTGTGGCCCTTCCTTGCCTTCCTTGGCTGGGTCCCTCCCCCGTCCCGTCGTCGTCGCCTCTTTCTCACTCGCTGCTCCCCTGCCTCGCCTTACTCTTACCGACCTTTTACCTTGCCTTACCTCGTCCTCCTCCTCGTCCTCCTCCCTCCTCCTTCCTGCCTCTACCTGCCTCTACCTGCCACCAACCACGCACACGACTGGACTGCGCTCCCTGCTCTGCTGCCGCACCACCACCCAATCCACGCCTTTATCCCTCCCCGTCTAGCCCCCCCTCGCCGCCTCCCCCCCCATTTCGATTCGGCCCAGTCGACACCCACGCCCACGCCCACATCCACGTCCCACGTCTCCACCGTCCATCTTTCCGCCCTGCAGCGACGGCAACCACCACTACTACTACCACTACCACTCCCACTACCACTCACCACTCTCGCTGCCACTCCAACCCCCAAAACTACCCACGCCCGTCCCAGCGCTGGAAATCACTTCCGACTCCGACCCCGACCTCGACAAGACAAGACACTTCGACACGACGCGCCGCGCGATAAGGGAGAGACTGCGAGACCAGTCTTAATTTTTTTTCTTTCCCACAGGTCTCTGCTCCTGCTCAGGAGCCTCGTTGATCTAGACAATGGTGGTCGCTACTATCAAGTGCGTACATTCTGAACCGCTTTTCGCCTCTGCCCTGCTTCACTCCTCTCCTCCCCGTCCCCGATGCTCGTCGCCCTTTCTCCCTGCTGCCGCCTACCTACTAGCCTGCCTGCCTGTCTGCATCGATGCTGTCCATGTCATCGCTGTCGCCATCAAACTGCTCTCTGCTCGAGTACTCGACGAGGGCATTCTGCGCTGTTGCCCGTCTTGGCTTGACTTGACGATCAGCCCCAGGGCAGCTCATCAAAGCGCGCGTGTCATTCAACCTTTGGTTCTGCACGGAAACTGATCCCTCTCTTTTCTAGGTGTGTTGTCGTCGGCGACGGTGCGGTCGGAAAGACATGCCTCCTCATCAGCTACACGACAAACAAGTTTCCCTCCGAATATGTTCCGACCGTTTTCGATAACTATGCCGTCACTGTTATGTGAGTCCTCCAGCACGCTTAAAACACGAATGCCGAGTCTTGGGGGTCTTCCAGAGGTCATCAATGGTTAAACGGATGGATGAGAAAAAAGAGTTCGAAGAAGACTACGCCCGAGATGACGGTTGTTGGGATGAATATTCGTGGGCCTTTTCGCTGACGGCCGCTTGTTTTTCTCCTCCGCAGGATCGGTGACGAACCTTACACTCTGGGATTGTTTGATACCGCTGGTCAGGAAGATTACGACAGACTGCGCCCCCTCTCGTATCCTCAAACCGACGTCTTCCTCGTCTGCTTCAGCGTCACATCACCCGCCTCCTTCGAGAACGTCCGCGAGAAGTGGTTCCCCGAGGTACATCACCACTGCCCAGGCGTCCCCTGCCTTATCGTCGGCACCCAGGTGGACTTGCGCGAGGACCCCAGCGTTCGCGAGAAGCTTTCTAAGCAAAAGATGTCTCCCGTGCGGAAAGAGGATGGCGAGCGGATGGCAAAGGATTTGGGTGCGGTTAAGTACGTCGAGTGCAGTGCTCTGACGCAGTACAAGCTGAAGGATGTCTTTGATGAGGTATGGTTTCAAGTCCCATCTTGTTCTCGCCGTTTGACTCCTTTTTGGTCGGAAAATCAAAACTAACACGTGCGTCTAGGCGATCGTTGCGGCTCTGGAGCCTCCCGCCCCGAAGAAGAAGTCACACAAGTGTCTTCTCCTCTGATTGCGGGACCCTCGACGTATGGGTCTTGCTTTCCTCCCGTCCTGCCCGGCTCTGGCTCTGGCGGCGAGCGGAAACGCCGAGAACCAGGCTTGGGCCTTTTCTCTTGCCATCCAGACGCGCGCGCGCAAACGGTTCCGGGTTTCCGGCTTGGAATGGCACTTTGGACCTCTATTTTTTGTTTGCAGCGCGCATGGCATAGGACATGCCGGGCCTTGATTAACCGCAACATTGGACCGGCCAGGAGCGGTCGTTCCTCGCGATGTAATGGGTTGGGGCTTCCTGGTTCAGCGACAGCGAGGATTTGGATTGGACCATCTGCCCGGCAGTCAGGGCTTCTAGGCATCTCGTCGTTGGGGTCCTGCGAGGGACAGGGAAATGGGCAAGACGACTGGCTGTATTTCCCCTTCCATATTTCGTTCACCAATTCCCAGGTCCTCTCTCTCTCTTCCTCTCTCCTCCTCACCCCCTTTTACCAAAACCCCAACCCTCTTCCCTCTCACACCCCAATTACTCCTTGCCCTGGCCCGGATCTTGATGGTCTCTCTTGCTTCTTTCTACATTTAGGGATGGGTAAATTCATCACGCAGGCAGGAATACTTCGATAGGACAGTTTGGCGATTGGAGTGCACTTTAAATCGATGGTCATTTTTCGCGCTGAAAGCCTCGGGTATCCTACCATTCTTCTTATCGTTCCGGTTACAACTCCCGACGTAACGGTTGCCCAGGCAGGCTCCTATGAATGACGAGAGCACTGGCCGGCCTGGGAACACTGCCTTGTTGGAGTCATCACCCACAGACCGTTGATGTTTAACAACTGTGCAGAGTAAACCCTCCAGTACTGGATCGGCAAGGCGAGTCATTAGTTGCGTGCTGCTTGACCCGATAAACGCCATCTGTTCCCTTTGCTTTCTTCACACGTTGCCAGGGGGAAAGCATGCGGCGAGCAATTGATGATCGGCAGTAGGCTTCGCCGAAAGGATGGCGTTATTCTCGTTCAATCTGCTCCAGGCCGCAATTTTCTCGGCCTCTTCTCGCTCACAAGCTCTGCTTACTACGACCGCATGAGCGCGCGCAGGGGCCATCTTGACCAGACCCCTCCTTGCCTACCCTCAGGGCAGCCAGCATTCGACCGGCCTGTTGGGCAGCGAGTTGGGGGAGTTGGGGGCAAGGAGGAGGGGGGAAAAGAGGTCTTGTGAGAGGATGGGGGATGGCTGAACAAGGGACGGAGAACACCGCGCATGACAAGAATGACGTCGGGTCCTCGGCGCGCCAGGCTCGCCCACCCGCTGGAATTGGGGCCATTAATGCGAGACGGATGCGGTTAAGGAAGTTTGCGAGCCGCTGAATCAACGGGAGAGCATTCGATCGCTGTTCGCTGGGACTCCAGGGGGGTTTCTCTTTCTTTTCCACTCATTCATTATTTTTTCTATTATTTCCTTCTCAATCAGTGCCTTTTTTTTTGTTCTTTTTTTTCTCTCTCTTGCGCGCCCTCTCTCTGCACGTCCCGGATACGTCCCTCAACTCGTGAGGGAGATAGCGTTCATTGCGCGTCGCGAACGCCGCCAAGGCTTTCATGGGGTTCCCTGGAGTTCAATGAGTGGGGTGGGAAGGATGAGGAGATCTGAGAGAGTCGCGAGACACAGTCCGGCTTTGGCTTTGTGGGTTGGGTGTTGGGTAGGCTGACTGAAGATTGGATTGGGGGGAGAGGTACTTGAGAGGTGCCGCACAAACGCATGCGCGCGCCTCGACCACCTATACTCATTGCTCAGATGGTGTGGTGCTCCAGGCGACGACTTCCTGGTTGAAGATGATGGATAGATGGATACGCCTCACTCCATGCGATAAACAGTTTCCTGTAGTGAAGCGGATCGCAGCCGGAAGGAAATCGGATGCCGCTTAGCTGCACATCCGGTCTCCGCCCCGCTGGCCGGCGGCCACCGCACCACCCCGCATTCGGCCTCTACACCCATTCAAACACCCCTTCCCTTCCCCCAAATGCCATCGGCATCCCGGCGAAAGAAAAAAGTGCTAATGCATTCAATGAAAATTTATTTCCTTACTCAGTCTACCGGCCTCGGCGGGGTGCGTTTTCCCTTTCGGACGATAAGCCATCGACCGTTATCGCCTGGCCTCTGCACCCCACTCCCCGCGGACGTTCTCCGCAGCGCCCCTCCCCAGACGCTTGATGACCACCGATAACCGTGTACGTAAAGGCACTTGACAAGCAGACGGGGATTTTGGTTGCGTGGGCCAATTACAGGCACGGGCAGGTAAATAGAGTCCTTTGGGAGAGCCCCGAATGGCATGGTTGGGAAGCGGCCCAAGTCAATCGCAAGGGCGCGGGTGGCCTGGCCCGGCCCGGTCGACGTTGGTTGCGCTTACCGGTCCCCGAAAGTACTTGGTCCGGTTTGCTATCTACTTATAAGTCGTCACGCCGCTTCTTTGACAACGCCCCGTATCTTGTGCCTCTGAGTCCTCTTGTCTCCCTCCCATCTCTTGTCGACCTTTGCACAGCACTCCCGCGACTGATCACATCCCTGACGACGACGACTACCACGCGGCGCCACACAAACACATTGCATACGACGACGCCATGAGGTTGACATCGCTGCTGCTGGGCTGCTCGTCGGCCCTGCTGGCCGCGGGCTGCGGCGGACACGGCGACGACGGCAAGGAGTGGACCAAGGCCGAGCTGGACGAGTTGGAGGCGAAATGGGGTTTCGAGGTGAGTTTGGCGGTATCTCCGCTACCCCCAGTGTAGTATCGAGTAGGAGACACTGACGGATGCGCGTAGTGGGGTTGGTCATCGCCTTGAGGGAAACGTTGTGAGAGAGCGACCCGGGCTCACCGGCGTATAGGATTCACGGGCATCGGCTCCTTTGCCCACCTCAAGCATGCAAAGTGCCTGACGACGCCGTCCGAGCTGTACGACATCGCCATCATCGGCGCCCCCTTTGACACGGCCGTCAGCTACAGGCCAGGTAAGCCACGGCTTTTCACCTCACGTCTCAACGGCCCTGCAGCAACCCCTCCTGCCAGATCTGGTCTCATCCCCCGCTTCGTCGGGGCCATACGAGATGCGCCGGGCCAGTAAACTAACGTGAGTCCAGGCGCCCGCTTCGGACCCCGTGCCATCCGCCAGGCCTCGAGCAGGCAGACGTCGTTCCGGGGCTTCAACCCGCGCGCCAACGTCAACCCGTACGCCAACTGGGCAAAGATCATCGACTGCGGCGACATCCCCGTGACGCCCATGGACAACGTCGTCGCCCTCGAGCAGATGTCGGCGGCGTTCAAGGAGCTCGGCGCGCGGAGGCCCGTGTCGTCGTCGCTGAGCCGGCCCAAGCTCATCACCCTGGGCGGCGACCACAGTCTCGCGCTGCCGGCGCTGAGGGCGCTGAAGGAGGCCTACGGGGCGCCGCTCCGCGTGTTGCATTTCGACGGTGAGTGATGCAAGCCCCATGGTGTCGGACAGAGGGAGACGTGAGAGAGAGAGAGAGAGAGAGAGAGAGGAGGTCGGGTCCCGGCAAGACCTTGACCGGACGGCTAACGAGAGCGCAGCTCACCTGGACACGTGGCACCCGGCCAAGTACCCCTCGTACTGGACGTCGACGCAGTTCAACCACGGGTCCATGTTCTGGATGGCGGGCAACGAGGGCCTGCTCTCCAACGCGTCGTCGCAGCCGTCGGTGCACGCGGGGCTGCGCACGCGGCTGTCGGGCACCGACTTTGCGGACCACGAGGACGACGCGGCGCAGAACTGGGTGCGCATCGCCGCCGACGACATTGACGACATTGGCACGGCGGGCATCGTCAAGTCCATCATGGACACCCTCGGCACCGAGGACCCCGTGTACCTGTCCATTGATATTGACGTGCTGGACCCGGCGTTCGCGCCCGGCACCGGCACGCCCGAGCCCGGCGGCTGGACGACGCGCGAGCTGATCCGCATCCTGCGCGGCATCGAGGGCCTGAACCTGGTCGGCGCCGACGTCGTCGAGGTGTCGCCCGCGTACCAGAACGCCGGCGAGGAGACGGCGCTGGCGGCGGCGCAGGTCGTCTACGAGGTCCTGAGCTCCATGGTCAAGAAGGGGCTCGAGGGCATGGGCAAGGAGGGCAAGGCGGCGGCCGCCGCTGCTGTCGAGGAGGAGAAGGACGAGTTGTAGAGGTGGGGAGTTCTGTGATGACTCAAAAAGGGGGTTTGGCTGTTGAGGTTGGCGCTGCGGCGGTCGATATCAGAGTGGGCAAAGTAGGGGGAGGGTTGGCGTTCAGAGGACGGGAGAAGAATCTGGCCTTACGAGTGACGCTTAACGAAATATCTCAAAAAGTTGATAAATCTGCGTATTCGGGCCCTCGATCATTGGTCTATCAAAGTTGTTATTCACGTGTTGGGCGAGTATCCCCCTTCCCTAAGGAGTCCCATTATGCTCAAGACGCAAAACGACACGAGAACGACCTTCACGGCCCGTTCCCATGCACGTAAAGATGGACCAGCTGGCTGCCCTGTATCGACTGGAGCTCTCACGTCGAGCAAGGAAGCGTTTCTTGGTCTAGAGAGTTGCGTTTGTAGACATCATGGATCCCAGAACACATGGATACTGCGCGCCCGTTCTTCGTTCCCGCGCCAGCGAGGCCGCATACTTCTCGAGAGCAGCGCGTCAACGGAGGCCACCCATACAGAACTAGAAGACCATGGACCGCACCAGCAATCCACAGCGACCGCTTCGACACGGCCTCTTTGCAAACTTGGTCGTCCTCGCCACGATGTACAGTCGTGACCCTCGCCGACTGACCCTCCATAGACCAGCAACGCCCACTAGGAACCTCGCTCTCCCAGAAAGACCCCTTCAACTCACCGCCCCCGAAGCGTTGTAATATAGACCCCGGAGCCTCACCGCAGTTTGCTCTGCCCGTCGCCCCGTCCGACAAACAAAGGCTTCCGGGGGTGCACCATGCCCGGCCGTCCCTCGTCTAATCGCCCAAGCAGCAGCAGCAGGGTCTCCTATCTTCGGAGCGAAAACTGGCGCGGTATGGGGGGGGGGAGGGTAATTAGGGGGGCCCGAGCTTCCCTTATCTCTGAGCAATTGCAACGCTCAATTGGAAACCCCTAGCGGTCGGCTGGCGGGAACGCCCACTGCGCATGGCACCCGGCATCGAGAGTCGTCGACGAGGTATCAAGGGGGGACAGGCACAGTTTGGCCGTCACTTGTAACAAGCCTCAGACAGTGCAAGGTGACTCACACGTCCAGCAGCTGCTCTGTTGAAATAGAGGGAGCGTCGTCCTCGGAATTGAGACAACCAGAAACCTCAAGTCCTTCTCTTGTTATATCTTTCTTCCCTTGCAGGTCGTTTGTTGTTTGGGGCCTTTCAGCCTCTCTCCAAGTGACTCACACAGCACAGTCACCAATTCCACCTTCTGCTAGATACCCGGCCTCTCAGGTCACCCTCCGCCCCTCCTTTGCCTGCACTGCACCTTCCACCCCCCTCCCCTCCTCCCACCAACTCAATCCGAATAATTTACCCCGCCATCCAAACCGTCCCAAAAATTTCCCATCTGCAGCCATCACCACCGCTGAGTCAACAAACACCGTGTTCTTACACCCGTGTCGGATCTTGTGATAGCTACACACTGGGACATTCCGCACGAAATAAGAAGAAGAAAAAGAAAGAAACACACATACGCCCAGCAGCCATGGCCGCCGTTCAGGAATTGGCCGAGCGCCTCAAGTCCGACGACAAGGTCTACGTCGACACCGACGCCGGCGCCGACGAGCCCTCCACCACGGGCACCGAGTCCTCCCCCTTCAAGTCGCTTGCCGCTGCATACATCGCCAACAACGACTCCGTCACCTCGCGTCAGTTCCTCACCCGCGCCTCCAAGACGGGCGACGACGAGGCCGCCCGCCTCGAGTGGAAGGAGCCCGCAAAGAGTGCCGTGAAGAAGGCCCAGTCCGCCCTCGACGCCCACCGCAAGAAGCTGGCAAAGCAGGCCCAGATCGAGGCCAAGGAGGAGGAGCAGAAGAAGGCGCGCCAGCAGGCTCTCGAGGCCGCCAAGCAGGTCGTTATCAAGGAGGATGAGTCACTTCCCCCGGCGAAGCGCATCACCATTGGCGACAAGAACGTCGAGCTGGGCGAGGGCGACAAGAAGGGAGACCGTGTCAAGATTGCTGGACGCATTCACAGACTGCGCGCGCAGAAGCAGGCCACCTTCATCACCCTGGTCGACGGCTACGGCCACCTCCAGTGCGTTCTCCAGGCCGGCGACCTGACCAAGACGTACGATGCTCTTACCTTCGCCCAGGGCACCTCCCTGTGGGTGTACGGCGAGCTGAAGAAGGTCCCCGAGGGCCAGACGGCTCCCGACAACCGCGAACTCCACGTCGACTACTACAAGGTCATCGGCACCTCGCCCACGGACGAGGATGCCATCACCAACAAGGTCTCGCTGCTGCAGAACCAGTGGGACTCCCAGATGCTGGACAACCGCCACCTGGTCCTCCGTGGCGACAACGCCTCCGCCATTATGAAGATCCGCGCCGCTGTTGAGTGGGCTTTCAGCAAGACCTACAAGGACCTCAAGGTCACCAAGGTCTCCCCCCGGCTTTGGTTCAGACCCAGGTCGAGGGTGGCGCCACGCTCTTCTCCGTCCCCTACTACGACGAGGCGGCCTACCTCACCCAGTCCTCCCAGCTGTACCTCGAGACCGTCCTGCCCAGTCTTGGTAGCGTCTACTGTATCGAGAAGTCGTTCCGTGCCGAGCGCAGCTTGACCCGCAGGCATCTTTCCGAGTACACCCACGTCGAGGCCGAGCTCGACTTCATCGAGTTCCCTGACTTGCTCGAGCATCTCGAGGAGGTCATGTGCCGCGTCATCGACAACGTCCTGGCCGACGAGGAGATCGCCGCCTTCATCAAGGAGCTCAACCCCGACTTCAAGAAGCCCGTCCGCCCCTTCATGCGCATGAAGTACACCGACGCCATCGACTGGCTCAACGCCCAGGACCCCCCCATCCTCAACGAGGACGGCGAGCCCCACAAGTTTGGCGACGACATCGCCGAGGCTGCTGAGCGCAAGATGACCGATGCCATCAACAAGCCCATCTTCCTCACCCACTTCCCTACCGAGATCAAGGCTTTCTACATGAAGAAGGACCCCAACGACCCCCGCGTCACTGAGAGCGTCGACTGCCTCATGCCCGGTGTCGGAGAGATCGTCGGTGGCTCTATGAGAATGGAGGGCTACGAGGAGCTTATGGCTGCCTACGACAGAGAGGGTATCCCGTCCAAGGATTACTACTGGTACACCGACCAGAGAAAGTGAGTTCTTCTCCTCGACTGACTTTGTATGACAACTGCTGACGATGTATCTCTCCAGGTACGGTACCTCTCCCCACGGCGGCTACGGTCTCGGCCTCGAGCGTTTCTTGGCCTGGCTGGCCAACCAACACACTGTTCGCACGACGTGCCTGTACCCCCGTTACATGGGACGCTGCAAGCCTTAAATGGGTGGCCGTTGACGTGTAGGGTTTGAGCAGCTGGAGGAGTAGACAAGAAAAAAACGCCCGGCGTGCTTTGAAAGCGCCGCGGCGAGGCATGAGCGAGATCATTCAGGGTTTTCAGGGGCTTTGCAATGGTTCTGACAGCGATTTGCTGCAAGGGTATCGGAGACGGGTCGGGGTCCTAGATAGGAGTTACGGAATTCAAACCATCTCCATCGGAGTGCTGGCTCCTGTGGGAAAACGAGAAAACCTTTCAGCTGGCTCGGGTGACGAAGGATGAGAGAGGGGTTGATGAGACGTCGCCAGGCACAGTTCTAACAAACGCTTCCCGTGGTCCTCGTCGAGTCCCCGTCTCGGCCGAATTACATATACCTGTGTACCGACAGAATCGTGGAGGCGGCTCGACGACGACATGTCCATCCGAAGGGATGTGCTTACTCGAGCCCGTGAAATCCAGCCGTTGCCACGTCAAAGCCCAAAGTGAGACAGTCAGTGAGCGCAGCCCGAGCCAAGCAAATATCACAACCATCGACAAGTTTCAACGGCAGTCATGTCGTGGTCAAACTCTCGTCGCAAAACCAATATGGGTTCGTGGAACAGTGGCCGTTGGCGAGCACAGAGTCAGTCCGTGGCAGGATCGTATGTTCGCGCGAAGTCGTGTTATCTGATGCCTGGCGGACCGGGATCCGGCCCCAGACGAACGGGCGCCGGCTGGGAAAGCTGCCAATTGGGCCACGCAGCCGTCCGAGTTGCAGCCGTGAGTCCGGAGACTGTCAGGAAACACTTAAGCTCTTGCTAGCTCGGCCGATCTTGCGTTTGAAGCGTCCCCATCAGACCTCCTTCTAGAAGGCCTTGGTGCCGTCCATCCCGGGCTACACCTGGCTGATGACGCTTTCCTGACGAAAATCTGGGCAGAAAGGACGCTTTGCGAGTCGGCGGTTGAACTCTGAAAGTTTGACGAGAACCAATGAGGCCCCAGAACGGCCACGAGCCTGGTTATCACATCCATCTCATCATCATGGTGCCAGTGCTCGTGTGCCGTGCACGAAGCATGCTTGCCTTGCGGAGGCATCTCAAACGCACTCGTCGAACCCGTCCGAGGGGCGAATCAACCCGAAGCGTTGGCTCACCCGTCGTACTGAGGACTCGTGCAAGGCGCGCATGCCACTGTTGCACTCCCAGGCGAATACGGCGGATCGCGTGTGCATTGATAACCCCGCGATGATCGCCAGGGGACGAGGATGACGGTCAGCAAGTATTCCGGGCACGACAGGAGCAGCCAAGCGGTGCATGCGTCTTGCCATGTATGCAGTGATTCACGATGCTTCAGGGCGGCACCACCGGCGCAGTCAATTGATCGGATGGCGGGGGAAACTTGCCAGGTGCGCCCATAGTAGAGATCGGAGCCGTCGGGGAGTAAACTATGTTCAGCTGACAAGGTTTTGCCGACAAGTTCCAAGGAGACGGCAGCGTAGCAGTCGAAGCGACTACGTGTGAAGCTTAACCTCCGACCCTCGCACAGTTGCTGCGTCGGCGCGTCGTCTAGTTGGATGCCGATGTTGGTTAAGCAAGCTGAGCAACGCGCAAAAGCAGTTAGCCACCAGGATCCTGACTCGAGAGGCAGTTGGTTTCCAGGCCCTCCCAACGGCGTGGCGTAGGCTTTCTCTGAAAAGAAAAGAAAAATGTAGATCAGGGAGTTTGCCCGAAGCGGAACGCATTAGCGACGGGTCGAAGAAGAACATGCCATGGTCGGTTGATGGGTTCAATGGGAGAATCAATTGGATGGGGAATGAGTTGATGCAAGGCGGACCCTATGCAGCGTTATGGCAAGTGAGTACCTAGCTAGGGGATCCAACTTCCGATCCAGGGCATGGCCGTTGTGCTCGGGATTCTGGACCAGCGGTAGTACCGGCAAGCACATGCGTTGGTGCCACGACGCACATCGCGGCTATGTAAGGCACGGAACCCAGGTTGGTTTTTAGCTCGTTGTTCAACGCAGGAGGTGTGGATTACAACCCCGTGTTTGACAAGTCCTGGATAGCGCCGAAAGTCGGACCCCTTACGGTGGCAGGGTACATATGATTTTCAACGACTCTACGACGCTTCAACGAACGGCATGGCGGGTTATCCCACGGTCGATATGGCAGCAGTGATGAGTTTGGAGGCGAGGCAAGTCGAATACAAAACACGTCAGGTCAGGTAGTGGTGAGCTGGTAGTGCCTCTCGATGGGCTAGGCAGGACAATTGTGTGCGGTGCTGGTCAGCTAGATGGTTCAGCGTCCGGCTGTTCCTTGGCGACTCTTGGTGCCAAGGAGTTTCGAGGTCTGGGTAGCGTATCCAAGCTTGGGTTCGCTTTCTGTTTCCGTTACGACTGGCCCAGTTTGGACATGGCCGTAAGATGTTTGACCGATGGCGGATGTTGATGATGGCTAAGCCACAGACGACGGTGCAAGCCTAGTTAGGAATTTCACTCGACGTGGTTCTCTTGTTGACCCAAAGCTCCCGTGGCAATCTGGGGTTATTTTTGACGGACCCAGGCTCCTTGCAGCCCGCGTTTCATCCGAATAACTCGACAGGTGTGGAGGCTTGGGAGGGAGGTTCTGATATCACAAGACACGGATGCAGCAGCCGCACTACAAGGAATGGCAGCAGCTCCCCGGTCGAACAAGGAGGCTATTCCGACAGCAGAGCCGCTGGCATTGGTGTGTTCTTGTGCACCGTGACTTGCATTGTGCCATCAGTTGAGCCGAGGAATAGCGTTTCCGGCATTGTGCAACCAAATCGCAAACACTTGCGTAAAGTGGTGCTGAGAGAGTAGTTCCTCGGGTCTACTCTCCGAAACATGCCGCGGGGTGGGGTGACAACCCCTATGGAGCAAGACGGCACAACAATGACTATGACCGTTCGAGACGTTTAGTCGGACTGTGCTATGCCAGCCTTATGAGGGGCTGTGAAGCGAGAGAGCGATGAACAAGGCGATTCCGAGAGCGTAGTGGACAAGATTGATGTGCGGCTGAAGCAATTTCAATCCTTCATCAGCATGATCGGAATCCCCTGTGAGACAGGGAGCCTGTGTGCATGTTATGATGGGGCCGATGTATCCAATATGGGGAATCCGAATGAGCGTAAGAGAGAACGACGGGTTGGTCCGGGGCATGCGACGGCAGCAGAGATGGCGTCTAGGATGCTGCCCAGATCCAGATAGCAGAACACCGTGATCATCCACAGTCCTTCGGTAGGGCAACTCGGATGCCTCGAGGCCATGGCCGAACCCGCAAGGTAGATTCCCCAACGGCCGTCGGCGGGCTTGAGTGTGCCCGGGAGGCTTATAGTCTTGCAACGGACGTATACAAACGTCATCCACTCAAAGAGCAAAGTGCAAGCCGGAAGAAGGCAGCATCTGCTCATGCTCACGCGTATGCTGAAATGGTGGAGCCAGTGTAGGGACAGATGTTCTGGCAAAGGCGGCTGTCAGTGTTCCACGGGTTTGGGTGGAGAGGATGATGAACCCTTGGAGGATGGATCGGGGAGACTGTTCAGAAGGGGACGGACCAAGCCAGAACAGGCGGTGCCTTCCCCTGGCTATGCCTGTTGGCCAGGTGGGAGGCAAGGGGGGGGGCGAAAGGTAGGGATGACTGGCTGGAAGGGGCCAGGTGGAGAGCAGGAGAAGGCCCAGGTTCCAGGGGGCCACAACCCGCACAAAGGAGGAGGCGGCATGAGATGTACCGCCAAAGTACCATGTCGGGTGCGGTGCAGCGGACAGTAGGGTACCGGTGAGGTAGGACCGGGGGGTAAAAGAGAAATGAACAGGGGTTGCGCATCTGCCCGCCGAGCAACCCCCCGTTTGTCGAAATGCAATATCCGCATCTTGGCTGTGCAAAATAATAATAAAATAAAATAAAAAGAAGGCACAAAATCTTCGTCTAGATTGGAACTACGAGACGGCCTTATCCACGACTCCTAGCAGCGGCCTTGGGAAGAGAGCACTGTCCGAGAGGCCATGTCTGTTGGGTTCTTCGCAGCAGTGGCCGCCACGGCAACCAATAGGGGCTGAAGCAGACGGTACTCTGGCTTGACTGTGCAAGTGAGCAGGAAACGAAGCGAGGCTCTTTCCTCGACTGTTGAGGATGGGGGACCAGGTCCAAGGGTGAGCGGAATCGAAGGAGGGGGCCGAAAAAAGGGGACCAAGCAGGGGGGTTGAGGAGGCGGTTCATGTGGATAGTCAGGACTAAGAAGTCGAGGTGTCGCATGGCTGATGCCAACCGACGGGTGGGCTGAGGACAGACGGATAGGAGTTGATCTGGTGGTTGTTAGGTTGGTTGAGTGAAGACATGGCGGCTGCTTCGTCTGCCACTCCCGGATGGAGCTAAAGCCGATAGACATCAGGAACCCCGACGTTGTAATTACCGTGATGCTCAACTTTGGAGCTGTACGAGGCGTGTTTCGTGAGGCAAGATAACTCATTTCGTTCAGAGAGTTTGAGAACTATCACGTTCCAGACTAAACGAGCCAGCGAATGAGGAAACGAGCGTGTTTCGTCCTCTTCTCAGCCATCACGAGCCGGTATAATAATCCCCCAGCGACCGGTAGAGGTGGGAGGCGGCATGGCGGCCGCTAAAATACTACCATGACGGTCGACGTTGACAAGTCTCGTGGTTGTGGCTGGCGAGAAACGGCGGTTGGCTGTCCCTACCCGCCGCGCAACTGGCTAAAAGACGATGGCGGCTTGCTGTCGATGTTTGGCAACCCTCGAGTCTCAATTAGTCTCGGGGGCTAGACAAGAACAAGTCAGGGACGACGTGTTCGGTTCGTTTGGCCCTGCCTCTGGTGTTGGTACTGTCTCTACTTGGCTGCCATAGCTATCGCTCTGCTGCCCGTTGCTGCAGCACAGCACACGTCTCCTTGCATGGGAGCCAATCCAGTCGACATGCAGGCGGATGGATCTGACAGTTGTTGGTGCGTTGTTCTTTGCAGTCTGCAGAGAAGCGAGGCTCTCTGCTCTTCCGGCGCCCTGAAGATCGGGGGGGTTGAATTGCTCCTGAGCAGGCTTACACTGCATATGCACAAGGTAGACGCCCACGTCCGGATATAGTGTACATTGGGGGCAACTTCTATCACTTGTGCAGATCGGGCCTGAAAAGCCAGGAGGTCGCTGCCGTGTCCGGTACGTACCGACAATCAGGTGTCCGACGCATTCGGTTAGTCCCATAACGTTCCCTCCCCCTCTACAGTAGCAGAGTGCCTCCCCGTTGCGTTGCCGTGCGTTCCCTTCTTCGCTGCCAATGCACGGCAAGCTCATCCTCGTCCCCCACTGTCAGTTGCAAAGGTACTCCAAGCTAGGATGACTCGTCTTATTGGCCCCCCCGTACTCCGTATGGCACCACCCCCCTTTCCCTCTTCCCAAGTCACCCCTAAACTGCAACCGTGCAGAGCGCCCAGAAGGGCCATCACGCCGTTGAAAGTATCTTGGACGTGCAATTTCTAACGCAAAATCCGCGGAAGGGGGCCATCTCATGCAAGCTGGAGAAGGGGGCCGTTGGCGCTGGTACTTGTACCGGACCAGTAGTGTACGCAGAACAGACGATCTAAGGAGTAGACAGGCAAGAGACAGACGGGCGGTCCGTCGACCTACTGTTTTCAAGCACCCAGAATAGACATTGGCAGGTCAGGCCAGCCCAGCCCAGCCCAGGCCAAATCGCACTACCTGGATTCCGTCTTACCTTCAGGTCGAGATAATATTCATCTGCTGGGGAGGGGGCAGAGAGACACACCTACTATGTAGTACATCTGCCCACACAGACCGACAGTGTCAGGTTCCTGTCATGGTGGACTCGTGATGGGCGGGCGGATGGGCCAGATGCTGCTCTGCGCCCTCCGCTGAGCCGACGAGAGGTGAGCAGAAAGAAAGAGAAAGACGAACAGAGCGAAGCAAGGCCAAGTCGCGAATCGGCAGAGCCGTGCAGCCAGCGGCGATCGGGTTGGATAGACGGGAAGGGAGCAAATGTACCTTTGGCGGTTGAATCATAGCACGCATCATAAAGGCACAGAGCACATGGGCATGTCGACCAACCATCCATTTGCCTTTGCACTTTTCTCAACCGTGGACTCAGCCAGGGCCATGGCGAGAGACATGAGCTTTGACTCATCTGGCCCTCGACTTTCTCCCTCTCTGCTTGTGATTGTCTGCAAACGTCGATCTGCTGATTATTGCTGCGGCAAAAGGAACAACTGAGCAGATAGACACTGCGCAGCTCCTCCATGCCCATGCCATGATCCATCCCCCGGGCTCCCAGCGTTTAGTCTCTCTCCCTGCTGTGGACAGCAGGTGTGGGCGGTGGTGGTGCCCGTGGGCTTTCGGGAGTGGGTTCTCCTGCCGTAATCCCTGGTCGGGCTCATTAAACTTAGCGCAGCCAATTCTACTTTTTGACCCTTTTGGGCAATCTACCGCCTACACGAACCCCCCATCCACTCTCCTTCCATCCCACTGTCCACCGCCGCCCTCTCTCCTTGCTCTCCTGTCCTGGCCCTGCTACCCTTACCTCACCTAACCTACTCCTCCTCACTCCGCTTTCCTGCCTTCGCTGACCTCTTCTTTTTTTTTTTTTTCCCTTTACCCTTCGTCCACCTACGCGTGCTCCTCTCACTCCCTCTCCTTCTCACTCTCGCTTCCTTGAGCTTTCTAACCCTTCCTTCTTTCTTCTCTCCTTCTCTTCCTGGCTCTACCCTGCTCATATTCTTGTTACCTAACCTTACTTCTCTCTCCCTCCTCCTATTCCTCTCCACCATCCGACTCCTAACCCCCTTCTCAACCTCACCTCTTCTCCTCCTCTTCACCTCCCATCACCCTTATACCTCCCACCTACATCCTCTTCCTCCTATCCGCCCGCTCTCATCCTTATTCTTCATCTTCTATTCTTTATCCTTGCAGCAAAACTGCCCGTCGCCGCTGCCGACTACCACTGGCCCATGCGATCGTTACCGTCGTTGCCGTATTGATCAATCCTTCACCTTGGCTTCCACATTCGTTGCCCGTATATCCTTCGTCTATAATTCTTTGACCATCTTCTGGTCTGTCTGCAAGGAGTGATCCGTCTCACCGCCGATCTCAATACCGAATCGATCCGAACCATCGACGCTCGCTTGCCAAACGGTGGCTCAGTATCGACTTCACGCACAAACTGCAACTTGCTGCTGCCCGCCACTCGGCTCCCGAAACCATTGTTGCCTAACGCCGTTGCCTTGCAGAGCTCTTCGTTCTGGACTGCAATTGTTGCTTGGACCGTATAATTCACATTGCTCAACGTTCGCTGGAAGACCCCTTCGCCACCAACTTCAGCCAACGGCCAGTCCTAGCTTGGTCCGCTTCCAAGCTATCACAATCAGTCGTGCTCCACTCGTGTCTTGGATTCCGACATTGTTTGCTCGTCCCTTGATCAGATTTGGCACCCATCCAATCACACGTTGAACCTACGGTACTCCCAGAGTCTCGTAGCATTCCAACGCGCCCATCTCCGATTCTTCGTGCCTGCTCGGGGCACGTTTAATCTTTCAAAACGGCGGTTCTATCTCAAATCGGTCGGGACAACCTTGTCCCTCCGCATCTTCTCGGGATGCAGGAAATCCAAGGACCCGTCGGCCAGGGCGGCCCCAATGCTCCTGGGAACCGCTTCGGCCACGCTTCCAAGCCTTCCAACAGCGAAACCGGCTTCTCTCACGGAGCCTTCACTTCCAACATCTCTGGCTTCGCCGACAGGCACCCTCGACGCGGAAATATTCCCACCATCAACACCCAGCCCCTGAACCAGCACCAGCACCACCAGGCTCCCCCCTCCGCTGCTGACATGGCCACCCCTGGCACCGCCTTCGACATGCAGTTCACTCCTCTGCTTCCCTCCCAGCTGCTTCTCGGGAGCCCATTCCAGCCCGGAACTCCCGCCGCCTTTGCTAGCCCGCAGTTCCAGAACCTCCAGAGCTTCCAGCAGGCCCAGCAGCAGAGCCAGCACCAGCAGCACCAGAACGGCCTGCAGAGCCCTATCCAGCAGAACATGTCTCCCCAGCAGTATCAGGCCATGGTGTCTCCCTCGACCTACGGTGCTCCCCAGTTCTTCCAGCCTCAGTCCCCGACCGGCGGCAGCTTCAACAACATGCAGATTCCCATGCAGCCTAGCTCCCCCGTCTCCATGGGCCCGGGAATGGTCACTGGCACCAGCCGCACCGTCTACCTCGGCAACATCCCCCCTGACACGTCGGCCGAGGAGATCTTGGGCCACGTCCGCAGCGGCCAAATCGAGTCCGTTCGTCTTCTTCCCGACAAGAACTGTGCTTTCATTTCCTTCCTGGACGCCAGCTCCGCTACCCACTTCCACTCTGATGCCATCTTGAAAAAGCTCTGCATCAAGGGCCAGGATATCAAGGTCGGCTGGGGCAAGCCTTCCCAGGTTCCCACCTCGGTGGCCTTGGCCGTCCAGCAGTCGGGTGCTTCCCGCAACGTGTACCTGGGTAACCTGCCGGAGGACATCACCGAGGAGGAACTCCGCGAGGACCTTGGCAAGTTCGGTGCCATTGACACGGTTAAGATTGTCCGCGAGAAGAGCATTGCCTTCATTCACTTCCTGTCTATCGCCAATGCGATCAAGGCGGTTTCTCAGCTTCCTCAGGAGCCCAAGTGGCAGGCCCCTCGTCGCGTTTACTACGGCAAGGACCGATGTGCTTACGTTTCAAAGACCCAGCAGCAGAACGCTGCTCAATACCTTGGAATCGCGCCTGGCTATGCGCACATGCTCACTGGTGCAGACCGCGACGTCATCTCCAACGCCCTGGCACAGCAATCCGTTGCGGCGGCTGCCGTCGCTACCACTGCTGGTGGCATCAACAACCTTGGAAACCGCACCATCTACTTGGGCAACATCCACCCCGAGACGACGATTGAGGAGATCTGCAACGTTGTCCGCGGTGGTCTTCTTCACCACATCCGTTACATCCCCGACAAGCACATCTGCTTCGTCACCTTTATCGACCCCACGGCCGCCGCGTCCTTCTATGCCCTCAGCAACCTGCAGGGCTTGATGATTCACAACCGCAGGCTGAAGATTGGCTGGGGCAAGCACTCCGGTGCTCTCCCGCCTGCCATCGCCCTCGCTGTCAGCGGAGGAGCTTCTCGCAATGTCTACATTGGCAACTTGGATGAGACATGGACCGAGGAGCGCCTGAGACAAGACTTCTCCGAGTACGGCGAAATCGAGCTGGTCAACACTTTGAGGGAGAAGAGCTGCGCGTTTGTCAACTTCACCAACATTGCCAATGCCATCAAGGCTATCGAGGCTGTGCGAAGCAAGGACGAGTACAAGAAGTTCAAGGTCAACTTTGGCAAGGACCGTTGCGGAAACGCTCCCCGTCAGCTCCAGCAGCAGGCGCAATCTCCCCGCACCGACGGTGTTTCGTCGCCGCCCCCCAACGGTTCCCAGAACTCGGGCTCCCCGACCAACGGCAACACGCCCCAGCAGTCGGCGACAATGTTTAACTCGAACAACCACCCCTTGACGATGTACCTGAACCACGTCTCTCAGCAGGCTCAGCATCAACAACACCAGCAGCACCAGCAGCTTGCTGTTCAGCAACAGGCCTTGTTTGGCACCGCCCAGTCGTCGCCGAGCGAGATGTCCATCGACATGCAGCCGCAGGGCCCCATCTCGGGCCATCAGCAATCCGCCAGCATCTCGAACGGCTACCCTCAAAGCGCGTCCGGCCCCGGCCCCACCACCATTGGCGGTCTCCTGGCTCCCGGTAACGGCCGTGGCCAGCACAACCGCGCAGTCAGCCTGCCTGCGCTGAACCCTGGCTTTGACAACGGCGGCGCTCCCTCTGGCCACGAAGGAGAGCGTCGCGGCCACCAGTACCAGGCAAGCTTCGGCGGCATGGGTGCTGGCTACGGCCTGGCCATCCAGGGCGGCTTGAACCAATGGGTTGAGGAAGAGGTTGCCAACTAAAAACAGTGGACAGTTTGCTTCCCCCGGCACACGATGCAACAGGAACATAGGGGAAGATTGGTTAATCGTTGTAATTGCATCTCACGTCTTCTCACTTCTCATTCCTTTCTTGATTCTTGCTTCTATTTTTCATCTTTTCTTGTTCTCATCTATAATTTTATCGCCGGTTTGGCAAAGTGGTCTTGGGCTGTTTTCCCGATCCCAGAGCACGGGGAGGAGACTACCACACAAAATTTGGCACACCCCTTTCATGCATATGATGGTGGTTGAACATAGCAGCAGATACCAGAGCATGGTCGGCCTGGAAAACGGCATTCACGATCTGTCGCCAACGTGGAATGGAAATGAGGGGCGCAGGCACAGGCACAGGCCCAGGGAGGGAGAGAAAGGATGTGGCAGAGAGAGGCGATGCTAGCTTTACGTAGCAGTATTGTCCGCATGTGTATGTCCATTAGAGCGTAGTTCAGGAAAGGCATTGGTTGGTTTCCCTGGACAAAATGCAAGCAACTCTTAGTTTGCATCTACAAGTCATTGTTGCAGCATGAAGTTGAAACGTGGAGGCCTAGCTTCGGCTTGGGTGACGTGCTTGGGGCTCTGGAGCCGACGTATCCCGCAGATTTCATCAAATATGCGTCGACTTAGGCATCGGAGCTGTGTAAATCTCTGGCCAGCCAGCACCGTTATGCTTCCTGCCCTATTGCCACTGGACTACCTTCATGACTCTCAGCGGCGGCGCGAGGCGTCTTGTCTCCAGCACAATGGACCATCCCTTCTCAAACTACCTTGACATGTCCCACTGTAGCCGCGTATTTGATATAGCAACTCGTTCGTCAGATCACCTTTCGACGTCCTGTGTGTCGACGAGGGATCACCGCAATGTTCGTGACCACGGCGATTTCGAGTAAGCTCGCTCAGGCCTCGGCTGAAGCCGCAGCTGTGCCGTTGCGCATGTGGGAAGGCGGACTAGAGTCGGGGGGGTAGTGGTCCCCGCTGGGCATCATCGTCTGGAATGGCTTCCAGAGTGATGGAACCAGCAGGAGACGGAGAGGGCCGGGGCCGGGCGGCGGCATCAGATGGGTCTGTGTCCGGATTCTTTCTTGGTTTCTCCTGCCTGTCCGTAATCTCTGGACATGGACGAGATTTCCCCATAAGAGGGACTCGCATCCCCAGGGGGGCACTCGGCGGGTAATTTTGACCCTCTCTGCTTCGTCTCATGTCTGGCTTGGACTGGTTGTTTGATGGAGTGCAGGCGTGTTGCGCCTGGAGTACACGGTAATGTTGTTTAGGGAATCGGCCCTCTATTGATGCCAAAGGTCTATGTACCATCTGCAGTGTTCCACCTCTGTCTGGGGTCGTCCATAGATGTCCGTTCCAATAAGGAGGGGGGAGGTGAAGAACCGAGCTTGGTAGTTGCCCTCCCTATCCTCAGCCGTCACGATGAGTTGCCCCTGGGCATAGCGTGGTCCTCCTGAATGGAATAACCCAATACCTAGTTGCAGCAAAGTTTCGCGTTCGAGGGAACGAAAGGTCTAGTACTCCCCTTAGGCCGCAGGCAGCTTCCTCGAGCTCACGTCTTCATGTCATCGTCATCTCCGCGGTTCTGTTCATGGAGGACGTCTCTTTGCAAAAACCGGCTTTGGTCTCTTCAGAGGTTTGTGTGTCTTTAGTGGGGGCCTCACAGCCATGGTGTGTATAATGGAGGCTGTCACATTTCGTCCTTCTTCATTGCTCTTGGCTTCATCTCGTGCGCCATGTGCTGCGTGTCGGTATAGTATATACTGAAGGCCCATCGGTCCTCTTTGACCTTTCCAAGGACCCGTCCTCAATACAGGATGATCTACCCATATGTTCTCCAACATGGAGCTGGCCTTTGGGTCAATTTAGACTTGGGAACTTGCGCGGTGGAGAAATAGGCCCATAACGACAATGTTGTTCTTTTTTTGTTTGCTGCCTGTGCTGTTTAGACAGTAAGACCTAGACTGGCTTACTCTGGCAGTCATATACTTTCAAGGCAACCACTGTGTGCTTGAAAGGGTTTATTACCAATACGCTGACGCGGCGCATGGCATTGAAACAATCCAAAGCATGTCATGGCGTTCCCGCCAGGTCTGTTAGATGGAAATTACTCAATTGAGATTCGGCACTAACCTCTACCTCCTATTGACCTCAATAGATGCATGGGACTGCAGTCAAGTGAATAGTCAATCACACGGGAAGGGGTAAAATCCAGTCGCAAAATCACTGACACACCACACCAAATGGTTAAGAATGCAGCATCACACTAAGTGTGTCGATGTTGTTATTCAACTAGCGGAATCTACCTAGGGTTTGCAAAACATCGACCAAAGACTCCCTCAATGGGTGGTCAACGCCTATATGCTTCTCTAACCGCGCGGCTATGCCGAGGATGGCGCTGGTGGAGTGAACGTATCGCCTCTTCATCCCCTCCGGCGCTCCAACGAGCAGAGCGGTTGTGAGCTGAAGAACCGCAATCTGGGCCTCCTGGACGAGGAGCGGCTGTTCGACCTCTGGCGCATCCCAAGCGGCCACAAAGGTGACAAGAGCCATCCAGTCCTCCCTTGACCCGGTTTCCTCGCTCTCGACGATGGGCAATAGAATGCGAACAATCTCAATTGCGCGTGCGGCCTCGTTCTCATCGCTTACCGTCGATATGTGCTGCAGTATCGTCAGAAGGTCCTGGGTCAGAGCCTCCCAGCCGTTGTGCGTGGTGAATTCCTCCAGACCTGCCTTCTCGACAAGGATACCCTCCAAGCCTACCAGGATCGGGGAGCGAAAGTCGAGTCTTGCCGGGGAGCTTGCTTTGTAGAGGTCAATGAGCATGTCCGTCAAACCTGCTGCCTCCTTCCTCAAGAGGTCGTTGTCATCTTCACGAAGCCAGAGCGACAAAGCTCTGATAGCTGCGAGAATCAGGGGGTCCTCGTGGATGTTATCCTTCTTCGACTCCCAAGAGATTGTCAGTCTCTTGCCCATGGAGGTGTCTGTCTCCTTTGTTCGCGCATCAGGGTGCAAGCCAAAAGTTCCTGCCACGGACGCGTCCCATCTGTCTCGGAGGAACTCGATGGCGAGAGACATGGCTTCCGCAATGGTCCGGCGAATCTTGAGCAGAAAGTCTGGAGGCATGACCATGTTCGCGGGCGATAACATCTCATCGTCAAGACTTCTCACAAGATATCCGATAAAGTGAGTTGTGACATCGAACGCTGATCCCAAACGTTGTGCAATGGCTGGATATGTAGGGTCATTGAGAAGCTCGAGTAGTCGCGGCAGTGTAGCTCTTGTGTCGGTAAGGAGAAGGGTAATGAACAGGTACGAAAAAGGTTTGTCTTCTTTCACATCGCTTGTGAAGAGCAGCTTTGACGCTTCAGCAGGGTACACCTCGAGCAAAGATGCAGCGGCGATGGTGTAGGCGTTCCTAGCTTCTGGAGTAGGCCTGCTGGTGAGGAGCTTCTTGATGAAGTCAACAACTGATTTGATCCACTTTGGGCTTGAAGGGAGGGCCTATTCGAGTGTAAGTCAGCTGCCTGTATCGACTTGAGGGGAAAACTACCTTGGGGTCTGAATTCCGAAGAAATTTGCCCAGGAACTCGAGAAGAGTGACACCGTCGGTGCCGGTGAAGGTCGAAACGAGGGCTTGTATTGTCCCATCTATCTTTGTCTTCATGACTGTTTTGTCCTCTGCTAGATCCATGCAGTTGATCCAAGCAAACGCGAAAATTTCGAGAGCCGATGGGTTGTTTGGTGCGATTTCGACCAAGGGACTAACATCCTCAACCTCAAAAAAAGATTTGGCGCCTTCTGGAAAGACAACAATGGTAAGTATCGTCTGAATAATCAACTTAGATGTCTCCTCGGAGCTTTCCATGGGTTAGTATCAAAGCCGTGTGAGTGGTTCTGATTACACACCTCTGCAACAAGCTGGAGACCAGAAGAGGCAGCCTCCCAACAAATCTCTTGTCTCTCTTTGACTGCTCCGGTAGGAGCAAAGCAAAAGTATGTATCACTGAGACTGCGAGATCAACCATGTTCTTTGCGTCCTGCTGGGTTGACTGGGCCGAAGACCCTGTCCTCACTAGCCGATCCAGAAACTTCGGGGAGATGGACTCCCAGAGACCCAAGACGGTACCGGCATCATTACGCAGCTCTTCAGAGTTGTCGAGCAGACTTTTCAACAAAGCTAAGCCAACGAATCTTGAGGTATCATCTTTGGCCTTCAACATACTCCGGATCTGATCGAGTGATGCGGTTTGCTGGGTTGTCTGCGCCGGGTCGGGGGTTTCGAATGGCGCTTGAGGGTCGGCAGACGCCGATGGCACTTCTTCCGCCATATTGTGAAATAAATCCGATATATCCCAGCTGGGCGTAAATTATATCGGTTCAAGATTCATGTGAGGTGGACAAAAACCGTGTAAGACAAGCTTCAGGTATTGTCGATTGGGGAAATAGCACTCAAAGGACCACCAGTACTGAGAAAAAAACACTTGCTATACTGAGGTTAGAACGCCGTTGGTTGTCTTCGCAGGACCTGAAGAAACGCACGGGTCATAGCTTGTCAACGTCAGAAAGCAAGATGTTAGAAGCCAAGACTGGACGGATGACGCTGTCGTGAAAAATTGCCCCGCGTAGAACATACTGGAGACCCAGATCGTGGCAGGAGCCAGCCCCCACTGTTAGATGCGCTCCATCAAGACCCCTGCAACTGCTGCTCTTGGCTACTTGACCCGGCCTCGCATCAGCCCCATGTCGGGCCGCAGGGGGATCCGAGCTCCCAGACCGAGTCAGCCACGCGCGGCTTGTCACCGAACAGGTATCCGGCTTTGGATGCGAGGTAATACCGTTCCCGTCCATTTAGGAGAACGACAACAGGATGGCCACCATCTGAGGACACTGGGAGTCAATGTCGTCAGATTCGCACCATGGCCGGTACTGTACACAATGATTCGTCCGCCTCATCTTCTTCGCGCCCGCTGAACAACGGTAATAGCAGCGCCAGCAGCGACCCCGCCGACCGAGACGAACTGGACTTTTGGAGCGAAGACGAAGACATCGCCGACGTCCTGACTGAAGATCCGATCCGCGAGGACCTCGAAGAACCCTTGTCCTTCAAGCGCAAGCAGAAGCAGACCGTTCCGTCGGCATCAGGGCGCTTCCTATCTGCCTTCACCGGCTCGCGATCGGGCACAGCCTCCCCTGACTCTTCGCCGCGAGTTCGAACACCGACCCAAGACCCCAACAGATCTCCCCGGAGAGCAGGCGTGCATGGCACTGCAAACCAAGGCACAAAAGATGGCGCGCCGCTGGACTGGTACGTCGAGGGACCGGGCAGGAGAGTGGGATACGAGGATTTGACGGCCATCGATTGGATCTTTGAATACACAAAGGAGCGCCAGCGTCTGCGCGTCCTCCACTCGAGCGCGCATGGCCTGCTCGGCCTGTTAAAGCAGCTTCTGGATGCCAGCGAAGTCTGGGTTATTCTGATTCTGACCGGCATGGCTGTTGGAGCCGTTGCTGCTGGCATCGACATTACGACCGATTGGCTTGGCGACCTGAAGACTGGCTACTGTTCCAGCGGTCCAGAAGGCGGCGCGTTCTATTTGAACAAAAACTTTTGCTGCTGGGGTTACGATGAAATGTCCAAGTGCGCTGGCTGGACACCTTGGGCCAAGGCATTGGGGATTTCTTCGGCTGCTGGTAAATGGTTCATGGAGTACTTCTTCTTCCTCATCTTCTCGGTAAGAGGGGCGCTCCCACTGCCCGTCATCACAAGCTAACTCCTCTGAAGGTCATTTTGGCATCGGCAGCGGCTGTACTGGTTAAGGAGTACGGGATGTATGCTAAACACAGCGGTATACCCGAGATTAAGACGGTGTTGGGTGGCTTTATTATTCGCAGGTTTCTCGGCAGCTGGACTTTAATTACAAAGTCGCTGGGTTTGGTATGTTGTTGCGGCTCCCACTACTTCGTTCCACCGACTGACCGTCGTAGTGTCTTGCTGTTGGATCCGGCATGTGGCTGGGCAAAGAGGGACCTCTGGTTCATGTTGCCTGCTGCTGTGCCAACTTGTTTATCAAGCTGTTCACGAACATCAATGACAACGAGGGTAAGTAAGCCTTGCAGGACACTTGACGTCCACTACTAATATATCAACAGCCCGGAAGAGAGAGGTCCTGTCTGCGGCAGCTGCCTCCGGCATCTCTGTTGCTTTTGGGTCCCCGATCGGAGGTGTATTGTTCAGTCTCGAAGTTTGTAACGTCGGTGTGCCTTAGTATCTTGGACTAACCGGCTCCCAGCAACTTTCTTACTACTTTCCTGACAAAACGATGTGGCAAAGTTTTGTCTGCGCCATGACGGCGGCTGTGGTTCTCCAGGCATTTGACCCCTTTCGAACGGGACAGCTTGTCATGTATCAAGTCAAATTCAGTACCAGCTGGCATGGCTTCGAGCTCATCCCCTTTGCTGTACTTGGCATTCTGGGTGTAAGTATCTTTTACCTACTCCTCGAACTTTGTTAACGACGTGACAGGGAATATATGGCGGCCTCTTCATCAAAGCCAATATGGCCGTGGCCAGATGGAAGAAGAACACGCCGTGGCTACCCGGACCCATCACCCAGGTCGCTGCGATTGCCCTCCTTACGGCACTTATCAATTACCCGAACCACTATATGAAGTTTCAAACTTCAGAGCTTGTATCAAACCTGTTTGTCGAGTGCTCCAAGTACGTCGACGACCAGATTGGACTCTGTAAGACAGGGGCTGCATCGGCACCTACTATAGTGCTTCTGATTTTCGGAGCCATCCTTGGTTTTTTCTTGGCCACTGTAACCTTTGGTCTCCAGCTGCCTGCTGGCATTATTTTGCCTTCAATGGCCATCGGTGCTCTCACGGGCCGGGCCGTGGGTATTATCATGGAGATCTGGGTCGCAAACCACCCTGCGTTCTTCCCCTTTGCCTCCTGCGAACCAGATGTCCCGTGTGTGACTCCTGGGACGTATGCCATCATTGGTGCAGCAGCCACTCTGGCTGGAGTCACTCGCATGACTGTTTCGATCGTGGTTATCATGTTCGAGCTGACAGGAGCTTTGACGTATGTCCTTCCCATCATGATTGCCGTCATGATCTCGAAGTGGGTAGGAGACGCGTTCTCTCGGAAGGGTATCTACGAGGCCTGGATTCACTTCAACGAGTATCCGTTCTTGGACAACAGCGAGGAGATGGTCATACCAGACATTCCCGCTTCCCAGATCATGACTCGTATCGAGGATCTGGTTGTGCTTACAGCGACGGGCCACACTATTCGCAGTCTCAAGAACATCCTCGACATGCACCCTTACCGAGGCTTTCCAGTTATCTCAGACCCCCGCGAAGCTCTGCTGCTGGGATACATCTCACGAGCAGAGCTCACCTACAACTTACAAATGTGTTCTCAGCCACCACGGTCCCTTCCGCTGGAGACGGAAGCTTTCTTCTCCCATCAGCCTCTTGCGGATCCTCGCACCACGCTTGATCTCCGGCCGTGGATGGACCAGACACCCATCACCATGGCATCGCGCTCTAACCTGCACCTGGCTGTGAGTTACTTCCAGAAGCTCGGCCTGCGGTACGTCCTCTTCAGCGACCGCGGTGCCCTGCAGGGTCTCCTGACGAAGAAGGACGTTTGGTATGTCCTCAATGGTGCGGATGAGACGCGTCGGACCAGCGGGTTGTCGAGAGACATGGGCGTCGATACCGGCATTACGAGAGAGGATGCCGGCGGTGAGCAGAGGGGCCTGCTAAGGGGCGACGGACACGAGGAGGGAATTAGTCCGGCGGACGACCGTGAAACAATATTATAAGCTAGACCATGATCTCAAGACAGTGTACGATTTTTACTTAGACATGAATGGAATCTTGTTACGACTCGACGGCCCTTGACTTCTCCATCTAAGGTTGCCACAACCCCAACAAGTTGATATCTTGGAAGGGCTTGTTGAGACTGGCGTGCATCAATGACGATATTCATAAGTAAAATTCGAGGTTTGCTGTGTGTTGGTACAATTCGTTCCTTGTGGCAGGGTTGAGCGGTGCCGCAAACAAGATGGGGGGACAGTCACCCCAAATATCACGTTGACAAAGTGCCAAGGTGACGACTACCAACTGCCGACATCCCTAATGCATTCTTAGTGACGGGTAATGTCGATCTCGGCTTCTTGTTGTAGATGGAAGCGAACGTCAACCCTTTAACAGCATTGCAACTCCGGTGAGGGTAATGCCACCACCACGTCAACGACACCAAGACTTTGTGCGCCAAGTAACCACGACCACAAGACACCAATTAGGCCAATATCAGATCCACGATTATTGCGATAACTTCATTCGAGAGCGTACCGCGCGATGCGTTCTCATGTCTTGCTGACCTTAAGTCCGCTTCCCATCTCATACTGGCCTCGCCCAACGCATTCCGCATCTTCGCGAGCATCAGTACTGGAGAATATCATGGTCAAATCGGTGCCATGTCATGTATCTCGGTCGATTCGGCTTATCGCGGCCTTACGCATGTCGATTCCAGTAAATCGGTACAAAGTTCGCGACCATCTCAGAGGCCCAGATACCATGGAGAGAAGTATACAGTGGAAGACGGCAACGAAGAAGGCCCACCTGCCCCTTTCCCCTCCTTGATGGATATTTCCAAGGCAAATGACCCATCGCATGTTGGTAAGCTTCTCTGCGGCAGCTCCATAGTCTGGCTTACAAATTTCTGCATATCACACCACCACAGACATTGCAATGCCGTCGCCTCGTTGCAGTTAGTAAATCCAGAGGCGCCGTACAGTGGAGGAAAGCGAGTGCGGCTTCAAGTGTTCCCTGGACTCCGATATGACACCTTTTACATCGGTCGGTCGGCATGGGTCCAGGAATAGCGCGCTATGGCAGCACTTTGGGCCCTTGCAGCTATTTCTCGAGGCCAACTTATAAGATCGCAGGCGTTACTAGGGGTATGATGGGGGGGCTACGGTTCCTTGAAAGCTTGCCTCCAAGGGATACCAGTACTGGAAGCGCACCATATGGCCCGAGGTCCTCACCGTCGTGGATTACGTTGACCATATCTGGAAGAAGCCATCTCGCCGAACATCCAGGGACCCTTTGGTTGGCTGTTTGCTTTGGCTGTATGCTTCTACACCAGGTAGCCGACTTGGAGCAAAGATCCCTGCCTCTCGTAAACGGTTCTTCAAGCCGGCCACGAAGGGAGTGTTACGCGATATGAATACCGACTTTGTTCCGGACAGACTCCTTGCTTTTTGTTGACATAATATACGCGATCTCTATAGCTTCCAACTGCTCCTTGCAAATACTGCAGTGTCAACTTCCCAAATAACCTCCAACGCCGAAATTATCCCAGGGTATCTTTGAATTGTAATTTGACCAGCCCACTACGTCGTATCGCGGCCTACGCACGCGGAAAGCATTCCCCACTAACCACGGGGAGGCAGACATCTCCACTGCATTGCTTTGCAGAGAACAAGGGACGAACGAGTCAGAGATATATTCCGGCATCGAGGAGACGAGGCCCAGCTTTCCTTGTGTCGCCAACTGCGCCGTGCCCAGCGCCATAATGCACCAGCGCGGCGCGTTCCAACCCGGAAACAGGTCGCAAACGGCCCGCATCGCCACTTCCATTTGCCTCGCCATCCGTTGCTCGAGCATACCGTGGGGGTTTGCCGGCACCAGCTCGATCTGTTCGTCGTAGACAGGGTTTTCGTCGCGCGGCACGAACACCAGCCGCTCCAGCCTTGGCATGCGCAGGCGAACCTGCTTGAGTACCTCGACCGTCAGGTTTGCGGCGCTCATGGACTGGTACATGCCGTCGACCCAGAAGAGGGAGTCGTTGATGGCGAGGTGGCGCACGTCGGCAAGGTCTGTGGGGTCGCAGAGAGCCATGACGGTGAGGAACTGGGCCTCGGAAGCCATGTAGCCGTCGCGGGCGCCGAAGTAGAGGACATCGTTTGCCTTGTCGAAAAAGATCTGTCCCGGATTACGCGTCATGCCGAAGCTGAGGTGGTACGAGGCCAAGGCCTCTTGGCGGGACTCTTGGCAAACGTGGAGGTTAACGGGGACGGCGGCGTACGAGGTGCATCCGCTCGTCGACGGCCGCGAAGACTGGGCGTAGGAGGCGAGGGTGAGGGACTTTGCGCCGCATCTGATGGGGACGACCCGCGGCGGCGGGAGGTTGAAGTTCCAAATCTTGAGCCGGAGCTCTACGGGCAGTCTGGTGAAGAAATGCTGTGATGGCTTCGGTCAACGGGGACTGGTCGCAAGATAAACATTACGGGAGATCGACAGAGCTAGACGTACGAAGTGGTCCAAGGCCTGAGATGGTGTAGCCTGCGCGGGGCGGCCATCCGTCTGTCTGCTCGGCGCGGGAGTGGTCGTGATGGGTGTCATGTTCTGTAGGCTTGAGGAGGCGACGCAAGACTGATGGTTTGCGACGTCGAGTTGATGAAGGAGGAGAGGAGTCCGGAGCGATTGATGTGTTGCTGGACCAGTGCGGGACACACGATGACGGAAGCCGGAGGGATGGCAAGCATGAGTAGTTAATATATCGCCGCGACGCCGCGGTTACCAGCGCCATCCCAGACAAACGACGACAAAGGATAAAGGATATGCCTGCCAACATGCGTCCCCCAAGGGCCCAAAGGCAATCCGAGACATCATTAGACTTCCTTGACAAATACACAGCCCCGGCTCTCCTTTCACAACCAGACAGCCGGGTAGCCAAAAAATTGTCCGCACAGCTGTAGGTATGCAGTGTGTCGTGAATCATGACTATTTAGCGGCCACCCCCCAGTCCGATGCATGCTTGTGTCAGGGAAGAAAGTGTGGCGGCCCAGAGCCCGAGGCCTTGGGTCGGGGCAACAAGGGGGGAGGGGGGTACGCTCATATCTGTCGGAATCTGACGGTGATTTTCCGCTTCAAGTAAGACAGCCTTTGGTGTCAGTGTCCTCGAGGGCGGGGTGTCAATCCAAGGGATGCTCAATATCCGTATGTAGGACAGGACTACAGAGGTGCCTGCCATGAGCCAAGGCTTGAGACCCTCGTGATGGCAGTCGAGGCGCCCCGTAATTGGACCAATGGCATCTGAGATACTCCTGGAACTAGGCTCTATATTGATATTGAGAGAGAGCAGAAAGTAGGGATCTCTGCAGTGCAAGAAAATACAATACCCATCGAGGCCAAAGCCGGGCTGGACGTCGACCCCAAGAGGGGCAGATCTGCGGAAGTGCCAATGGGGACGAGCAATAGCGGCGCGGATTGGGATGGGCCGGGCTCTATGTCAAGGAGTTGGTGACAGACATGAAGGCAATGGTGGGGAAGAGGTGGTGAAATTGCCCATCCGCTATTTTGTCTGGTCTCCCGGATATTGAAAGAAGCGAATCTGCAAACCCGGTCGGCCGTAAGAAGGTCTATACTGTAGATCCTCCTAGATGCAAAGACGGGTGATGGGCGCGTGGTTGGTTCCAGTGGGTTGGGCTGAACCAGGGGTCAGGGGTCGGGAGAGGGCATGTCTCGGTGACTACTGCAGGTGCTTAGGTATGACCGTCTGTGTGCTGAACCGGGGCCTCTCTGATGAACCATGATATCCAAGTGGCTCTTTGGCGTCGTATCCCTCGCTTGGCTATGGACAACCTCAGCTGAAGTTGGAGTACGTACTCGTCCGACTCTTGGAGTGGCTGTATTGAATGGCTTTCTCGGAGGAACCTTGCTGCCACCAAAAAAAATCTCCGACCCCCTCTCCAATGACCATCGTGGTTTTGCGTAGAGACGTAAATACGATAGGTAGACTTTCTGGCCGCATGCAAGGACATGGATGCCTGGTCGCCGGCTGCGATGCATCGTGATATGTGCAACTGAGCTCAACCCGAGCATCTGGGACACTCAACCCGGAGAGATGGACTTGGGAGCCGTGCCACAGTGAACCCTTATGCGGCCACTGCGAAACCTTGAGTTAGACCATTGACCTGTCAGTTGTTGACTTGACGGCCGAAGTATGAACCCCGTAGTCTCTGGCTGCCGAACTGCGAGCACTGTTACATGCCTAGCTGAACACTGTTGTCCTCGTCGTCGTCGACAACCTTGTAGACCCTCGGCGCTCGCTATGCTCAGTATGACCCGATCGACATTCCACAGCCGGTAAACGTTGAGGGCCAAGCAACTAACTCCTCTTTTCCTCAGGTGATCGTCACGTTTGCATGCCAAACTCGTCTTTTGCAGTTGGGCAACCAGTTTGATAGCTTGTGGAAGAGGCACTGGACAAGCTGGTATCGACTTGTCAGTTTCGACCGGCGCTGCTTTATCCATCTGGTTGATCACTAAGCTCCGGACTAAGGGGGAATGTTTTAGTCGGCCCTACCCGACGCACCCTTCCGATAAATGCCAAGAACCAGGCAGGCCTAGGCTTGAGGTATGGGCGTCTTGCTTGAGGAAAATTGAGGTTGAGGCTGGGCGCTGAAAAAGCCTTGGGTGATGATAGCAGGTTGATAGGGAGGCCGTATCAACCTTGCCTGGTAACCGAACCCTTCCGAGCCTCTTGGTTGTCATTAGTTCTAATCCGACAGGTCCATCTGCTGAGGCCTGATAATTATGACAGTTCGGAGATCAGGTTTTGATCGCCATGAGTCGGCGGTATACCATTGGCAGCCTCATCTGCAACCCTGTTGCAGCTGCTGTGCAAGTGCTTGCTTACCTGACCCATTGGACCAGGGGTCTCATCCCCTGTCGTTCAGACGCCCCTGGTGACATGGAATCATTCATCGCATTATGGGAAGGTAAGAGACTCATTGGCTGGTGTGTGCTGCATGTCGCAGTTCAGATATGAGACACTCTCGTGGGGATAGGTAGAGAGTTCATGACAGTCCAGCCCTCGCCGTTCGTTAGTGAAATTTAGCGGACAACGTCGCAGGGCCTGCCACGAACGGCTCTCTTGTCATGTCTCGTTTAGTTTCCGTGCCCGTACGTCCACAATTCCCGTGTCCGTACGTGTCGCAGTTGCTTGCAGTGCTCAGCAACAAGAAAAATGGCCTTGAGAATCGGGCAAGCCAGTTAAGTGAATTTCTGGTAATGCAGCAGGCGGAGGGGTAGATTGCAGATACGAAGATGCAAAAGTTGCTTTTTTGGTGTTGGCGAGGATTGCCAGTTTAGTTGGTTGGTGGGTGGAACGGAGCGGAGGTTGGCTCTCCAGCTGGCATGGCAGTTGGCCAGGTGTCATAACAAAGCTGCCACATCATGTTATCACGTGCTGGTTAGCCACAGAGGAAGCCAACTGGGCTCCTCGTCTTCGATCTGCCGGGATTTTCCTCGTATCCCCACATATCCCACTTGACGTGAGCTTATTCCCCGGGTCACCTCAACAGCGGTAACTGAGAAACATTGTAAAGCGTCTATGCCGACTTGTACCGGCCCTTGATTCGTGACCGACTTCTGACTGGCGAATGAGCGCCCACGGTCGGGTCTATTTAAGGGTTGATCGAACCGACTTACTGGCCTCGTTATTGGCCCTCCCGCTTTTAAGCGCCGGGGATGACCATCAAGATGACCGGCATCTGCGGGCTCCTGACCAATCTGAAGCCTGCCGGCTCTCCAGGGCCCCCGATCATCTCTAACCTTAGAGCTACGAGATGTTGCAAGCGCGGCTATCTTGCATCGGCGCAACGCTTGTCAGGGTAAACTTGGACTGATATCTCTTTCCCCGGACACGGGCAAGATTACGTGCTGCATCCAGGCACGGCACCCGGCGCGTAACTGAGTTGTGTCTCCTGTATTTGTATGCTCCAGAGTCCCCTTTTCATAAGTTTGTGATGCCAGATACCAATCCATAGCACAGATCCCGTTCCCTTTTCTCTTTCTTAGGTCCTTTTCTTTCGCCGGAAATACTTCTTCACGTTCGTCGATTGTTACTCTCTATTTCGTAATTGTTGAACAAGGCCGTCTTCTCATTCTTCCAGCCGCCATGTCTTCCGAATCCAAAAACGTCTCCCACACCTCAGACTTTGAGATCGATGTCGAGGAGGTCCACATCTCATCCCAAGCACGTGTCCTCAAGGCTGTTGATGCGGCAAGGGTCAGCTTCACCGCGCTAGCTCTTCTTGCGAGCATCACGGTTCTCGGCGTCTCGGCAGACGCTCTGGCGGTCTACGATGCCACCCACGTTCCCGCCCATTACTTGCTCCCGTTGTGGCCAGACGCCTTCGACCTGCGCCCAACAGTAGCTCTGGTTGTGGGGAGCTCAATCCTCATCGTCGCCAACATAGTCTCTCTGCTCTTCAGTCGGGTCCAATCTGTTAGTCAAGAGCTCGTTAGAGCTAGATGCCCTGTCCACCTAGACCCAGACTGACACCAAATAGCTGCGTAGTCGAACTCTCATTCACAACTCGTTGGCAGTGACAGCTCCGGCAGTAGGACTAATAGCCTCGATCATCTCTATGTCCTTCTTTTACAGCATCAACGCATCCACCACTGTCGACACCCTCCAGAGCTGGAGCTGCCGGTGGTCAGAGGTTGTGATGGTGACAAGGCCGCACTTCGGCACTCTCTGCAAGCAAAGCAAGGCGGGCCTTTACCTGTCTGTTTTGCTTCTCCCGATCGAAGCCATCATACTGGGAGCTGGTGCATACCAGATGATCCTTCAAAGGAACATCGGCAGGACCAGCAGAGTCGTTCAGGAGCGACGCAAGTCTGGAAGCCCGGTGCCGTCGTCAGTCCGTGACATCGAAGGAGAACAGCACTGATGAAGCCGGTCCAAAGCCCACAAGAGATTGGGCGAAATTTCGATCCTCTGATTGGTGTCAACTGGTCGCATCGAACGAGGAGAGCGACGCCGGAAACGGATGTTGACTCTTGACGGGTTGGCTGGATTTGGGAGTCAACGTGTGTAGAATCTGAAGGGCTTGGAACCCGCTGCGTCCTGTTACTGTATGGGTAATCTTACTTATGGATAATTTCTATCACCGACCAGAAGGGGGGCGACACCATTGGGTGGATGAATATGAGCTGCCGATCCAGAATCCGTCCACACTCACTCAGCTGTAGCCCTCAACCGATCCCGCATCCGGCTTCCATGTAGGTAGGTCGAACAAAGTGAGGCCTGTAGCCACCATAGCGCAGCTTCACAAGTGGCCACTCGAGTCTCCGCTGACGCAGGTGCACCCGATGAATATGATTTGCGCACTCGGCGACTCTTGATTCTAGCCGGTTGCGGACGGAGAGCCGCGGTGGATGTAGGTTCGATGGATCCAATCATCTCATCATCAAGAAACCTTGTGCCAGGTCTCCTCATCGACATCTTGACATTGTGTATGATATCGAGTAACTCATAGGTCTAGCCAACTCGGCAACACGGAAGCTCTTATCCACCCGTCGGCTCGTCAGGTGTTGGTAGTCGTTAAGGGTATCAGGCACAGGAGATGATCGAGTGTCGAAGGCAGCCGTTCACTGGACAGATACGGGAGCCAAGATTGAAGGGTCCCTTGACCACCTTCAGAGGACCCCGACCCCTGCTAAGCCACCTCGAATCATCTTCTAATGCGCCTAATACATCTATCGTCAAATTTCAGTGGAGCGCCTTCAAGCCACTAGACAGTTCAGCACGGGTCTCGCGAGCCGAAGCGCCAGTCACGATGCACCGCTAACAACCCTTCAGGGCTGGCTACCTACGAGTGCAAGGGGCTGTTGGGCGACAACTCAAGAGATTGACGCGGAATGATTGGTCTGAAAGCACCATTGGCTGCTCCTCGACGCGTGCTGAGAAAAAGATGAACACCGCTCTGACCCCCTTTGACTGGCCGTGAACTCTGCCTACCTCCTCCCCAGTATTTCGTAGCGGGTCCTACCTACCTAGTGCCATCCTCTGGTACGTATCTTGCCTTTTTTGGTCCACAGCCAGACAGCTTCACATTTCCCATGTTCAACCCCCCCCCGGAAACATGGACATTCCGTCCCGTCTTTGCCTACTTGTTCACAGCGCTCGCTGCACGAACTCTTGGTCCGGCACCCGTACATCCATCTCCAAGTGTAGTGCCTTCTCCGTCTTTGACGACCCGTTTAATTCTTGTCGAGACAGCGCAAGTAGACAAGGCACCGCGCCAGGACGGGTATGAATTGGCAGTCTCTAAGCTGGTCAAGGGGCCAGAGGGTTCCAGGGCAGCGCAGACAAACTCCACAGCCCATGCGAAGCTAAGCAAACATCGTTCTTTTGCCAGCGTTGCTCGAGTTTCACACCGTCCGTAATGTGGCCGGCCGAGCAGCTGCCTGCAGCGTGCCGTGTGGCATTGTCTCTCTCTCTCTCTCTCTCTCTCTCTCTCTCTCTCTCTCGCTGCCCACTTATATCTCAGGCACAACTGGATACCGTAGGCCGAGTTGGGCTGGCTCACATTCCAGAGCTGCCTTCGGATTCCGGATCCTGTCATCCGGTTTTTAGACCATCAGGAACGACGTCTCCAATTTATGTTGCATTGGTACCGACGGCGGCGGGAAGGCTGAGACGGGAGGAATCCCAGGCAATTTCGTGATGATCCAAGGACGCACGAATACATGGCATATTGAAAGCGACGTCGAGGTAAGGTAGGAATGGGGGCGAGGTGGGATGATTGCAGGTTTGCCCATGTGCCACATACAACCACAAACTCCACGATCGCAATCAACCGAAGACCTTGGCAACAGGCATGCAGTCGGTCCAGTAACACGACCATGCCTCCAGAAATTGCTTGGTCAATCAATGCGAGTAGCGATACTGGCTGTTCCCCCGCAGTCACCTGGTCAGATAGGGTACGGTATGCGACTAGTTCGCATAGTCTGCCTTATGTAAGGTGAGGCAAGTTGCCAGAGGTAAAGGCAGGTCGAGGCGACGCAAAGCAGATGCGAGCTCGGGGCAGCTTCGTCCAGTCCAGTCCGGTCCAGCCCGCTTTCTTCCTCCGTCTTTTCTCCTTCCGTTCGTTCTGATCGACCGGTCTCGAGATGAAACCGGGCTCGTCGAGCGGGAAGAAAGACGTAGTGTGCGCATCTGGCCTTGGCTCTTTCCGTTTTCAACCATCCTCTCGCGTTGTTGGGTGGCTAAGCGCCTCCGCATCGATTCCCTCCCAGCGATTCGCGTCCTCGTAGCCCCTTGGGCTGGCAACCAGCAGCTAGCATGAGCCATCCTCATCTCATATAATAGTCGCCCCAGTCACCAAACAGTTGTATCTGGCTTTTGCTCGTTCGTGCAGCTTCTTTATTCCCGTCGAACCCTCGGAACTACACCGTCTCCTGCTCAGGCCGTCTCGTTCCCACATCTTGGAAGATCGGCAAGTCGACCTCTCAGTGGCTGGACCTTTCCATCTAACCTTACGCCTTCTTCATCCTTTTGGCGTCTCTTCCTTTCATAAAGCCTGGCCCCCCTTCGAGTACGAGAACCTCCGTGCGTCGAAGCGCACGACCTATCTACACCTCTCCGTCCTTGACAGCTGAACATATTACGCCAAGTTCAAGGGGACTCTAGTCGACAGGACCACGTCAAGTTACTGGTATCACTTGGCGATTGCGGTTGGTGTCTCTTTTGGTACGTGTAAGCTAGGAGGGCTCTGGGCGGGGGCGAGATTAACACGGCCGCTACTAGTATAGACGCCGTTTCCAAACAATCACGTCTGATACATCAGCCAATCCCTAGCACCTTCGAAATCTCCTTTATCTCAGCTTCGGCCCTCAAAACACTGTCGCAGATATGGCCGACCCCGTCTCTCCGCCTTCTTCTCCCCCGCAGGAGTCCAACACCACCCCTAGCACCAACAACGAGAAGACAACGTCCCAACCCCCGTTACCCCGAAAACAAACGTCTCTCGCAACTCGGCGGGCTCTCCTTTGCTGAACGAAAGATGAGCCGTCGTCCTTCGACTGCTCCCACCCCAATCGTCGAGGGGGATGGTGGCCTGATGAGAGACGTGAACCACTCTCTCCCGGGCGACCCTCGCAACAACAGAAAGTCCAAGTCGCAGGCCGAAATGGCGAAGCGCAGGAGCTCATACTATGAAGAGGCTTTCCAGGGCGACAGAGAGTCTAACCTTGTCAAGGACCGCGTCTTCAGCGAGGCCATAGTGATGGCTGAGTTGCGCACCAATGTGATCGTATGTGATAGTACTCTAGCAATGGCCTGCAGCCGTGACTAACCTCTCACGCAGATCAATGATGAGTTTAGCTTCATCACGGATTTTTCTTACCAGCTGTCGATCCGATACCAGCGGCCGGTAACTTCGATCGTAGTCAACTTGCAGCATGGGGCCTGCATGCTATTCGGAGGTACCTTCGAGCCGGCTTATACGATGTCGATCCACGCGCTCTCCCTTGAGGTCGGTGTAACCAAGAACAAGAGAAACTCGGCTTTGCTGCAGAAGCATCTTCAGGAAGCTCTTGGCGTTCCGCCCGCTCGCGGATTCGTCAAGTTTGTCGAAGTCCCTGCTGAAAACATGGCTGTTAACAGCAAGACCACTGCCTCTCAGATTGCAGAGGTGGGTGGTGACGAGGAGGAGACTCTTGCTGAACGTCGCGCTCGCAACCGCAAGAGTATGGGTGCCAAGGTATGTTGAAAAGAAACATCGGATGCGGAAGAGTATTGTTAACAGTATCGCAGTCCATGTCGGCTTTTCGTCATGGATCCATTGTCGGAACTAGGAAGGGTTCGGTGTTTGATTTCCGTAGGGAGTCTGTCGTTGCTCCACGCAAGGAGTCTGTTATGGCGCCCCCCAGGAACTCACTCCTCCGCACAGCGCCACAGACGCGCCTCCTATTCCTCCTATCCCCGAAGCTCACGCCGTCGACAGCACTGGTTCCGCCCCTAATGAGAAGGACACACCTATCAAGGAAGTTGAGAAGGCACCCACTAATCCCACGTCCCCTCCCAAGAAGACCAAGGCGGCGAAGCGCAAGAGCAGCTTTGTCACGTCGCTGTTTTCTCGTTCTCACAGGAATACCCCTACGCTGCCTGCCGTATCATCGTGAGCAGCGTTTTGTCATATCATTTCATTTGTATTGCGCTAGCTATTTGGGTATGGAGCAGTGGTCAAATTGGAACTTTAGAGGCTGTAAGCAACCAAAACACTGCATCGATAAAAAGGGAGAAGGAGTTCTGTATAACAACCCGGCTGGGCAGGCGACCTGGAGCCATAGTCTAGGGGAGGTATTCCTTCGCAATCGTATCTGGACTCTCTAATGCTAGAGGTGTAACTGGTATGAGACTTGCTCTAGTCTTCTCAACCAACCTCAATCATGCCATACGCTGGCAATCAATAATTATAGTGTCACTATTGCATTTTCTCTCGATCTTAGTAGTACTGGCTATCTAAGGAGTCATTTGCTTGTGCGGACGCCGTTCAGGTGGTAATGAACTTGATCTGGTGAAACAACCCGCAATCGATAAGTCCTTTTCAAAAACTTGTAACCGCAGCTTAGTCGACATTGACATGTTGCAAGAGTGAAACCCCCTCGGGTAGTGACCTTATTCTATGCAAGTGAGCTCCAGTGGTGAGATGAGCATCGCTGTCAGCTTGGGGCGGGCAGGCGAAACGACCTCGCTTAATTAAATGGGGCCGCCGCCGCTGGGCGTCCAATCTCTTATCTTATCGCCGCTCCATCGTCATTCTCCCCCCCGTGCCCAATTGCCAATTGCTTCGCTCCGTCGCCTGTCTTGTCGCTCCACAGCTCCGGTCCGCAATACGGCCTCCTTGACATAAACACAGTGATAGGTTGGAACGCAGCATCGGCACGATTAATCGGCAGACGTCGTACAAGCTCATACCTTTTTTCTTCTTTTATTTCTGCGTCCATCGTCGGAAGGCTGCAAGGGTTCCAAAACACATCGCGGTACATCCATCGTTGACCGGCGTCTTTTCAGAAACAAAGGGTCCTCTTGCTCGTCGCTGCTGTGGACTAAGGTGACCGACGACCGGTCTCGGAAGCTTCTGGGCAGGCGCAGTGAACACGGGGAGCTCTTCATCCACAGCAAAAGGTGGACGGAGGATAACCCCCTGCGCAGAAGATGGAGGTGAGATTTTGAGTTTGCTTCTGTTCTGATCCCCATTATCATTGTGCTGCAGCGCTCTTTTCATCTTTTTCCTGCAAACCACATCGTCCCTTTATCCAAGATAAGAGGCTTTGGGTATACAGCGTTGTCCGTATAAGACAGTTTCCGAACTTGAGATGTTGGGTCAAGCCTCACGTGCCTCAGCCTGACTGAGTAAGCAAGCATCAACCTCGTCAACCAAACACAGGCGTCCGTAAATACAGCTCGAAACATCCTTGGGACATCACCGACTTGCTAAGTCCGGCAGCGTCTTACGTTACGCCAGCAGCCGCAGCCAGGGTTCGCTAAACTATAACCCGGCTGGGCTGGCTCGTCCGCCTCGATGGGGGTTGAGTCACAGTCCGATGGAGTGGGAGGCTGAGCCACGGTGTTATGGTGGATGTGTTGTTTGTACGACGGTGAGATCCGCAGAAGAAAGAAGAGTAGCCTGGTTTGCCTCATGCCACCACTGGGATTCGCTTCGGGCCGCATATTCCATCCCGGTTTCTCTCACCCGTTCCTCGAACGCTTTGCGACAAGCCACTATTTACCCCCTTACGAAGATGTGCAAGCCTGCCGCCAGCTTCCTCATCCTGCGCACATCCGTTGGAGGCGGTCGTATTCGACCGAAGCTGTGCCAAGGCAGTTGATTTTGCGGCAGCTTTGGGAAACTGCAAGCGAGTAGATGGCAGCGCTCGCCTCTTGGTCTCTGGACGGACACATACGGGGAACGGCCATTCAGTTGTGGTAGTCTCCGGACTTCCCGTCGCCAGGCTTGGGATCTGGTCTACGTATTCAACAACCCGCGCAAACATCAAGAGATCCTTGGCCCGTAGAATCGACCTTCCTGAGACACCAACAAACACGAAAAGATCTACAACGTGGTAGAGGACTCAACAAGACTGTATTCCGCTGGACCTACTAGGGCTCGGAGCTACGCCATCTCCAGAGACTCGGTCGGCAACGATCGCGGACGTCTGCCAAAGCCACATCTTGTGGTTCTCACGATGGACATATCACACCGTTCAACTGACTCGGTGCTGTCCCAAGCGGTTGACGGCCTGGGTCTTTCTGTCCATGATTGTTCTCGAGCGAACGGTCGTTATAGTCCGGCAAGGCTAACCCTTAAACGTGTCTATGATCAGGATCAAGGAGTACCGCCCACAGATGCGAACAAGCCGATCGAGGTTCCTCCGGGGCCTCCCGGAAAGGGGAAGCCTAGACTTCTTCTGATGGGCCAGCGAAGGTATGGTCTTTTCCCCAATAGCAGCCTGTTCTCATCCATGCATACCTAAAACTGACCGACAACAGGAGTGGCAAGTCCTCAATATCGAGCGTGGTGTTTCACAAGTTACCGCCTAATGAGACGCTGTTTCTCGAGTCGACAGCTCGTATTCAGAAAGACTCAATGGCGTAAGAACCAGTTCAAATCACCCAGCTCTGAAGCACTGTTCATTGACACCGCCCAGATCGTTCATGGACTACCAAGTCTGGGACTTCCCCGGCCAGATTGACTTCTTCGAGAACCCAAACTTTGACATGGACGCCATTTTTGGCGAGATTGGCGCCCTCATCTGGGTCATTGACGCGCAGGACGACTACCTCGAGGCGGTCGCGCGGCTCAACGCCACGGTCCTCAACCTCCAGCGCTTCTACCCAAACATCAACATTGAGGTCTTTATCCACAAGGTCGACGGCCTTTCGGACGACTACAAGCTCGACATCCAGCGCGACATCACCATCCGCATCCAGGACGAGCTCTCGGACCACGGCTTCGAGAACGCCCCCGTCACCTTCCACCTGACGTCCATCTACAACCACTCCATCTTCGAGGCCTTCTCCAAGGTCATCCAGAAGCTCATCCCCCAGCTCGGCACCCTCGAGGCCATGCTCACCAACCTCTGCCGCACGTGCCGCTTCGAGAAGGCCTACCTCTTCGACGTGCTCTCCAAGATCTACATCGCTACCGACTCGGCCACGGCCGACATGGCCTCGTACGAGATCTGCTCCGATTATATCGACGTCATCATCGACATCACCGAGGTCTACGGCTCCTGGCCGCGCTCCGACGGCCAGCGGAAGCGCCTCGAGGCCGAGCCGTGGAACGCAAAGGTCGAGGACCAGGTTGCCTGCAACTGGGCCGAGAGCTGCATGGTTCTGCACGACTCGCAGCGGCCCATCATGCTGCGCGAGGTCGACCGCTACCTCGCCCTCGTGGCCATCATGAAGGAGGACTCGTACGACCGCATGCCGCTCGTCAACATGAACGTCGAGGCCGTCGTGCAGGGCGTCACCGAGTTCTTTGAGATTACAAAGTCGCGGAAGTGAGAAAGGAAGAGAGGTGGGGCGAGATGGAGGTGGAGGGAATCCGGGGAGCGTATTGCATTGAGCATTCATCAAAAGGAGGCCTTTCAATCTGTTTCGGCTCGTGTTGTACATTACGTTCTGTTCTTCGGAAGAATATCAAAGTGTTTCTCTAGCCATTTGTTCACGCCTGACTACCTCCGTCCTTGTCTATTAGGTGTTTGTGTTTGTAATCTGTGGTGGAACAGCTCATCCAGCGCCGCCGCCTCCAAACCCTGGAACTCTAGTACGCCCATACGCTTCTTACTACGCGGCGTGAAGCGTTTCGGCGGCACCTTGAACATGTTCCCCGGTGACAGGGGCACGGGTGGGTTCTAAACGTCCCGTGCTGCTGCGGCTGTCGCCGGCGCCGGCGGTCGCGTGTCGTCGGGACCAGCTCCGAGACTGAAGACCTTGTAGGTGGTCCGGTTAGCACCCAGAACGCACACGCGGGCGGGGACTTCGCCACGCGCGTCCGAGGCATCCTGGACGTCCATGCGCACCGGCGTGAAGGACGGATCTTCGGGGAGCGTGACTGTGGTGTCTTCGCCCTGCAGCTGCTCGGAGAGAGCTGTCGCGGTGGGTAGGTTACCCTCCTGGTAGGGAATGTAGGTTATGTTTGGGGATTGGACAGGAATCGTAACTATGTTGGCGGATTTGCCTGCGGGAGTTTAGTAAAGGTGTTATTTGGACAGGGCGTGTCTGGATTCAACGTACCTTGCTTGCTTACGAGCAAAATCAGCGTACTGCTGTTTAGAAATCTCGCCTCAACAATCTTGCCATCGCCTATAGATAGAGCTGCAACTGCGGTGGTGACATTGCTGCTGATGCCATTGATGATGCGGATGGACGTGCGGAAGATGAAGACTGTAAGAATTTTGTATAAGCTTCATGTGGAAATCGCAAAATCGCGAAATATCACTTACCATCCTGATCGCGGCCCTCTTCGGTTACAGCCGTGAAAGTAAGTCCGTCAGTCTCTTCCTGTACGGCACGTTAGCAAGTTATCCTGGTTGCCTCACATTTTAGAACGAACCTTGGTCTTTTCGGGGCACATTGTCGAGTCGAACCTAGCAATCTTGCGACTTAATGCAATCTTCGTTGGCTGTCCGAAGCGAACGCTTCTCTTCTGTGCTTCGGCAATGTCCTTGAAAAGCCCATTCGCGCGGGCAGTAAGATAATCGACAAGGAAGCTAACATTCGGGAAGGCCTTTAAATAAACCTGTCCCTCTTCCTGGCGTCTAAGCTGCGTATCTAGCTCCTCGAGCATAGATGCTCCGCTCTCGGCTCGCTCCCAGTTGGCCGAGTAATCTTCCTTGGATACCTCGTTCAGGAACAAGGCCATGGGACTCTCCACAAGATAACGTTGGACATACACCAAGACTTTGCTGTTCTCCATAGTGGCTTCCTTTTCGGTCAGCTCTTCACTTGCTGAGCTTGGAGCAGCAAGGCGGTCTATCTGGAATCGCATCCAGGTGGAAAAGGCGTTGAAGAGGTCAAGTTCTTCCATGACATTGAGTAGGATCTTGTGACCCACCAATGTAAGGCAAGAGACGATGTCCATTGCACGGGTAGTTTGCGCAACGGTAAAGCCGATGTCGTCTCGTGAATCGTAGAACTGGGCCAGTCCGCGGAGGCGGCTGAGAATGATAGCGCATCTCTCCAGTGCGGGCAGCAGATTCTCGTGGATTAGACCGCGCAGGTTCTCGAGGCCAGATACTACGGCCTTGTCCCATCGCTTGTGGCCCTGTACGACCGTATTAGTTATCAACTCCAGAGCGATAACATCACATACTTACACGCTCAGCTAGGTTATCGACGAGCCACTCGCGAACAGGTTCGTGTGCGTGGCCGGTAACAACTGTATGGAACAGGGCCTGAACGATGTTTGTCGGACCGCTGGCCATCTGTTCCAAGTCTCCCTCGACACTACGTAAGAACCTAGAAGGCAGCTCTCTTGTGTTTTTGTATTCCACTTGCATATGTAGTTGCGTCTGTTTCACATATCGTAGCAACTTTTGCAATGTAGTAAGCTTTGACGCCAAGAGAGAGATGTTAATCGGTGAAGAGGGGATAAATGGAAGGTCCATGGGGACAAGATATACTGCCTGGTCGTCGTCGGCTGAGGTTTTCAGAAGAAGAGCATGGGTCGATACCTCTGGATGAGAGGCATGCTCGACTAACTGAAGCACACCCGGCCTATACATGGAGCTCGGGAGGGTATACCGGAAGTCGCCAATAACAAAAGAGTCATAGATACTGAGATGAAGGCGGCCGTCACTTGTTCCCACGACCATCACGAAGATTTGGTCACTGTCCTCGGTATTGAAGGGCTGGAACAGGAACTCTATGCCTGTCCGTAGTGTGAACACCAAACCATCTTCTCTGCAATCGCGGTCAGCCACTAACAAGAGATAGCTTGAAAACCTGACCTACCCTGCTCCAGCACTTGAGCTGGGCAAAGGGCTGATTTTGGGTAACGCCGAGTCCACCTCCAAGAAGGTGAGTTCTCGCGGAAAATCCAGCGGGGCGGGTCCCCCGGGCAGCTCCAGCTCCTCTGACATAAGCTTCTGCCATGGCTGCGACGATGTCTTCTGATAGTGAGATCGCGGTTTGCCTACGGTGTTGCGCGACCAGCCGATGTGAGTGATGCTGGGAGCTGATGCGTCGTCCCCGCAGACACGGATGTGATGTGCAGCCTTGTTGTTCTCCAAGCCCATCAACCTGATATAGCCGTCACTCCAGCCTACGGCGAGGAACTGGCCTATCGCCGAGTCAGTCGAAGCTGGCCTAATAGTCGTGTGTAATGCACAAACTTACCGTCCGGTTTCCATTTCACGGCTTGCGGCTGAGGTGCCTGGTGGCCAGGTTTCGCAAATTGGTGAATCTTGGACACGACATGTTCCCTGGGCCGGTATATCAGAAGATTCTTCCCCGATGCGTCCCAGCTGACCGACAGATCGACAGTTGGGTTGCTGCAGGGAAACCCATCGGCAACCCGGTGGTCGAATCTAGTCTCGCTGTAAGAGCGCAGCTGCGTGATTTTTGCCATTGCGAAAACACGAAGCTATTCGTGATGTCGTTAGGTGCTTGTTGTTCGAGAGACCATAGCTGGTCCCGTGAGGGAGGCCGCCTGCCTAGACGAAAGTAGTGGGCGATGCAAAACCTGGCCCAAGCCGAGTAGTTTTCAGTTGGGACGTAACGTAGTTCATTCAACTCGCTTCATCGAGGACGGCAGTCATGCTTCGTGCAAGTGTTGAGTGTCGACTACGTTTTTGAGGTTCGCAGCTTCCACCATCTTGCAAGGCAAGGTACCTCACTTCAGGGCAGGTACCGGTCCGTCTTCAGGCTCATGTTTTGTGGAACTTCAAACCGCCTGTCAGTGGATTAGCGCGCATTACAGTCGCTGAAAATGGGGCAAGTGCATCCATGGCCCACTACAGGCTCACTATCCGCAGCGTCCCTCACAGCGCAGGGGTGGATAGGTGGAAGCAGTGACAAAATGTCGGTGCATGAATGGGCTGGTAAAGAGCAACAATAAATCAATAAACATCTTTTGCAGGTGCTTTCGCATCCTGTTTCTCTCTAAGATACGTTTCATTTCATGCAGCCAAATATAATGGCCATTTCCCAACACTGCAAGTCAAACCCGCTGCTCGGAAACTCCTGGGTTGGCGCTCAACAATTGCAACCCCTGACAACTTCACCTCAATCAAGGTACCTTAGCTAGCTACTGGAGCCTCTCTATTCAATCAAAAAGTTGTCTGCATTCGACTTGACCTCCTTCGAGAAAGTCACTTCCTCGTCCTCTTCAAGCAGTAAAACCGTGGAGACCTAGTACACAGATCAGCGTTTGTGCCATCCACACAATTCATAAGCTGCAACTTACATCGACATCAATGAAAGGAGATGTCTTCGAGAACCTGACCGTCATGGGGAAGAAGTCATTCTCGTCATTGGTTTCGGCCTCGAACTCAAACGATCCGGTAGGGTTTTCGTCTGACACTGTTCCAATGTTCCACTCCAGAGAATCTCCAGAAACCTCGTATGAGGCATCGAAGCTTGACACAACAGGCTCGCTGGCCTGGTAGGGAATGATCACACTAACATCTTTGAGAGTGTCGCCGCCCGTCAGTTCATACTCGACCGTCATGTTGTACTTGTCCGCATCCTTGTTGATCCAGACTGTGAACGTTATAGGGCAGGCGCTGGTATCGTCTGCCTTGGCCGTTGCTCTCCAACGCAACACGCCCACTGACTGGTTGGTGGGGAAGCCGCGAGCAGTGTTGCTCATCTGAATCACCTTGGAGCTGTTGAAGAGGTTCTTGTCGACGTTGGGATGCGTTCGGAACTGGGCGCCGTGAGACGCGTTGGCCGTCAGGTTCAATTTGACCTTAGTCAAGTTGGGGTCGGAGATGCGGAGGCTCAGATCACCAACTATCGCAAGGGAGTTGAGGGCTCCCTCTCTCGACAGCTTGGCACTGATGGCCTCATTGATCACGACGTGAATCGCGTCATGGTCAAGGTTAGAAGAGACGCGGGGCTCTGCCGCAGGCTCGGGCGCATGGGCAGGGGACGGCGTGATAAGAGGCGTGTCGTCCACCTCAGCGCCCATCTCGCCTCGAACACGCTCGAACATATCGGTGGTCTTAGACTTCTTGCCCAGTTGCATACCCTTGCCCTTCGGAGCGTTCAACCTGCACATATTAGCCGCCGATCATCACGTCCTGGTCCCCACACAACAACTCACTTGTTGAAGGTCTTGTTCTTCTCAGCTTCATACGAGTCGTACGTATCTGTTGGCGTCGGGCGGGTAGGGGGAGTGTAAGTCGGGTATACGGGCGTTCTGGGCATTCCACCGCCGACGCGGCCGGCTCGAGCCGACTCCTTGCGCTGCATCTCCAGCTGCTTGGCCTTTCGCTTGCGCTCCTCTGTCGCCTCCAATTCCTTGTTCTGTTGTAGATGTTAGTGTGACGGGCTCGAGAATGCCGAGAAACAGAGTAACGGACTCTTGCGATGATCTCCTGGATTCGCTCCTCGTGACTCTCCATCTCGAGGAAGGTCTTGATCTGGCTGATGGTCAAGTTCTCGCGGTAGCCAAGGGTGACAAGCTCGTCGAAAGCACTAAGAAGCTCGTATGCATTCTTCAGGATCTCCCTCTCGTCAAGACTCTTGCATGTGCTGGTGACGACCTGCGCGAACAGGTGCAGGGAGTCGATGTCTTGAAGGATGTTGGATTGGCGGTTGGTAATAAGCACCATGTAAAGCTCGTCCAACGGCTGGTAGACGAAGCGCACATTATCTTGTTCGACGGTCGTATGCTGGGTACCGCTGTCGGCGAGCTTCGGGAAGGATGCGAGGAGGGCTTCGATGCGGGATCGTGGCATCTCCCTGAACTGGCGGGAGAGGACAGCTTTCCCGCCACGGGTACAAATCGACGCTGCGAGGACAACCTATTCAAGTCAGCATCCTGTGTCTACAGTCTGCAACAGAAACAGTTAGCAGAAAGGCATCTCACCATTTTGGATGGAGTGTTGTGACAGTGTTAAAGGGCGAATTGGAGATGTAGGCAGGCTGTCGCAACTCGACTTCAAGTTCCCAGGCCAAAGGGGGACCACATGGGGAGCTTGAATATTGAGGTACGAATGTGTGAATCTGGCCAGTGCACGGACCAGTTCGACCTTACGTACAGCGGCCAATGCTAGGCCCAAAGTAGTAAGGTGGGAGCTACCTCAAGAGGGCGCGTCTAGCCGCGCTTACGGAACGTAGAGGGGTGGCACCTGGACCTTTTTTAAATTCCCAACGCGCCTCGTCCAACTCCACCCAATTTGCCCTGCCTGGCTTCACTTTGCCATCTTTTGACTCTTTGTTCTACAACCCATCCCTCTCTTTCCTAGGGCATGCGTCTGGATAACTCTTACAGCGATCATCGCGTTAAAGGCTCAGAATCTCGGGACTCAACCTTAGCTTTCCAGCAACGTTCAGCCGACACCTGTTCCCTTCACAAGCAACTGGATTTCGCTAGCTTCACCGGGCGGACATCCGAATTCACGATACTTGAAAGCCCAGCCGAACCGACGAGCGTCCCGACAATAAGAGGAGAGTCACTTCCTTCCATCATAAATAATTCTTTCCGATTTGTCGGAATCAAAGGGGATGGCGACCGAAGCAGCTCCACCCCCGAGCCTTGAGGCTCAGCAGCACGAGGAGTACATCGATTACTCTGAAGACGACTCGACAATGCCTGCCGTCGCGGCCAAAGACTCCAACAATAACTCATTCTCCGTCAATGCTCAGTTTGGGGCTGATACTTCAGAGAACACAAAGATGCTGCCTTCAAAGTCAGACCATCGAACCCAAGCTATCGACTTCCAGGTTGACGCTGATATTGAGGCCATTTCTGTGGTTTCTGATGCAAAGTTGGATGGCGACGGCGCAGAATTCATTCCTATAGTCGACACTGAAACCGCCCCTCAAATCGATGCTACGGAAACCGAGGTTGGTTACTTCGACGAAACCGAAGACCTGGGTGCGGTCAATCGTACGGAAGCCGATGGTGCTTACATCAACGAGAACGAAATCAGCTGGGAGGATGGTCCCAGCAATGAGCAGGATGCAGATCAAGAGGGCAGTCACGTCAAAATCGACAATGATGACTGGCAGCTAGTTGGCGAAGCAGACCACGTTGCACAAGATGCTACAAACCTCAACCTGAGATCTTCTGAACACGAAAAAGTAGAGAACCATGAAATCGAATTAGCGCTCGAGGGTCCTCCAGATGCCTTTGGCAACCTGGACACCGACCTTGAGGCGACTGCTATTGTCGACGTTGATCCTGCCCCGGGAGAGCAGCAAGCCGCTGGGACCCAAGATTCGGAGGCAGATGATGATGTGAACGAGATAGATTATCCCGAGAACGAGAACGGAGATTCAGCCGTCGATGCCTTAGCAGATGTCAGTGACGCCCAGTTCGAGCGTCCGGATAATGATGAGGAAAGCCTCGGTAACGCCCCGAGCGAACAAGACGCCGAGGACCATACCATGGGCGAAGATCACGACTCTCAACTCGAACAAGAGGTCGAAAGCAACATAGCTGCTAACGATGAAGGCAATGACGATGATGAGGTCAACGACGAGCAACGCGATGACACAGTCGCCAATGTTCCAGACTACGTCGCGCCAGGGGAGGCTACATCGGACCACGAGCATGTTGAGTACGATGACAAGATGCTTGCCGATGCGCGATCTTCAGTTTCGGCAGAAACGCCATCCAATGAGGATATGGATATCCCCGTCATCACGGTCTCATACAAGGGCATCGACTATCCCTTCTTTTATGGCTCCCCGGATAGCGAAGGCAAGGAATGCTTCTTCAATGACCTATCCCTTCTGCACTGCAAAATGGAAGGAGTATTGGCAGGTTTCCGTCGAGAGCTTGCCAATGAACTCGGTCCATTTGACGAGCTTGTGTTCCAGATCGACGAGCTTGGACTTGAGTTTGCTGAAGTAAGCCTTCATTCCTTGGAAATTGAATCCATACTGACCATCTCGAAGTCCAGCCAGCCAGATGTGTTTTCCGATATAACTTTGGGCCAGATTATCTCCGTGTTTGACTCACTGGTCAAGAACCAGAACCCTGACGCGTCGAAGCCGCTTTACGCATATCTTTCTACGCGACCGAACTGCAAGAAGAGATGGCTTTCACTGGTCGATGATGCCTACAATGGTAAAGGCCTTGATGAGATCAGCTTCTATTTCGCATCCAGGGCGCAGAGTGAAGATCCTGAAATCATGGATGATGAGCCTGACCTGATTGGAGAGGAGGACAATGCCGATGCTGCTGCGTGGCCACAGTCCCCTGGCGAGAGCGATCGTAATGACCAGAACGACGAGACTCAGGGTGAAGCTGGCGAGACCAACGAGGAAGTTAACGAGTATGACGACGTTGGCGATGGCACCGCCGGAGATAATGATGCAGAGTCACAAAATGGCGCCTACGAGGATTCTATCCAGCCAGAGGCGACCGCTGTAGAAGATCTGGATGCCGAGACGACCATGGTCGACAATGAGGCTGCCCTCCTGGACGAGTCCACCGTAGCTGCCGACATTGACACCGTTGAAGACGCTGGCGCGGTGGACACGATGGAGGACCAGCAGCCCGAACACGACGGAGAGAATGGTAATGCCGACTGTTTCCTATCAACTCCTTGCTTTTACCCCAGTTTTTGCATTTGTACCACTTGCGGTTCGACCTTCGCTGCAGCACAGATGGCGGAGGATGATGACTTCCGATACGAGTCTCTGGTGCGGACGACCAGAGAGTCGGCTAGACGACAGACGCCCTTTGAACTTGGTCATTCGCATGTGGAGGCTCACAAGGGACCCCTTGCCCGAACAGCCTTTCGCCACTTGCAGTCTCATTCTGACGTTAGCATGGCTTTTTCTTCAACCACAGATGCTGACAATACAATTCAAGCTCCAGAAGTAAATGCGTCTAACCCACTTGTGTGGGATACGGAAGAACCTGATACGTTCAACACTACTGAGGACGCCCAAACCTTTCCAGAAGACGAGGACCTCACGCACAGCTTAGACCAGATCGTCGAAGGCGTCGATGTGAACTCAGCAGACAAGGTAACCCCCAATACCAGTGCCACATCGACTCTGAACGGCGACGAAGAGGCCACCTACGACAATGAGCTTGATCTCAATGCCGACCTTCCTGGAGACGGAATTGTTGGCGCTGAGGTTCATGGTCAGGACGATGAACTGGCAGAAATTGATTGGAGGGAGTTTCCTGGACAAGACGATGATGCGCCGAAGTCTCCTTCGATCTCTGGCAAACGCCAGAGATCGGATGTGGACGACCTGCTGGATGACGAAGCCCAGAAAGGTGTGTTCCATGTCTTCAAAGAACGCAGGATGTACCCGACTAACCGTGCTTTAGACGTCAAGCGTCGTCGGTCCTGAGCTTCAGGCATCCTCTCCACTAACCCTTTTTATGGCTTTTCCACCGGCACAGCTCGTATTTAGGTCTGCTGGACTTTCGGATCCAAGCGTCGGTCATCTTAGCGAACTCGAGTACTGCGGTGCAACTCTACGACTACAAGAATGCTTCCCAGTAGGGCATTCTATCCGACCACAAGGCGTTCCGCTCGGAGCAACAAAATTGCCCACTCAAGGTAGGCTTCTGACATTGAACTCTTACTGACTTGCAGCTTTCCCGCCCAACAACTACCAACCAGGCGGCGACCTGGCGTATTGAATTGGCGACACACACCTCTTGATGCAGTTTCTCCCAAATCTTCTCGATACCCCGTTTATTCTCTTGCGATGTTGGTGGAATTCTGGCGTATGATGGGGATGAAGAGTGATGGGACGTCCTCACTGGCTCGGTTAATGTTTCTTGTACAACATATTTTTTCGGGGAAAGGACATGAACAACGGTGCCGAGGAGGCCTGCTCAGCCAGGTGAAGTATGAAGTCTTCTTGCGAAAAGACACGGAGTGATCAACAACTAGATCCCGTCAGGAAATCTAGTTCATGATCGACCGCTTTTGTCTCGAAAATGAGCTCTTGGAAGGAAGCAAGTCAGGGTGCCATACTTCACCAAACTGATGCATAGAGCCCCTTGGGGAAATGACCTACATTAAGAAAACCTCACCAACGAAGAATACGTATTTGTTCATTGATTCTGCAGCAGCATGATCACGTTGAAGTAAAGAATGTCGTTTGTCGAGTCGTTCTGCTGAATGAGAACGACCCGTTGCAAGTCCAAGCCTCGGCTTACTTGGGGTTGTCATCACGTGAAACAAACGCCCATCAGGTCCAATAGGATATCGCCCAACATCAGTCATCAAACAGCGTATGTTTGATATTATGAGAGGATCGTGCTGAGATGCCATTGAGGTGAGTGAACTTGGGACGCGGTCTAAGCACGCATGCACTGCAGGATGAGATGGTTGCATGCTACGAAATCTCACTAAGGGCGCATTCCATCGCAGTCTATTCTGGTCTTTTTTTCTTCTCTTCCTTCTTTTCCATCTCATGTTTGAGTTTGAGCTCTGATAGTTCATGACTACAACAGATCAGGAACGCAGGTTAGCGGCATGAAGATTGGCACCGGGACAGTCGGGGAATCCTGCGAAGAAGAGGGTTATTCGAAGCTCGGGCTCTTCCTCCCCCAATCTGTGCCTTGTGGTAGGTGTGATTCGACGCGAGCCTGGCGATTTAGTTGAGCTGGTGGCATTCCGGTCGAATGCAAGATTCTAAGATCTGGCAATGATGGAAATCTGCGAGCCCAAAGTTTGGATATGAGTGGATCATGAGACGTGCTGCCAACCATGGGACTGCTGGCTGGTGTAGAGTTTTTCAAAGTTGTCGACCATTTCCTCTTTGGCCCTGGCTAGCATGGGGTGGGAATCCTTGCATGCTCTTTCTTCCTGTTGGTGTTTTATCTCCGTGAGAAGGGCAGATTATGACAGGTTTCGTTTCGACGACGACCGTTCACCGTTATGCGGGTGCGCCTCTGCCGTCGCTTGCGCCGCGCTGTTGGTTTCTCTCCCCTCCATGATTCAAATGGATTCATGGGCAATTTGCATATGTACTTGACTGCCACCAGTGCGAGGTCCTCGGCAACAACCCTTGCTGACAGGCCACTTGCACTCTGCCCTAATCAGTAGAGAGATCCGGGGAGAGGGTCTGTTGGAGATATTGGGCATGGGGTACAGAGCACGAGGCATGCTGAGGAACGTGTAGTCGCGTTTTTGGAGCTGCGGTCGACATGGAGGCGTTGGTCACGAGTTACGGCATAGAATCGCGCCTTTGCATTCCTCTACCATGGCAACCCTGCCTAAGATGTGGTAAGGGAAATTCAAGGGTACGGCAGAGGCCTGGGGGCCAGTGACTGCTGTAGTGGTCTGTGTCGGTGAAGCGGACTCGAGATCTTCCCGTCTGCAGGTGACGACGACTTACACTAACACTCAATGTGGATGTGGCTGTGTACGGGGGTTTTTAATAAGTTTAATAAGAGAGGCCGCCGTTGTGTCGTGTCTAGTCTTGAGAGGCAGAGAGGCCAGCGGGCTCGCCCAGTGTCATTTCGTAATGAACCTGTTTCAACCAGACCCCACATGGCTGTGAGAGAAAAATAGAAATGCCGATTTTCCCTTTCTGTTGGATCGGATCTTCGTATGGAGATTGACAGGGGGAGGGGGAGAAGAGCACTGACTATACATGCCCGACTGGACTGGCCGAAAAGGGACAACCATCCCACCTTTCCTCTCTCTTTACTCCGTTCCCTGTGTGTCGCTGCTTTCATAGGGGACTTCTGGCTACATAGTCAAGCCATGACTAGCATGCATGTATGCTTACAGTCCCTAACAAACGGAGTGCGCATCCGGTCACCGACGGAAGCGGCTCAGGGATTTCTGGGCGTCGTAAGCTCAGTGTGACAGGCCCATGGGAAGAGTCCAGCCTGACAGATAGCCTCAAGCCCCGTCCAGGACTGGTCAGTCTGACACTCCAAGAGTTCTGGAGAGCGCTGCCAAACTACGGCCCCCTGCGGAGAGAACAGCGGAACCTCCCACATCAAGTCCCCTTAGGCGCCCTCCCCCCTGTCGGAGTTGAGTCGAGTTGCGTCAGTCAAGGTCCTATTCCAAGCCCCCTACCTCTGCGATGACCTCAGCGTTGGTGCCATCGTCCTTGTGATACAGGGCAGATTGTAGAGGACCACAAGAGGACAAAGTGGAGAGGCATACGATGGATGCTTTTTTGTTCCTTATTGCATTTTGTTTTCCTTCTCGGTCAGATAAGGATAGTTCCATGGTACGGACGAAGACTCAAAAACAAAAAATTGTTCAGAGAAAAAGGTGCCAAAGTCCAAAGAGGCTTGGCTTGGCGTCCCTGCAGGATTGGCTGTGTCAGAAATCGCCTTCCGTCCAAAATCGCATGCGAGGTACGTTCTACCCTACTGAATCAGCCCATCATCCACCATTTTGCAATTCCCGGTCTGTACATCGGACCTGCACAGCCTTATCTGCAGAATTCCTACAGCGCTTTCAATGCCCCTCGCACTCCTGCTACACGAGAACATACCACATCACATCATCACACCCATTGCCCACACACACACACGCATACACACATAGTATAGGTACTACCTCGCCAGTCAGCAGGCTGAGCACCAGTACTCTGTTCCTCCAAAGTGGACAGTCTGGCCTGGTCTCTTTCCTCTAGCGGCGCTGCTCCCCGCCTGGTCGATACCTACTCAATACAGGTACCCTGTACCCACCCGCACTCAACCAGTCTGGCGTCGCGGCCAAGTTCCCGTCTTCGTGCAGACAGCCACTGAGCCAAGGACAGACCACAGCAGGGCCCATCGCAGGTCGGCCGTATTTCTAAGGACAGTTCTTGATTTTGCCCGGTACCTGGCATTGCTCATTTTCGCTATCCAGCCCACTAAGCCACTCGTAAATGGGTACGACTAAAAGAGAACGCGTACACTACTTTGCAGGTTTGCTTAGCCTTGTTGCATACGTACATGTCCGATTTCCAGGGCAAGCAATCTGGCAGGTAGCTCTCATCAGACTGAAGGGCGCGCCTCTCCAACCCTCTCTCCCCAGGGGCCTCTGAAACCCAAACCTGTCCCTATCTGGCCGGCTGGCATTCCTCTACCACGCACTCTCCCACTACGTGAACCACTTTTCTGCTACTGGACCACACCACACTGCACTCCCAGCAAGTACCCAAACCACCAATACCTCCTCCTCGCCTTGCCTCACACGTTCTCGCCTTGCTCTATCCGTTGCACGGAGTACTGCCGCACGAATAAACCTGGAGAGGTACCTGATCTATCCGCTACGTACCGCTCTCACAGTTTTGTCTGCAAAATCCCACGAAACACCCTCCCTCCCCTTTCGGCCACCCATTTGCGCCAACCCAACTTTCTCGACCCCGACACTCGTACACCACGACTCCCTCGACCTCGCTCCCGACCCTGAGCCTACGACTCGACGACGACGGCCGCCATCATCACGACTGTCATCGCTCTCGATCCCAGCTCTTACAGCTACGACAGCCAGAGTCCTCCGGGTCCATCTTTCCATGTGTCGCTGCTGACGAGGTCCGACTACCAATTCAATCGCTCTACCTCGCCCGGCGCGAGCCTCGCAAGCTCCCCTTCACGGGATACGACACTCTCTATAGCGACCGCCTCGCCACGGCGCACACGCCCGACAAACACCGACACTCTTTTCGCTCTTTGACGCAGTCGGCGCAATCATTCTCGGAAAGATGATGCTAGACGAGAAGTATGTTTGCGCGCCCTGGTCGCCATTCTGGTCGCAATCCAGCTACCAGAACGTCCACCTGGCCTCGGGACCCCAGTTCGCTGACAGTCAACCTCGCGCAGATACATTGGCCTCGGCCTCGCCATGGCATCCAGTTTGGCCATCGGTACGCAGACGTTTTTTCGATAAACCTCTCGAGATCCATCACTGACTTTGTCGCCTTACAGGTATCAGTTTCGTTGTCACGAAAAAGGTACGCGACTTCTGTCGTTGCCGCTCCGGCACCATCAATTGCGTGAACGAAGTGTGGAAGCTAACCCTTGACTGTAGGGTCTCATGCAAGCAGAAGAACGCCATGGTTTCGAAGGTGACGGCTATGTATACCTCAAGAGCCCGGTGTGGTGGGCTGGTATTTCGACCTGTGAGTCCGCACCAGCCCCTCGACTGATGGCGACAAGTCGCTAACAGGTGTTCAGTGGTCCTTGGAGAAGTCTGCAACTTCGCCGCGTATGCATTTGCGCCCGCCATTCTCGTCACTCCTCTGGGAGCCTTATCTGTCCTGATCGGGGCTGTTCTGGGATCATATTTCTTGAAGGAAGAGCTCGGCGTCCTGGGCCGCCTGGGGAGTGCAATCTGTCTCATCGGCGCCGTCATTATTGTTCTTCACGCGCCCCCAGATGAAGACATTCAGACCATCGACCAGATCCTGCATTACGCCATCCAGCCGGGTAAGTCTGCGGTTTCCGCGGTGCATTGCGACCGACAACTGACGTCTTGCTAGGCTTCTTACTTTACGCATTTGTCGTCACTGCCTTCGCCGTTTTTATGATCTACAAGGTTGCGCCGGTTCACGGACGGAAGAATCCCATTATCTACCTCTCCATCTGCTCGACGGTCGGCTCAATTTCGGTCATGTCTGTCAAGGCTTTCGGAATCGCACTCAAGCTTACCTTCGCCGGAAACAACCAGTTCAGCCACCCCTCGACTTACGTCTTTATGATCCTGACGACCGTTTGCATCCTGACGCAAATGAACTACTTTAATAAGGCACTTGCTCAGTTCCCCACAAACATGTGAGTCAAGCCGTTCAGGGTGCGCGTACCGGACTACGCTAACAAGAGATCACGTAGTGTCAACCCTCTCTACTACGTAACCTTCACGACAGCAACCCTTTGTGCCTCCTTCATTTTGTTTGGCGGCTTCAACACCACCGATACGGTCAACACGATATCCCTTCTCTGTGGCTTCCTTGTTACCTTCACCGGTGTCTACCTGTTGAACCTCTCGAGATCCGATCCGAACGGACACAAGCTGATTGCCGGCCGTGGTGGCGACGATGCTACCGGCACGGACATGATCTCAACGATCCAAACCCGCCTGAGCATGCAGGCCCGCAGAAGCCAAGACCCCCACCGATTGAGCATTGGTAGCCGTCATGGCGATACAACTGGCTTGATGAGGGCCTACGACGAGGAGGCTGGTGCCGAGTTTGGTCTTACTGATCTGGCTGAGGAAAGCGACGACGACAATGACCAGCGCAGAGCGAACGGATCTGCCAACGGCCACTCGAAATCATACAATGAGACAATCGAGCTCCAGAACCAGAGGTCCGACAGATGAGAGGTGGCGGCGGAACCGTCTATTTCCTTGTCACCGGTAGACGCTGAGGCGGCGATTGTCTTTTTCGAAGCATTTCTTATTAGGAGCCCAATATGGGGGCAGTATTGTACATTTTCTCGAAAGCCATATGACTGAGAAGTTTTCCACGACATGATCGGGTTCATGAAATAGGCAAAGACCTACGGAAAAGGTGCAGGCGCACCCCAAGCCAGGGAAGGAGAAAGCACCAGGAAACCAGAACCATCAAACTTTCCACACACTATTTCACTTCTGCCACGGCACGAGGAGTATTACCGGCACTGGAGGGATCACTTGGGGGGCGTTCATCGGGGTTTCCATGGTACCACGTGCGAAAGCACCTCTTGTACGATTAGGGCGGCGAACGATGGAGAAGGCGTGATGATAGAGGCATACCCCGATTCGCCCGCAGACTGGCATTTTTTTGTTCATTGTCTAGAAGCATTCAAAGCATCATAGACGTAAGCCACGGCCAAGAGCCTGGTAAAATGAGAGCACCATGGACCGTTACAACAACCTTGATTGCAAAAGTGTTTTGAAGAACAACCTCGACTAAAGAGAGAGAGAGAGGCTTACTAGACCAGCCCAGGACACGTCGTGTTCGAGCAGTATCTGTGCAGCGCGCACTACACACATTTTGAACGGGTTCGTGACCCAGTGTACTCCATCCGTCGGGCATGCGTATTGACTGGCATCACTCGGGAGGCGCATAGGGCACCATGGTTTACTTGAATGATTTCGTTGCTCATTTCATGGTTTGATCTACCATTACAAGCCAGTCGCAACTATCCGAATTCCCTTTCGCAGAGTGATGCAAATGTTGATCAAGACGCCTGAGTAGTATTCCACCCCCGTCCTCCCAATTTTTTTGTGCCTGGTTCGCGCGAACACCCCCATTTTTGTGATCTCCAAGTCTGTCTGGTATTTTGGGAAAGTAGACAATAGAGACTAGAAGCTAGCGGAAAGCAGACCAAAAAATTTTCCCCACTGACATCCTTTACCAACCAGCAGGGCTGGTGCCAGACTCAGCGGCCTCCTCAACGACGACATGAGAAGTAACCTGCGGCTTGGCAGCCTCCTACGACTGAGCCTCGGCCTCCTCGCCGCCCTCCTGGGCCTGCTGCTCCGCTTGTTGCGCCTCGGCGGCGGCCTGGGCCTGGGCGGCCTTAGCGCCGTAGTCCTGGGACATGGGCTGGACGACGGACTGCTCCTCCTTGGGCTCGAGGACGGAGACGGCGTCGGGGAGGGTCTTCTGGGGGCCGGCCTTGCCCTCGGGGTCGGAGCCGCGCATGATCTTGACCTTGATACCAAGGACACCCTGGCGGAGAAGGACGTGACGGGTGGCGGAGTCGATGAAGTCCTTAGCGGGCTGACCGGAGTGGATCATGAAGCCGTCGGTGAACTTCATGGACTTGGCACGGGCGGCACGGAGCTTGCCGGAGACGACGACCTCGCAACCCTTGGCGCCGGACTCCATGATGAAGCGGAGGACACCGTAGCAGGCACGACGGACGGCGAGACCGTTGAGGAGCTTGTAACGCAGGGACTCGCACTGAGCGACGGCGGACAGACCGCGGTTCTGGACCTTGGCGGCGTAGAGCGAGACGGAGTTCTCGGGGAACTTGAAGCGCTTCTGGATGAGCGAGGTGAGCTCGCGGATGCGGCGTCCCTGCTCGCCGAGAACCTCCTGGGTGTGGGTGGCGCGGATGATGATGTCGGTTACCGTGGGGGTGACGCGGACCTCGACGCCGGAGTAGCCCTCCTCGGCCAGCTCGCGCTGGAAGAACTCGTTGAGCTCAGCGTAGAAGACGCCATCGGCGACGAACTTTCTGCGCTTGGAGCTGTTGGAATAAGTCGTTAGCGATCCATTGTCCCAATTTTTCGTGCGCAGCAGAAGCATCTCCTCTTCTTCCTTCGGGCGGTCGTGCGAAATGTTTCGCGGCGGCGGCGGCGGGGAACTTGTTTCGCAGCGAGCAGCAACAACACAGAAGGAAGGAAAACGCTTACATCTGAGTGCCTGGAACAGCCATCTTGACTTCTTTGCCCGGTTGTCGAAAAAAGGGGTGGGATAGTTGGGACGGGTTGTTGGAGGTTTTCGACGGTTCGTTCGCGGTCGGGGTCGGGTGAGAGGGTTGAGAAGTGAGGTTGTTCAGGTAGCCCGCTTTGCCAATCGTCCAGTGCCTCGCCAGATTTTGGACCGCGACAAATTGAAATTCTGTGTGCCCTAGGAGGTAGGCGATAAGGGGACCATGGTGGTCTGTGCTCGCCTTATCAGAGAGTCGGGTTGAGGGTCTCCACTGTGCCAGCTGAAGTGACCTGCCAGCCAGCGGTGCAGTGATTTCGGTCAGCAGTACGTACTGTAAAGGCCGGGCGCAGGTACGTACTGCGAGCCATCAGCATTGCACGTGCTGGCAGTCGGGAATCGGGACAGAGAGCTCCGTTTGCCGAAGGTGGGGTTTCAAGGGGGCAGCTTGCTGGAGCGGGAGGTCCCTGGTCGCGTTGTCAATCCGGGCCACGACAGTGAAGGTCACAGGTTCAGCTGAAGCCGTCAGGTGGATGCCATTTTGGTTGAAGGTTGAGACCAAGCTGCAATTCATTACCCAATCCTTTGCTAGATAGTGATGTACTGGCTGAAGTGCTCTTCTGTTTGGGACTGGAGTACATTCGTGATACCTTTTCTGCCAAATACAAACAAGACGCAATACACGGTTTGACAACTTATAAATCGGGCCACGGGTTACCAGTCATCACCGGCGGATTTCGCATCCATCGTCGGGGGGGCAGAGGCCCTGGCATTCTGCTACCAAACACTCCCTCTAGAAGCCGTGACGTCGGCTCTTTGCTCTCAGCCCCGCGCTAAGGTAGTGGGGACCAGGATCAGCCGTTCCTTCTTGCTTTCTGCTCCTGTGCCTGCACTGTCGACAGCCAGAACAACCAGACTGCTGCTAGACAGCCGACCTTCGGCCTGACAACCGTCTCCCCACGCTACCTTACCTCGCCTTCCAAACCTTACCCTGCGCAACCTCTTTAACTTCAATACTGCGTGGTTACATTGATTTTCCTTCTTCGTTTTCCCTTCATCGCCGCCTTTTCTTTCTTCCCCTTCACCGAAGTTGCGCGGCTTTCCTGCTGCTCTCCTTTGAGTGAATCTCCCCACCTACAACACCTCAACCCTCCGGACCTTCCGCGCGCGGCCATGCACCAGTAGCTCAAAGAAGCATCATCTTCAATTGCACTACACCATGGAGGCCAGGAAGGTGAGTCTCACGTGCCCCCTCGCTTGATCTTCTCACAGCACAAAAACACAAGAGAAAAACAAAGCTGACCGTGTTGCGATCCGAAATACAGGTAGTCGAGAATGTCCAGTGCATCAACGGAGGCCTGACCTCGGTCGGCACCCTGCGACTCACCGATTTCCACCTTGTTTTCTGCGCACCGCCTCCTCCGAAGGACGAGGGCAACAACAGTAGCCAGACTCCTCCGAAGAGCCGAGAATCATGGATCACCTATCCAATCCTTTCACAATGCACCCTCCGACTCATGCCTCCAAACCACGGCATCCATAGCTCCATCCGCATCCGCTGTCGCGACTTCATCTTCGTCACCTTCACGTTCGAGGACAATAACATTGCCCGAGATGTCTTTGAGTTTGTGAAGCTCAGAACCTGTAAACTCGGTACTGTCGAGCGTCTCTTTGCCTTCAGCCACAAGGGCTCCAAGGCTGAGAGACAGGTCAATGGCTGGAAGATCTACGATCCCAAAGCCGAGTTCCGCCGTCAGGGTATTAGCGAGAAGTCAGCAGATAAGGGATGGAGGATCTCCAACATCAACAAGGACTACACCTTTTGCGACACCTACCCCGCTACTCTGGTGGTTCCCTCTTCGATCTCGGACAATGTGCTCAAGTACGCCAAGGAGTACCGATCTCGACACAGAATCCCGGTGCTCAGCTACATCCACCCTGCCAACAACTGCACCATCACCCGCAGCGCCCAGCCTTTGTCGGGCATCACCAGAAAGAACAACGTTCAGGACGAGAAGCTCGTCATGGCTTCCTTCGCCCCGACTGTACCCCGAGCCAGCATCGACAGAGACCAGCCTCCCCGTCGGAGCCAGTCAGACACCTCTGAGAATAACTCATTGGACGCCTCAGAGCTCTCGGAGCAGGCCAGGCTGGAGGAGCAGGCAATTGCAGATGCAGAGCCCAAGATGTACGACGAGAAGGGCAAGCGACTGATATACGGCGCCCAGCAGGCCAACATGATTGTCGATGCCAGACCTACTGTGAACGCCATGGTCAATCAAGTTCAAGGCATGGGATCTGAGCCCATGGATCGATACCCTGGCGCCAAGAAGGCGTTCATGAACATTGAGAACATTCACGTCATGCGCAGCTCGTTGGCCAAGGTTGTGGACTGCCTCAAAGACGCTGACATCTCGCCTTTGTCCCCTGACCAGAACGCCCTGGCTTCGACTGGTTGGCTGAGACACACGCAGGCCGTCCTGAACGGGGCCGATATTGTCGCCCGGCAGGTGTGGTTTAAGCACTCGCATGTCCTGATCCACTGCTCCGACGGCTGGGACAGAACCAGTCAGCTCAGCGCCCTTGCCCAGATTTTGCTGGACCCCTACTACCGAACCATTGAGGGTTTCATTGTCCTGGTCGAGAAGGATTGGTTGTCATTTGGCCACATGTTTAGGCTTCGGTCCGGTCACTTGAACCATGAGAGCTGGTTCACTGTTCAGAAGGATGCGATGGCTGGCTCGACCGTACAGCCCGGCGAAAACGACGGTCGCGACGATGCCTTGCAGAATCTGTTTACTGGCGCCAGGCAGTTCTTCAATCCCACCAAGGAGGATCAGGCTGACCTCGAAGCCGTTGCCGAGGGATCTACTGGAAAGGTTGCCAAGGATGAGGCCACCGTTCCAAAGATGATCAGTCCCGTCTTCCACCAATTCCTAGACTGTGTGTACCAGCTTCTCCGCCAGAACCCCACCAAGTTCGAGTTCAACGAGCGATTCCTTCGTCGTCTGATTTACCATCTTTACTCTTGCCAGTACGGTACGTTCCTTTACAACTCCGAGAAGCAGAGAACCGAGGCTAGGGTTTCCGAGCGAACAGCTTCGGTTTGGGATTACTTCCTCTCCCGAAAGCCCGAGTTCACCAACAAGGAGTATGATCCGACCGTCGACGAGTACGTTAAGGACCGTGGCCGCATCATCAAGCCGAACCTTGATGATATTCGCTGGTGGCATCAGCTCTTCAACCGCACCGACGAGGAGATGAACTCGCAGCTGAACGCTGTGGCGGCAGCCGCAGTAAACAGAGCCTCGGCTCTGGCCAACTTCCAGCCGTCCACCGAGGAATCCTACGCAGACAGCCAGCCTGGCACCCCGCCTCATGGAGCTTCAAGCCCCAAGCCGCCGCCGTCGCTGCCTACTAGCCAGTCCGTTTTAGCAGCCGTAGAGACGGCGCACACAACACTGACCCCCAATCGACAAGAGCGCCAGGCACCGCCTTTGCACCGAAGTGTGTCGGCGGAAAACTCGAATGCCTTCAGCGCTTTGAAAGAGGGCATTGCCGGCCTCAACATTGGCAAGAACGTCAGCGGCATGCTCACCAACCTCGGCGGGCGCAACGCTAGCCCCTCGTCTACTTCGAGAGTTACAAGCCGCAGCGAGCAAGAGCTCCGGGAGATGACATAGGGCGTCATGTTCGAACGAATGCACGAAGCGCCTTACACAATCGAACTGACGGACAAGACCAAACTTCTCGACGCTGCGCTCTTCTACCAGGAGAGCTGGGCCGATCCGAACTACACAATGAGCGACTGGGACGACGAATCTGTGTGGGCGTGGGGTACCAGAGGGATGGTGAACTTTGGCATGATGAGTTTGACCAGCTTGAACGGTAGTTTGGCTGAGGACAGGCTGGCTAACGATGCTTGCTCTGATGCATCGATAAGCTTCGCCGATGGCATCGCTGAGAGAGAGCCCAGCGTTAATGCTTGTTCCGACTACTCGTCGATTCATTCTCTCGAGCGCGTCCTGACGGATGAGGTCACCAACGGCGGTCTCTTCATCATGGTAGGCTCGAGTACGGAGGATCTCTCTTCCGCTGAGAATGGCGAATCTCTGAGCTCCAATCAGCAGCACGACCCGACGAACAATTAGTTCACAACCTAGTCCAACATTTCAGGAGTTGGGCGGGACCTGATGCGTTTTCCCACCTTACGACTACAACAGAACGGACGAATGGATATCGGCAAAAGGGATTTGGGGATTTGGGTGGATTGTTTCACGGCTTCATAACGACAGCGCAATGATTTTTCTGTACTTGTACTACGACTCTTTTCGGTTCCTCTTCGCCCACCTTTTTCACTTCTTCGCTTCGCATCGTCGCTCATGCCGGAACCGGCATCTGCACAACCTGCTTTCCGGCGTCAGGAGTCGAAGATAACTTGCATCCAAGAGCGGTAAAGGAGGATTAAGACGGAATGAAACGGACGAAGTGAGAACGACTTCGCACACGGCAATTCAGATGGGAGGGGTCTGGGAAAAAAGAAAATTTGGTCTGGATGGAGTGGAATGGAGACGAACACCAGAGGAGAGAGAGGCGTTTGGGGGGTCCGTTATATAGGTCCGCTTGGATTTCGAACTCCTTGTACTCTCTCAGTTTCGTAATTTTAATCAGTCTCAGGTAACTTCCTGATCGATCGATGATGCTTGTCCAAGAGGAAAATACGTGTCGAACACCGGGCACAAGACATGCTCATACAACCGACATGTGTGTTGACACGAAGGTGATGTCTATGTCACAGCGATCTTTGGTTATAACCACTCCAGGGTATCCATCCCTTTTTGTTTGACAATTTTTATTTTGGTCTTTGTGTCTATTGCTTCATTGGGCATCAGATCGGGCTAATCTGGTGCAAAGAACAAAGTCTATGTCCGACCGCCCCACGCTAAGCCTCCCTTTTTTTTTTCAACGATTTTAAACTGTCCGTAGCCATTCATCATGTTCATGTCCCATCATGCTCATCACTACAAGAAGACTTCGAGGTTGATCTCGAGGGTGCTCACGGGGTATCTGTGCACATGTTAGTATTTGAAGGCCCAAACGTTGACCAAGGGCTGGAGACATACCTCAGGTCAAACTTCTCCAGCACGGTGGGGTGCAGAATGCCGAACTCGCCGATGCGCGCCTCCTTGCCGCCGAGGCGCAGGTAGATGGCAGCCGCATGCCCGGGGAAGAAGGTAGCCTCGTCAATCTCCTCGATCCAGTAGCCGTCGGGCTTACTAGGGTTCTCAGTGACCTTGAAGTCGACGCTCTTGCCGGCCGTCAGGCCCTCGTCGTGGGTGAGGAAGGCGGTGCGAAGCATCAGGAGGATGCGGTCGAGAAGGCCGTGAACGACCTCGAAGCCGCTGGTCTTGCCGTACCAGGCAGCACCGAAGTGGCGCTCGTTGCGAGCCTTGCGCTCCAAAGACTCATCCTTGAAGACGACGTCGGCTGACTCGAATATCTTGATGGGGACACTGTGCTTCTTGTTCTCGCGGATGGTCTTCAGGAGACCAGGAACCAAGGATGTCCGCACAACCTGGTACTCGGCAGTCTTGGGGTTGGCAAGCTTGACAGCGGTCTTGCCGTCATCTTTCCGGTTGAGCCAGCCGAAGTTCTCGTCGTGGCTGCAAAGAATCAGTGGCATGACCTCGCTCCAACCGGACATGGCGGCCTCTGTCCGGACAATATCGGCGAGCTTGTTGATCATGAGAGGAGCGCCAATGGTTGCGCTCTTGTTGGGAGAAGATCTAGGGAGGTTGTTGTATCCGTAGCAGATAGCCAGGTCCTCCATAACGTCGCATTGGTGGAGCACATCGGCACGGGTGACAGGGATAGACACGCTCAAGAGGTTGCTGTCCTTGGTGGAAGGCTTGGCGATGTAGGCCATCTTGGTAAGGAGCTTGCACAGGGTCTCGGGGGACTCGTTGAGACCAGTGCAGGCGTTGAGGTAGTCGATCTCGACATCGATGTTGCGGGGCGCCAAGGTAGGTGTCGTTCTTGAGGCGCCGTTGTGCTCGGAGACGATCTTGACGGGCTCGACAGTGAAAGGCTCGGAGCAGTACTGTGAGAACATAGTGACCATCATGTCACAGACAATATCGAGCTTAGTGGCGTCGGTGGCCGTCATCTCAATGAAGACATTCTTGGTGTCTACGGTGATCTTAGAGTGGTCACCGTTGATGATGGGCGGCAGGGAGCAGACGACGCGGTTCTTGTCATAAATGACGGGGTAGACAGGCGAGTCCTTGATGATGTGCAAGTACTTGCCCAGGTGCTTGTCGCCCTCGTAGAACTGCATCAGCTCCTCGCCGTTCATCTCCTTGGTCTGGTTCAGGGGCTTGAACTTGATGTCCTTGGGCGGCAGGGCCTCATACGTGAAGGGGCCTTGTATCGTATCGAGGTCGTGGGTTCCAATGGCCACCAGTGTTCTTTGTCTCGCCAGGTTCATGTGCAGCTTGTCCTGAAGACCGATGAAGGAGTCATAGCTTTCTTGGGTGAACTTGATGTTGCGGAGGATGGCACCGGCGACGAGGGGCCTGATCTTGCTGGTGTCCTGGGCGACGGTGATGACCTGGGTCTCGGGGTTCTTGGGCTCGACGACTTTGTAGTTGGGGGCAGCAACGGTTCCTCTGAAGATGTTGAGCATGAGTGCTATTCCCTCGAAGCACAGCATGTCGTATCGGTTGGCGGGGATCTCAATCTTGAGCTGGGGCGGCTCCTGCACGCCATTGACAATTGGTCGCTCGTCATTTTCCGTGTCCTCGTCGAGTTCGATGCCGAATTCGAAACAGAGGTCCTCAAACTCCTGGGTTGTGAAGCTGTGCGGTATTGGTTAGCAAAACGGACCTTTCGGGATGGCGGGGTCGTGATATGTGTGTTCGGGAGGCGGCGGTGCGGCAGGTGCGATTGCGGCGCAACTTACTTTTGGCCCAAGGCCTTGTACAAGTCATACTTGTTGACGGATATGGTAGGCATGGTGAGGATTGGCGAGAGTCTCTCGAGGGTGCAGAGGTCCGGCAGTCGTCAGGGTCAGGAGAGGATCGGGCAATGGTCGCTTTCCTTCTCCAAGATGGCCTTGAGTCACAGAAATTTTGGGGACAATCGGAGGTGAAGCAACAGCGCGCATAGAGGGTTCGCATGCGGGATGGGGTTGCTGCTTTTACAGCCTTTGTAGGAGTCATTCCAACCTTACGCTGCTTTTCCTGCCCAATGTCGAGGGGCTGCGGGGTTGAGGGGCAGCAAAAGCGGCGGCAGCACTCGGCATCTCAATTTTCCAGGGTCCGATGTCACCCACTGGCCCGTGCAAGGCGAAACCGGGACGGGCAGCAGCGCAGCACAGAGCTCAGCACCCACGACCTGCTGCTGCTGCCGCTGCTGGTGGTGGCTGAGATGCAGCATACCGGCACCTAATTACTGTTCTCCCCTTTTCGCCTACGTCGTCGTTGCAGGACGGGACTGGTGACAGCTGGCGCTCAGTGCGCCGGCCCATTCTCTCATTCCAGCACCACCTGTTTCGTCGTCAACAGACCAAGTCGGGATAAACGATAGCTATATTGACATCAAGGTTTAATGACTGACAGCTCACAGCTACCTCACCGGAGAGAGGATGGTCGGCTTTGTTTGATGCATGAACGCCCTTAGAATTTATACGTCATTATCCCACAAGCCCCAAATATGTGCACAGAAGATTCCTGGTCATTTAGCTCTCTCTGACCATCCCCTTGGTTGCGTACCTTAGGTAGCTTAGCTGCATCCCAGATGACCCCTCCCTCGGCTGGTCACCTGGGAGACTTGCCAACATGGCCAAGAGAGGATTCTAGAGCAGAGAGATCTGGTGAATGTTTCTTGTAGCTCAAGGCTTGACACAGCTTACATGGTCGTCTTCCCATCCAGACAAAAGAGGACGGCCAAGGTCGAGTGAAAGCCTAGCACAGTATATACGTTGGAGGGAGATACGTCAGTAGCGGCAAATCCTCTCTTCACCTCCTCAGAGGCAGCAGCCCCTCACAACTCACCTCAAGAGAAGAGCACCACTTCTTCCTGCACCCCTGCCTTACGACACCCACCGCCCAGAAGGTCCCGGTACGTACCCCAGCAACCTTACCTAAGGCGGCTCATCTGGTCACAGATACAGGGCTCCTAGGCGCCGTGGACTGCTGTTTCCCATCACCCACACGGGGCACCTCAGCTAATAACTCAGGTGCGGTAGCGTAGCCTAGTCTGGCCGGGTGGGACAGGACCAGAAGCAGAAGCGAAAGTCGACCTCAGAAACGTCAAACTTCCCTCTCCATGCCTTATGCTGCCGCTACCTATCTCAAATCAACACCACATTTCTCCTCCGCCAACTACCACACGAACCCTCTCCTCTCACCACGACAACCAAACCGTATCTGTCGCCAACCCACCGTCGGATAGTGGCATGGTCTGCATGCCCGCAACCTCCTGATAGTAATTCCCATCCACCGTCCCGGTTGCGTCGTCTCGGATTTTAGAGCCCGCCCCCATCCCACAACGACCGCCGCTCACCCTCAACCAACCCATTGCATCACTCGCACGCGATCCACTCCGATCGCTCAAAACCAAGACGTCGACTTTCTTGAACATCGCCCGAGCCCCCCATCGATAGACGCGCCTGCGCTCCCTCGCTCGCCATGGTAGACGCGCCGAATACCCAGGACGAGCTTTACCCCATCGCCGTCCTCATCGATGAGCTAAAGGTATGGCGGTGACTCTGCCTCGTCGGCCTCGATGCCAGCCTCCCATCCGCCAGTGCACACTCCATTGCTAACCTCTCAACCCCAGCACGACGATGTCCTCCTGCGTCTCAATGCCATCCACCGCCTTTCCACTATCGCCCTCGCCCTGGGCGCCGAGCGCACGCGAGAGGAATTGATTCCCTTCCTCGACGGTATGTGTCGCGCATCCTACCCCATTTGAGCCAATATCTAAACAAATCGCCAGAGTCCGTTGAGGACGAGGACGAGGTGCTGGTCGCTCTCAGCGGCGAGCTGGGCAACTTCATCGAGTATGTCGGAGGACCCCAATGGGGACATGTCCTTCTTTCTCCCCTCGAGAACCTCGCTGCGATCGAGGAGCCCGTTGTGCGGGACAAGGTAGCTATCGCCCCCTGCTCCACCGGCCCAAGTCACGTCGCCTAATCAAAACAGGCCGTCGAGTCCCTCAACAAGATCTGCGAGGAGCTTTCCTCCCAGCAAGTCGAAGAATACTTCATCCCCTTGACCATCCGACTGTCAAAAGCAGACTGGTTCACCTCCAAGGTGTCCGGCTGCGGCCTTTACACAACGCCCTACAAGAAGGTGTCCCCGCCTGTTCAAGAAGAGCTTCGAAAGCAGTTCGGCCAGCTTGTTCACGATGAGACGCCCATGGTCAGACGCCAAGCCGCCACCAACCTCGCGAAGTTCGTCAAGGAGATGCCGGCTGCTATTGTTGTCGAGGAGATGATACCCCTTTTCCAGCACCTCGCCCAAGATGATCAGGACAGCGTCCGTCTTCTTACCGTCGAGATCCTCATTTCTATCGCCGAAGTCGTGCCCAAGGAGCAGCAGTCAAGCCACGGCGTTCTCCTCACTTCCCTGCGCAACCTGATCGAGGACAAGAGCTGGAGGGTCCGGTACATGATCGCCGACAGATTCGAGAAGGTTGGTTGGAGCCGTTCTGCTGGTAGTTGGTTTACGCTAATGCGCGTATAGATTTCCAAGGCCGTTGACGAGGAGGTCGTTTCAAGAGATCTGGTGCCATCTTTCGTCAAGCTCCTTAAGGACAACGAGGCAGAGGTTCGGACCGCCATCGCTGGACAAATACCTGGCTTCTGCGCCTTGGTTGACCGAACCGTTCTCTTGAACGACATCATGAGCAGCGTTGAGGACCTTGTTTCCGACACCTCTCAGCACGTCAGAGCTGCTCTCGGAACCCAGATCAGCGGTCTTGCTCCCATTTTGGGCAAGCAAGAGTAGGTATTCTGGCTGACAGGGTAATCGAAGATTCTAACGTCTCCCAGGACCATCGACCACCTGCTGCCGATGTTCTTGCAAATGCTGAAGGACGAGTTCCCCGAAGTCCGCCTTCACATTATTTCCAAGCTTGAGCTGGTCAACCAGGGTATGTGAGCGTTTTTCCCGGCGGAAGCGCATAGCTAATAGTCTGTAGTCATCGGCATCGATTTGCTTTCACAGTCTCTCCTCCCTGCCATTGTCCAGCTTGCTGAGGATAAGCAGTGGCGCGTGAGATTGGCCATCATCGAGTACATTCCTCTCCTTGCTAGCCAGCTCGGAGTTAAGTTCTTCGATGAGAAACTCAGCAACCTGTGCATGAGCTGGCTGGGCGACACGGTCTTCTCGATCCGTGAGGCTGCGACGCATAACTTGAAGAAGCTCACTGAGGTATTTGGGGTCGAATGGGCAAGCGAGGCGATCATTCCCAAGGTTATGGCTATGGGCAACCACCCCAACTACCTCTACCGAATGACGACCGCCTTCGCCATCACCGTGAGTGGCTCACTTTACAAATGACCAGGCTATCTGAAATGTGCTGACAAATGGCAGACTCTCGCTTCGGTCGTGAGCCTCGATGTCATCGCCGACAAGATCCTCCCCATGCTGGACAAGCTCGTCGATGACGAGATTCCTAACATCCGCTTCAACGTTGCCAAGACATACGGCGTTTTGATTGACGTTCTGCGCCGTCTGCCGGAAGAGGGCACCATCTACTCGCTGGAGAAGGAGGGCAACAGCTTCACCGCATCCCCGAGAGGCATGGAGCTGATCCAGACGCGCGTTATCCCCAAGCTGGAGAAGCTGCAAAAGGACGACGATGTCGACGTGCGGTACTTCGCCACAACGTCTGCGAACAGCGTGTCCGGACCTTCTGCTGGCGAGCCTATGAATACATCGCCATAGATGAGAGACGTAATGAAGCAATTCCCAATCTTTTTACCCGGGCCGTCCCAATGATCTACCTTGCATGCTTCGACCAACACATGACGGTCTTTGGTGCTACCTTCGGCTCGCTTGTCAGGTTTGCGGAAAGAAAAGAGAAAAAAGACAGAATAGAGAAAGGAGGGGAGCGTGCGCATGTTCAAGTGTGTTGGGCTTGGCGACATGGCGGTCCTGGAGCATCGGTTGCACGCTGGGTTAAGGGGGGAGGTTGGAGGACAGGGTGCGAGGGTAGAAGAGCCTGCCCATATTCTCGTATGAAAGAGACACGCAATGTATGATACACCAGCAGCCGTCAGAGAGGAAATGCGATGCAACGACGAAGAACATTGACCTTATGTGTCGTCGCATGTGCTGGCAATTGTACCGTGCCAGTGAATTTGGGTATCTTCATGATTTTATCTATTCGTCTAACTCGTGGCATCGTGATGAGTCTGCCTATGCCTGTCTCTGGAAGCACAGGCTGCTAATAGTCTGACCCTTGGCGCCGCCAAATGTGAAGCTGGGATAGTCCACCTTGCCGACGGCGACGAAGCGGCCGGCGTCGCCCTCGTTGGCGGGGCCCTCGAACCACGCCCTCAGCTCCTCCTCGGTCCAGTTGCAGCTCGTGATGAGGAGCAGGCCGCCGGGCCTGACGAGGCGGAGCGCGCGGCCGCGGTAGCCCTCGCAGATGCGCCGGCCCTGGGCGTCCTTTTCGTCGCTGAGGCAGATGGCGTCAAAGGTGCCCTTGTCGAGGACGACGTCCCAGCCTTGGGCCTGCGCGCCGTTGAGGACCGTCTCCCAGGGGCCGTTGAGGACATCCCATTCTTGGAACTCGGGCTCCTTAGCCTCCTCGTCGTCCTCCTCTTCGTTGCCGGCGTCCGCCATGTCCTCATCATCCTTGTTGGGGGAGGAAGAAGAAGAGGCTTGCCTCTGGGCGGCGATGCGCCTCGCGAGCTCGACGCTCTGCGGGGCGTAGTCAACGCCGAGGGCGCGGCCGGCCCACCCTTCATCGCGGAGGGCGAAGAGGAGGGAGCCGTTGCCGCAGCCAAGATCCAGGAACGAGGCGTCGGACTGGCGGAGGGAGTGGTCGAAGGGGGCGGACTCGGTAAGGTCCTCGAGGTAGGTCAGGAGCTTGGACTCGGCGTCCGAATCGTCGAACCAGACGGTGCCGCGGTCGTCGGGGTTGGAGGCGTTGTTTGTGAGTTCGGTGGTGTAAAGAGTGGACCAGCTGTTCGGCTTGCATGTCAGTCATGAGAGCTGGTTCCGTTGAGACGGCGAGGGGAGGTGTAGAGGGTGGGTTTGTTCGCGACGCCCCTTGGGCATCGAAGGGAGAGAGGGGTGGACGGACTATTCTTTTGTGCCGAGCTTGGAAGGCTCAAGGTGGGCGGGTTTGGAGGCCATTGTGGACGCGTTTCCGACGAAATGAACTTTTTCCCTACGTCTCTGAGTGTTTGGCCTAAATACCGAGCGTGGTTCTCCTGGCTGTGCGTTGTGTTGTTCACCCCGCATACATCCTCAATGTCCCAAAATTTGATGCCATCGCGAATGGGTTTGGCGGGGTGTTTTGCCAACGCCTTTTGAAAGAGGAAGGCGGTGGGCGGTGCAATGGAGGGACCGACCCCCACTCTTGTTGTCCGCGCAGGTGCCTGCTGCAGATGGAGGGGCAAACGACAAGTCTATCGCTGTCAACGTGTAAGTAGGTCAATGAAGCTTAAAAGAATGACGGCTGCGATGTGGTTGGGGAGGAGGGAGAGCGAGCTTCTGAGAGAGTATTAGGGCATCTGCTTTGCATTTAATGACAGAAAGATGACCACCATCATTGGGTGTCTTATGTAAGAGTCAGGAATGACAGTTGCCAATGCGATGATTACAGAGTCAAGGGAACGGGGCCGGAGAGCAGTCTGATGTCTAAGAGCATTGACATCGTTCGCTACCTGCGCATGCTACAAACAACGCAAGACAAGCTACTGCACCCACACGAGCCCTCCCTTCGCTACCAGACACTGCAATACCGTTTCGACAATGGCGTTGACAAAGGCGTGCGTAACCTCCCAAAGGAGGACCAAGGAGGTCTGTGTAATGAAACCCCCCTCCGTACGACCAGGTGACCGCCGAGCAATGACATGTTCCCCTCGAAAGCAAATGAGGCCATCGCCCACCACAAGGCGCCTTTCGTCCCTTCTTCAATGTCAAATGCTTACGAACTTAAGGGAGGGGGAATGGGTGACGTTTCGTCTGGAGTCGGAATCGCTTGTATAGATAGCCCACGCGCACCACCACAGCAATCTCCTTTCTCCATCCCCTCCTGTCTCTTGCTTCTTCCGAACCGCCCCCGTGAAGTTTGACCCCGGCCCAACGTGTCACCACACTCGCTTATCATCCACCAGCCTCATACCAACGCCCGCCATACCAAAGATCAACCCCATCTCGGAAAATTGTGCTTGAAGGAGCCAGTGATCGAGAACTCGAGACGTAGTGCGCACCGTGGTCTAGGGCGGAGACGAGACCGGCTTCATGTACAACTTCCACATCCTCCTCCTCGCCCTCCTCGTGGCCCTCAGCGCGGGGAGTACCGCCTCGGCCCGCCTCATCGACCGCCAAGCCCTCGTCGCGGCGCGGCAGTCGTCCGGCCAGGACGAGAGCAGAACCGGGGGTGTAAGTCTGACCAGTCCTCAAGACGGAGAGACGTTTGTGACTGACTGCGGAGCCACAGACCTGCACGCAGATGAGTAACAAGTGCAGCTTACCCGGCCGAGACGCCCAGGTTTGCCCGGCGGACTACAACAGGGTATGTCTTCCGGCCCAAAGCACTCCAACAATGCTTGACTCGAGACTGACGAGATTGGCAGTGTCCATTCGACGGTGCCTCATGCGTGTTAATCGAGCCAAAGGGGGAGTCAAGCCGCAAACCCGAAGTGCGTTGCGGATACCTTGGCAGCATATGAGAGAAGAGGGCACGATGGAAAATGTAAACAACGGCAAGAAAGCAAGAAACTTGGAGGTACCTTGGTAACTGGCTGGGTCCTCCCTTTTCCAAGAGAATCCAAGCATCCAAGCAAACCTTCTGGTATGAACGTAAATCTTCAGTCGTGATTATCGCCCCTTTCCGGTGCAGGTGGGTGATTCCGGTCCCCTTTCCTCCCAATATGGTCGTTCCCTCACTCATACCACCCAAAACCTCAAATGCAGTACCATCATCCAGGATATTGCTCCTCTATACGAACTGTTGCGGGGCCCCCTAGACATACAACCTCTTCTTGTCTATGCGTCATCCCAAATACTTTCAAATCGTCCACACAGTTGCCTTCACAAGAACCTGGCGACCCCTGACTTCCACAGCTGGGAAGCCTGCAAGCCGCACAGTGTTGCTGTCTTTGGATGGGAGAGCTGAAGGAGGGGGGCATCAGTACTTGTGGGCACGATTGACGACGCAGTGCTGCCCTTACGGCCTGCATGCGGTCCACCGCCGAGTATGGTTGTGAACATACCGCTCTTGGTCTTGTCAGCCCGCTGGGTTTTCCCGTTCTTGTCCTTGTCTCCCTCGTCACCCTCTGCATCGCCATCGGGTTTGGGGATATCCAAAGGCGGGAGTGGGGTCTTTTCCACGTCCATAATGTTCAATTGGACAGGATCTCCAGGCAAGGGGTAGTTGATCGCAACATCTCTGCTTTCTAGCGGAAGGTTGGCAGCGATGCCGACAGCCAACTCCACAATCATAGAGGCGCTGCCGTCAACGCCGGCGGGCGGCGGGTCTGTCATGTACTGGAACAACGTCGCTGTGAGGTTCGACGTACACATACGGGTGAAGTCCGCCCTGTTGTCTGCACTTTCCGGCGAGTTCAGAACCCTCTGGAGACCCTCCAGCGTGGCCATCCGCCAGCTGACAACCTTGCTCGTCAGGGCATCGAACTCTTCTTGGCTGGTCATTGTATAGGAGAAGCGCCGGATATTGAGCTCGATCTCCTTCAGATGCCGGCTGAGCTCGAAGTTGAGGCCAGGATGGAAACACTTGTTGAAGATCTCTTCTACAATCCATCTTGTAATGACAGCACGTCCGACTGCCGTCATCTCCTGCTTTCCGGTCTTGAGCGCATCAATACTGACAAACATGTCCAGCCACTGCGGTACTGTACGCCAGTCCTTTCGGATGTTGAATGAGAGGTTGTTGATAGCACCATTGAGACGGTTGAATCTTGTTATGTACTCGCTATCGTCAAGAGCGGTGCGCGACTGTGATATTCGCTGGTTTGCAATTGCATTCTGTAGTTGCTCGATTTGAGAGTTGAGGTTGTCGATCTGCGTCTTGCCGTCAAAGTACAGGCGCTTCACGTTCTTATACTTAGTCACTGGAAGCTGTTAGCATAATGCCGATACGATGCCCGTGTACACCTTACAGAGCTCCTTAAACTTGTCGGGATCCGCGCCATCACGGTCGGGGTTGGAAGGCTGGGGGCTGTTTCGGCCCTGTTCCCCTGTTGCACCCTCGAACTGGCGCGCTTCTTGAGCACCGCCAGACCGGAAGGCAGCAGTGGCGCCGCCAGCAGTAGGAGGCATTGTCTGGTTCTGTCTGTATCCCGGGGGCGGACCTGAAGGTGCGTCGACCTGGTTGCGCAGTGCTTTCTCCGTCTCTTGCGACCGCCGGTTTGGGGGAGGGCCTCCGGAGGGGGGGGCCATACTCTGCTGCTGAGGTTGAGGTGTTCCTTGTTGGGTAGGAGGAAGTGTTGCAGGCTGCGGGTTGTCGGTAGTCTGCACAGCGTATCTCACTGCGGGGAGGTTTGGGTGGATTGGACGTTTGCCGAGCGAGCGTCTGAATCAGTGACAGGCGATTCATGCGACAACTGGGAAACAGTCTCAGGATTCTGATGCGAGCCGGCACCTAAATGGCTGGTGTAGATCGCAGGCGGCCTGGCTTGATATTGGCCGCTTTGCTGTTGGGAATATTGCTGGTGTTGCTGCTGCTGCGACGGATCGTAAGCAGCCTGCTGACCGAGTTGGTGCTGCTCTTGCAAAGCGGGCACCTGCTGCGTTTGCTGGTCTCCGTAAACGGTCTCTTCGTAGGGTGTGTTTTCGAAATCGGTCGGCGCGTAGCGAATCGAGTTGCGGTTGGATTCTGGGTTCTGTAGACGGGAATCTCTGTTAGGGTCTTGTGCCAAGTGGTGATCCTCGATCTCGCCAACGCCCTGCAGGGGGGAAGATTGTTGATGAGGTCCCGGAAGCGGCCAGTCGACGGATTGTCGGTCCAACGACAACTGGGAAGACTGCTGGGACAAGGCAGTTCTTGCGGGTGGTAGGTTGCTCACTCTCTTGGACGGTCGGCGAGCAAGACCAGCCGTGTTGTCGTAGGAACTTGGCGGGGTAGGTTGGGGAGGCGGGGTGTTGTGGTGATCGCGGCCCGATCCGCCCAAGATGTTCTTGAGCAGCCTTCGTGCAGATCGCTTCTCCGGGGCGGGTTGCGGAAGCGGCGATGTCGCTTGATTATTGAGGGGAGCAGGAGAGGTGTTGTTGGCGGATGCTCTCAGACTGTCGACGGAGCTAGATGCAGCAGCGTTGAATTGGTTGCTGTTGGGGTAAGGGGCCACACCAGGCGGGTAGCGCTGTGACTGTGAGCGGGAGACTGAATCGGAGAAATCCTGCTGACTTCTTTGGCGTAAGTCGGCAATGGGCGGGTTGTGGTGTTGCAACAGGAGGGAGTTGCGTGAGGCAGAAGCAGCGGTGGTGGTTGAGGTAGGAGGATACTCGTGGGGCTGTGGAGGTGGCCCCTGCTGCCCTTGCTGCGGAATGTTTGGCTGTTGTTGCTGGAGGTGTTGAAGTTGTGGTTGTTGGAGCTGGTGTTGATGGGCCAGCTGGTTTTGGTGGATGTCAAAGGATTCGCTGGAGCTGAAGGCGGTCGACGAGGCTGAATGGGGGGTAATCTGATTACTAGCGCCGGCGGCGTTGGCTGTGAGTGCACTCGAGACCGGCGCGGGCGCAGGACCAGGAGGGCCAGAGGCAGGAGCGAGGGAGGAGTGAGGGTAAGGGTGAGACGAAGAGGAGGAGGAAGGAGCACCAGGACCGGCGGCAGCAGAACCAGAAGGCGGCGCAGGTGTAGAATGTGAAGCTGCTGGGCCAGCAACCTCTCCGCCCGGATCAACAAGTGCTTGCTGCGAGCGGTTATGGTGCCGTCCAATGCGACCAAAGGTCGGCATTATAGCTGCGATATTGTCGTGCGCAGCCGCCGCAACCCCAGGCAAGGTCAGATAAGGCAACTCTCTTTTTTCCCACTTGCTCTCGGACTCTTTGTTTGGAAGGACCGCGCTGCACTGTACTGACGTCGTGTGTGTGCAGCAAGCAAGCAAGCAAGCAGGCGAGGCCGGAAAAAATAAAAGAAGACAAGCAAGAACAGCCTGGCAACTTTCTCTCTCTGTGTCTCTCTACTCAACCTGCTGAACGGCACAGCCCGCGAATGCCTGGTACTGAGTAGCAGAGAGATACACAAGACGGGGAACGGTGGACCAAACGCACAGCTCGCTGGGCTCCGAGGCGGGGCAAGGACAAGTTTCGCTTCAGCTCAGATCAGTCAATGTCGGGCAAGGTCTTGTCTCGTCAGTTGGATACCAAGGTCGAAAACAGCGAGCGGCAAGCCGGAAGGGAAGCAAGAGGATGACAAGACGAGGTTGATCAGCCCGCCCTGCTGGTCCCTCGTTCCTATTTTTTGCGCGTCTGTGTATGCGGTTCTGCGTCTGCGACCCTGTCTGCCTGTCCACTTTCTCACCCAAATTCAATCTAACGTACGTGTGCAGGTGTCCGCCAGAAGGAAGAAGCACTAGTAGAGCAACAGGTAGAAGACCAGACCGATGGAATCGGATTGGCTATCCAAGCTGCAGAAAGCGGATGCCGTGCTGGGTCTGGGGTTCCCTGGAGGGGCTTCCTTGGGGCTGTGCACAAGTCAATCCCAAAGTCGCGCTGAGCTGTCGTCCTCGCGAGCTGGAGTCGCTGATGGCTTACTGCTAGGGTGGTGCCGATGGCTTGGTCCGATGGTGTCTGTCGTTCTGTTCGTCCAGTCCTGGCGTGCAGCGCTATCCCATTCTCGTCCAGCGATAGCAGACCAGAAACTAACGGATGCAAATGGGTGGTGGAAAGAAGTGCTTGTCTTGTCTGGAGTCGCTCGTCTCCGGCTGCCTCTGTTCAGACGAACAGCGGTTAAGACTCGACCGTCGATGGGGGATGGGTGACACACTCCAGCTGCTGCGGGGAGGGATCTGGGGTCGTTTAGTGAAACACAGAGTGGTTTCGATCAGCGTCGCCAGGGGTGGTTATTCAGTCTGCTGTCAGCAACAGGCCGGAGGGTAAAGCCTCTAAACCGGTGGCTGGGATAGTGAAGACAGAAGACAAACAGCCAAACGGCCAAACAAGGTATCGAACACAAGCGAGAGTCGTGGTTTTGCCAGCGGACAGTTGGGGATGTCAGAGGCAAATTCGACTGGACTCTGTGAAATTGGGCGGAATGCAGAAGAGGGGAGGTAATCAGACTTAGAAGGAAGGTGTGAGGGTGAGAGAGGCGAATGGCGTCGTGTTAGGATGCCACGCCAGGATAGGGCTGATCAATTGCCTTTTCACCGGCCCGCCATCTCTCCACTACGGACGGGGTGCGGACACGGAAAACTTCACAAAACGAAGCTTCGGACGGGAGGCTCGAAGAAAAGCCCCGAGAAAATGGTCCTGTGTCTCTCTGTCCCTCCCATCGCCCGCTTACATGATCTCCACGGTCATGATGATCTAGTTCCTCCGGAGCCTGCGGGAGGCAAAAAATCCCATTAGTGCCAACAGTCAGCACCGGCTACACCACCACCACTGCTGGATGAAAATAACCATGAGATGAGGACCCAGTCTCGAGCACCACAACATCGGATTATATGGGGTTACGGTCCAAGACGGAGGGAAGCCAAGCACCAGCGGGGAGTAATTAAACGCAAGCTTCATCCAAATTCCAACCCCGAGCAAATACATCTACCCTCAGCAACAACGACGGCATCCTTCAGCAGCCATATCCTCGTTCGGGTCTCCGTTGCCGTCTCGGTCCTTCGGTACAGTACCGGGAGGAGGGCTGCTACCACCCAACCTCTCAGCAAGGCCATACCCAGCCCAGCCTAGCCTAAGCTTGGCTTTCGTCCCCCGTCGTCGAAAAGTCGCCGACCACGCTGCGAGCTGCGAGCTGATGCCAGGCCCCGAACTACATACATGCGCAGACGGGGGAAACGGGTGCTCCATAATACTCACTTTGCCCGAGCTGAGAGTAGAGCGGGCATAGGAGGAAGACAGGGAGGGGATGCGCTAGATCCCGGGCTCACCACAGCGAGACGTTTGGCAATGACAACATCCAGCATTGAGCACTCACTCCCGTTGACCCTGCATGCATGTCATATATGTACGCCTTTTGCGGCCGTTCTGTCTCTAAGCAAGCCACGGAATAATGCGAGTCCTTGTCGACCAATGTCTTGTTGCCTCTTGCAGACAGCCATCGTGCTGTCGCTGTCGGTTGTGGAAGTTGGATAACAATGTTCCACATCAAACAACAGGGTTTACCAGAGAGAGATAAAGAATCCATTCGTTGGAGGGGCCATCACTCAATGTGAGTTAGTTACCTCAATCCCCCCCCCCCGTCAAGCTCGGACAGCTCGGACAGCTCAGCCCTAAAGGGTAACCTTGTTCGCGGGCGAAGCTCAAGGTGCCAAGTTTGATGCTTCGCTCTTCGTGCGCTCCCCTTCGGCAAATTACTCAGTGGAGAGCTCTCTCACCATGTTCTCGGCGAAGACCTTGATAGGAACCCCCCACCTCACACTTCTGCCCCGCATCAGTCCGGGACAGCTATCATGTTACACGGGCTTCGTGTGGTATCAAGCATGTCTCCAGCATAGAGCAATACTTTCTGAGGCCAGGTCGGCCAGCTCTTCGCTCATGCTTGCAATGAACATGCGGCCTAGTGAATCATTCGTCCGAAGATGCATGATAAGTCTTCACAGTGAGCGCCATCGCATTCATATGATATCTGGGCTCACGAAAGCTATTTCCAGCGTATATCCCAGGAGTTATTTGGCCCTTTAGCTCCCTTTAGTGGTACACCAATCAATTCAAGAAGCTTAGCTACTATCTTCGTGGCCGTTCAGACAACCCTCGGCCCTAGAGAGCTCTGGTGGAGCTATTGTTGAGAAAAGAAGCTACTAATGGCTCACCGCCAAAAGAAACAAGCAGGGCCAACAGTAAGCTCGTCAGAAGGCTCGTCAGGTTAATGAGCTAGTTTACATCCAACGTGGATTTTGCAGTCAACCGGCATGGGTGAGTCATGGTGTGTCATTTGGATTGGGGTCGTGAGAGGTGACGGTTTCAACAAAGCTGAATTAGAGTCCACAAACACGCCTCCCTTCCTAACACGGCTCATGGCAGTTCGAGATTGACTTTTCAGGCTGCCAATGATCGTTGACTCTCTCGTTAATTACAGCTGATTTCATCTGCACGCTGGCTGCCACCCTGCCAGATGCATCCACGCCGAAGGAGGCTTTCTGTCATCCGAGCCATCAGACCTGGCATTGGGCAACTTTCCAGCCAAGCGGTCCAATGTTAACAAGGATCTGCGAAGTGGAGGGGGCACGAAGGGGGACCCTTTGCCCTTCTCTTATGCAAAAAGTCAGTTTGGCGTGGGCATTGGTGCTATTAATAGCAGGGAAGGACAAGGACAAGGGAACGGAAGGGGGGGCAAAACTTCATCAAAACCTCATGGGTGGAAGCCGGATCAGCTCTCGTCAATCGCGCTTGTCCAGATTCGGTCTTCGGGCTCCGCGGATCACCTAAGCAGACGACCACTGGGAAGGGGGACCAGGTTCCTTGCGGCGAAGGTCTCACCACCACCACTTCAAACCACACGACAAGTCATCCAACCTTTGCACGTCAACCTTCTCGGATAGATAAGGGATCAGCTTCATATTCATGCTACGGATACGTTTGTAACATAGGGGTGCGCCTCCCCCAAAGAGCTGGCTTCCAAGGAGTTGATGGAATGCTTCAGACGACATCGAGACGAGTGATCTACACGTTAGGTGTTTATGCGTCTTCTCGATTCGGTGCTTACAGTGCAGGCATACTCCCTCTTGAGAAAGACATTTTGCTATCTTACGTAGCTTACATGACAAGCAGCGATCGTCTTTGCATCAGAATCTCTTGTTTGACGGTCCCTTGAGATGCCGGTGGCTAGCTGATGCTTGATGCGAGGCTGATAACTGCAGGTATTGATATGATGGCTGAGTCAAATAGTCCCGGGGGCTCGGGGTTTTATTGGATTATCTTGCATCTTGGTGCTCCGAAAGGAGACTTGAATACGAAGCATACTCTGATACCTTGCCTATGTGCGTCTTGTTCTGGGAGAACGAGATTTTGGCCCGGTTAAGGCTACCGATGCTAACCTTCATGGCCCCCAAGGTCAGTATAGTCGGCTCACAGCCTGGGGCTCACCCCGCTTGTTCCTCCTCAATCAAGTTATGCGTCCCTTCTGTATGCGAAAGTATTCGAGGCCCTCGGGTCAATCACGCAGAGGGCCCAAGCTCCTATAACGGATTAGCGATGCCCTGAAACGTGGTACCCGGAGCCTGAGCGTCGGCCATTCCGACCGACGAATCCACCGTGGGTGTGGGCTTACAGTCCCGTCCCGCTCGGATCCGTAAGACGCGGCTACCGAACGGCTCCGGAGGCTCTTGGCTACCTATTCCCCACCTAGAACCGTTGTTTGTGTTATATTCGGTAGATGAGGGCTCCCTCCGTATCTCAATTCAGGAGTATGCTCTATTATATGTCAGTATGCGACTGCTTTGAGTAGCTAAAGGGGTGTTTGTGAAAGACTGACCGATGGACTGCACGGAGGCAGCGGCCACGAACCTGATGTCGATCTTGGCCGACTATTCTCAATGGTCATGAGGATGGGAAGCTCCGGCCTGATTCCACTCGAGGAAATGACACCGATGTGACTTCAAGCTTACCTTCTGAAACCCTGCTGGGATCTGCAACCTAAAGCCTGGGATGATACCGCCGTGTCAGGACACCGCGGTGACGATCATGATTTTGGTCTTCTCGTCCGTTGCGGCACCGTCGTTGTGAGAGGAGTATCTTTTGGGGATTAGAGCAAGCTCCGAACACCCGGCCCATAGTGAGGAGAGCGAATGCCCAGAAGCTGTCTTGGAGGCTGACAGCAATGTGGGTGACGTAGGTGATCTTGACTATGTAGTTTAGGGCATGGGCTAAGGCGAGGCTGTCGACCTGAACATTGTCGCGGCCGTTCAAGATGATGCGGTTTTCCGGGGGCGCCTAGATTCGATGACTACCGTTACCGTGGAGAGCTTCCAGGCATGGAACTACCTCTTTGAGGGTGTTGTAAGCTTCGAAGTAGGCCTGGGGGTGGGCCGGATTCTTGGACCGGTGTCAATACCCACCTAGAGGGTTCGGCCGGTAGAATTGCGGTGCGGTCCTATGATTCTGATGGCTTGGGGCTGCGACAATGCCTCAATCCACATACCACGGCGGATCTCAGTCGGAGGAGAGCCAAAGAGATCCAGGGAGCCTTGAAGCACCTTGGTGATAACAAGGTAGTTTGTGCCGTTGGCTTCTTTTAGGAGGCCAGAATTCTGTCTCCTCTTTGTTTTTGACAAGATAACGTAATATGAGATGATGGAAGTTAGGCAAATGAATCCTCTTTAGTGTTTAAAAACAAGTGCAAGGTGTAGTGAGATGAAGTTGATAAGGGTTTGTTAAAGCAGGCATGTTCTTGAGTGTGCTCCTTATCTGGGCAAGCCGGAATCACTCAATAGCAGTTGAGTGAGGTCAACAAGGATTTCCTAGAGAAAAAGGATGTCTAAATGTATATACACGCAATATTTCATAGAAAGCAGCCATTAAGGGTGAGGCGAGGTCAGATTAAGAGCCGCTGGTGACATTTTCAGAAATGCGGACACGTCAGAAAGCCCTGTGCTTCTTCTCTGGTCAGGTACGATTGCTCACAGCATGGAAGGCCTTAACAAACGCCTGAGTCACACAGGTCTGGTTTATCCGCCAGTGTGTATCTTATCAGTAGACAGATATCGCAGAAAGCAACGTAACATGAAGATAAAGCGTGATAGAGTACCTGCCTCACATGCTAAGCTAGAACGCGTTCTACAGCGACAGTCATCAACCTTTGTTAATGCCGGACCGGGCACTTTGTTTGCACGAGTGGTATCGTTGGAGCTATATTCATATACATCACTTATTCGTTTAGGCTCAGGAGAAGGCACGAAAAGACAGTTCCTTGGCAGATGTTCACCAAATGTATCTAGTGTACGTATGCTATGAGCAGTGCCAGCTACATCTCGGGTGTTACAGCCGCCGGAATCATCTTTATTCTTTGTTCTTTTCTGTTCTATCCCATACTCTTCTCTTAGCTTACCCTTATCCCGTGATCTGTTTCAAGCTCCCATACTTGTCGAGTTGTGGCCTATGAAGTACCAGCACAATACAACCTTCAGCAGCCCCCTTACCGTATCCGGAAGGAAAGTGTTGTGCGATGTGATTCCTTTGAACTTCGGCACGAAGGGTTTCGATAGAGAGAAAGAGGGTATTGACCACGGATTAACAGGCCAATTGATGTTGGCCTACGTGAAAAGCTCTTTCTGACTGTCTACAATACTACTTCTTGACCAATTATCTCTCCAAGTCTCATCGGTACTCAGCTCGTGGATCTTTTCCATATATGAAAACTTATAATCCTCTATTATTCCTTCTGAGATCAGAGTTGTTCAGGGTCTGCGGTTTTGCTCTTATGAGATCAAGTCTGCCGTTAATTTGTTAGTAGCTAGGAAGAAAGAAACCATACACATTGGATCTAATACGTGCCTGCCAGTCCCATGTTTCCAAGCTGATATCAAGTCATGCAAAAGCCCAGTCAAGATATGCAGACCGGAAGTTTCTGATGCTGGGAAAGTTGTCTCATTCAGGAGAACCCAGGATGCTTATTATGCTAAGAGCCATTTGTGAATGCTTGTCAACAACCACCACAAATTCCTTCTAATCGTAATGTCTACTAGCTCATCTACACGCACCAAGTAATAATAGCATGGCACTAGTCTCTCTAGGCTTAGTAGATGTTGGTCTAGTCTTTATACGAAACGGCTCCAGCCCACTGTTGTTTGTACTACCACCGCTGCGTGTAGTCTGTTGTAAACCTGTCACTGTATGGCCTGCCGAACAAATTGATCTTGACCAGAATGATGTCGCCGGATCCCCGGAACTCGTAGGAAGATGCCTGAGTTGAATGTGTATACCCAACTCTCATGATTGACAAAAGAAGACATCGCTCCCTTGCTGTGTCTCCAAGCAATTGCAGGAAACGGTTACACGGAGCAGTTGGGCATTTGCTGTGGCCTCTTGGAGCAGTGTCTCCAAACACGGGGTTAGCGACCTTCCTAACCATCGGTGTAGTTTCTTGCAAAGTTGTTTGAGCATAATCCGCTCCGTGGGACACGATGCTGTGTGTTCTAATGAGGCTGACGAACCAATCGAGAATCGTATTGCACACATCTGTGCAGCCTTGAGCGGAGTCACCTCGGAGATCGACATCTGTGGAGCCTTGATTAGCCTCGTGGAATGACTGGGCGTTGATAGCAGTCCCTCACCGCTTGATCGCTGCCATTTCGCCCCTGAAACAGAGTCATCGAGCGATATACGACCATGATTACAACCAAACCCCTCCCATTTCCAGCGGTAAATTATCACGACGAGCTAGTCATGAGACAGCCTTTGCTCTTGAATTTTTACATCATACATACATAGCTGTCCAACGCTACCATATTCGGCTTTCCCGTTGACCTTTCCGGTTCAAAGGCACAGCATGGTCGGCTGGAAGGTTGCAGTGATCGTGCCACTAACACAATCCAGGAAACTGGATGTGCTCCTTTCCGGGAGCAAAAGCTTTCTCATAGACTAGTTAAGATATGATAATTGGTGATGCTTTCGAGCAAACAAAAAACTTACGGCAGGCCTTCAACCGGGTCAGCGTGGTTGCACCGACAAGGAAAACCGGCAAATTGCCGTTCCCGGTCACACAAGAAAACTCACAGGTGACCGGCTTGAATATATCTTAAATTCACACGTTGAGTTCACCTATGCTGTTATAACATGATATGTTGTGAGGCATGAAAATACACTGCCCGTTTGGGCTGTTCTGGCTTCTCTATATCTACGGCGTGGATAACCAGTCATGTCCACGGGCCAGATGACACGACCGCCAGTCGTAACAATAAAAGGAGACCAAAGCGGTTGATGAGTGCTACATAGTCGGCCCAAGTCCTTCGTCTAGGTTCCATTCGTGCTCAAGCGCGACCTGTCTAGTCCATAGATTCTCACCGCCTTGTCTTGGACAGCTTCAACATAGACGATGATGGCAAAACCCAGTTTTCTCCATCCTGATCGAGAAAGGTTGTTCCGGTTCGAGGCTTCGGGGAACCATATGGAATCTCGTGCTCACTTCTCACAGTGCAAAAGCCATAATCTGCGGTAGCACAATAATCTCCGAGGAACATTAGGCAACTTCTCAGCAGGTACCCTCTCCTGATTTCGGGACCCGCCGTATCGGTCATAACTTGGCATTGTTGCCCGCCTGGTTAGACCGCCGCCAGTTCCTCATATGATCAACGAGAATGGCGTATAACGACGTACAACCACGGGTTCTCGCACCGGGCCGCGTGGGCATATCACCGGTCGCCCACATACTGCTGTGATTTGATGACGTTTCGGTTTAGGGCATCACAAAAAAACAGGGCATACTATCGTCGTTATTGCTGGATACCACGTCTCAATGGCTCTTCTCAGGAAGATATAAAGGCTGCCAAACACGCAATCTTTCTTCATCGTAGATACTCTAGATTAGATCGAGATCTTCCGAGCTCCTATCAGGTCCGTGTTCAAATCACAGCTTAATAACTTCTATTGTTGATGCCTTTAAAGAGTAACAAGATGAGACTTCTAGCATTTTCACCAATCTTTTCTCTCTCGTCTTTTGTGGCAGCATTGCCGGCCCTGGAAAGCCAAAACGCTTCCCAGTTCAAGTACCCCTGGCTCAACATGACTCTCAGCAACCTCGAGTCCGTCTGCTACAGGGAGGAAGGAAACGAACTGTATACCTGTACCCTCGAATGTGAGTAGAACCATTTATTCCATACCCTATAGCCACGCACGATCCGTGATAGCTCGAGTGACACTGACTCCAAACTACCCAGTCGACCTCTACGACCCCAATACGGAAGGCGTCGTGGAAATCAACGGTGCACACTGTGGCACGGCGTGGGAATGGGACGGCATTACATCAAGTCATGGCCCGAACAACAAGTACCCCAGCAATGGCGTCCTCTGCTGGAGCGGCGGCTCGAATTCATTTCAGTTTAGGGTGGTAGAGTTTTGGTCAGCCTCGAGATTCGAACTCTACGTCAGTCATCTGTATAGAGACACGCGGTGAGTCCGGACTACTCCTCCTGTGGAGAGGCATGATGTTCATCTGTCAAAAATGGCACAGGTTTTTCAAACCACCGTACGATGGGAGGAAAGCTTTGGTCAACATCATCATCCCAGAAGAACATCCCCTTCCACCTGTCGCGCCGTTTGTGCCTCCGATCGACCAGTTCAAGTTCATCGCCACGGCGACGATTTCGAGGCGCACAGACGGATTGTCATAGCGGCGTGGGCGTGAGGTGGTGTTGTGTCAGTTTCACAATACTTTTGGAAAAACTCAACTCAGTTTGTCGGAGAGCGCCGGCCGGTCGTAAGAACTTTCAGTCGTGTTTTACTACGGCCTCATGTTGTTGAAGATGAGACGATGCTCTTGTGGATCTGCCGCACAATGGCTAGGCTTGGGCAAGAAAGAGCTCGGGAAGGTAATAGAATAAGTCTGTCTACAATAGAGTTGAACGGAGTATTCTGTCTCTATTTGATGGGTCCCGACAAAGCCTAAAAAAATCCTTTAAATAACTAGGTCGATTGCCTGGGCTCTTTGCCGTGATTTGCCTACGGTACCAAGTGAGCCAAGGAGGTTGGTGTTAAGTTTGAATGCGGCTCAGATTCGTATCTCTTAACTGTTGTCAGAACACCCACAACCTTGTCGGCAGTAGGCCCAAACAAGCACCGAAAAAACAAGACAAATACTTTTGCCAAGAGACAGATTAGTCTCCGTTTCCCAGCCGTTGAAGAACCAATCAGTTGTCGATACCCGCCGTCGGGCGTAGAGCCAAGACAATGAATAGAGGAAGGGCCACAAGCTGATCATGGAGGAGCTCATATGCGTGTGAGAGTAAACCCATTAGGATCTACGAAACTATAAACGCGGCTCGATTGTCTCCCCCCCCTAGACCATACACGATGCGCGCGGGGTTTCTTGTAAGGATGGCCAAGCTTCTGAATTCGCCAATCACATCGTGTTTTCTCCGGTGTTTTACAGGTTATGTCGACAACAATCGGCGACTCGCTCGAATCCGACGGACTTTTTGGCATCTCTTCAGACTGCGTATGAGTAAGGAAGATGTAGTATACAGCGAGTAATGCATGGAATACCAATCGCTCAACTTGAGACTTGCGATCGACTGGTCAGACTTCTCAAGACTCTACAGAAATCTTCGGGTATGCTTCTCTGATTCGCCTTTCTACCTAGCATCAGGCTTGCAAATTAAGATCACACCGAGATCCTAGGTAGTGATTTCTAGGCTGAGTGAATGGGGTAGGGATGCGCAGGGAAACGGGCATTGTTCATCGAAAGAGACTTCTGTGTTCCTGCATTCCCTTCCAATTTCCTTGCTCCCTCGGCAAGTTGCGACAAGGTGCGGTGGGCAGGGTTCATGCGTTGAAACGTGCAGACGTGCAGACTCGCATTGTTTGGAATCTTGTAACCTTACGGTTTGTTTCCTTGTGGGCCAAAACACGGCCCAACTTGGGACGAAGATCATCGTATACTGCGAAATTTATGACGAGTGCCGTCCGGAATGTCGCACCTGTCCTGGCAAGGCATTGAGTTACTCGGGGACAACTTACTTCCCGTGCGGCAAGGGAAGCCCTCTGATGCCCGACTGAAGTTATGGCCAGAGGACGGGTGCAGCCGTAGGGCCATGGCTCTTACCTTTTGGCTCGTGACCCTTTCATCCCAAGCGACCTCTTCCTTTTGGTCTTATACATCTTGTGCTATAGCCTGCGTGTGGTTCCCCTCTTTCTTTTCTTTATAGCTGGGCTATCCGGTTTTCTCTCATCTACTGATCACGTTCGGACCTCTGCGAGACGCGCGAACGACCTGTGCCTGGCAATATCTCCAGCCTCCTTTGAGTCCCGTGAAGCATAGACGGTTCAGACAGAATGGCTCTCAAGGCTCTCGTCGCCCTTGCGGCTGTCTTACCCGTCATCGACGCCCGCCTCATGTCCAGGGCGGCGAACCTCGCCCAAGGCGTTCGGATGATGAACATGGCTGCTGACGGCCAGCAGATCAGCCTTCAGATCGGCATCAAGATGCAAAACATTGAAAAGCTGGAACCGATGCTTCGGGACGTCTCGGACCCGGACAGCCCCAACTATGGAAAGTACCTGACGGCGGCCCAAGTCAACGACATGTTCAAGCCGGCCCAAGCCTCAGTCGCCGCCATCCAGACCTGGCTGGCCAAGGAGAACGTCAGCGACGTCTCATACACGGACGGCGGTCGCTTCGTCAACTTCGCGACCGATGTCTCCACAGCCAACAGAATGCTCGGCGCGAGCTTCGCCTACTACGACGTCCAGGGCACTATGAAGCTGCGCACGAAGGAGTATTCAGTCCCGGACGCCATGGCTGAGCACATCGAGCTCGTCACGCCAACGACCTACTTTGGAAGCACAAAGGCGGACCCGGCCTTCACCAACGCCGAGCTGCCGCCAATGCCCGCACCGCTCGCCCGCAGACAGGCCCCGGGCCCGGCTCCACAACCAATTGCTCCAAGGTCTTCACGCCGGCGTGCTTCGAGCTGGCCTACAACTACGGCGCCTACCAGGCTGATCCTGCGGCGGGCAGCCGCGTTGGCTTCGCCAGCTTCCTCAACGAGTCTGCTCGCCAGGATGATCTTACGACCTTCCTGAACAGGTTCCAACTGCCGGCCCAGAAGTTCACTAGCATCCTCGTCAACGGCGGACAGGACCACCAAGATCCCGCCGGCTCCATCGGCGAGGCGAACCTCGACGCCCAGATCATAGCCGCCACGGTCAAGACACTCCCGATTACGCAGTACATCACTGGCGGCAACGGGCCCCTGACTCCCAACCTGCGGACCCCGACTCAGGCGGAGAACCAGAACGAGCCGTTCCTCGACTTCTACCAGTTTATGATGACGCAGGAGAATGCCCAGATCCCGCAGGTTCTCTCCGTGTCGTACGGTGACGACGAGCAAACCGTGCCCATCGAGTATGCCACGCGTGTATGCAACCTCATCGGCATGATGGGCCTGCGCGGCGTCACCGTACTCGAGTCCAGTGGTGACACGGGTGTCGGCGCGCCGTGCCGCGCCAACGATGGCAGCAACGCTCCCCAATTTACGCCGCAGTTCCCCGCCACATGCCCGTACATTACCGCCGTGGGCGGCACACAAGCGTTCGGCCCCGAGACCACCTGGGTCGCTTCCGGCAGTGGTTTCAGCAACTACTTCAAGCAGGCGTGGTACCAGGAAGGCGCCGTGAGCCAGTACCTGGAGACCGGCATCACGTCTGAGACGAAGGCTTATTACAAGCCGTTTACCAACTTTAGTGGCCGAGGGTTTCCTGATATCTCGGCACACTCTGCCAGCCCTCCGTTCGCCATCGTCAACGCCAACAAGCTCGTTGGTAGTGGAGGCACCTCGGCTTCCTCCCCATTGGTTGCGGGATTGGTTGGCCTTCTCAACGATGCCAGAATTCGCGTGGGCCAGCCGACCATGGGTTTCATGAACCCGTGGCTTTACAAGAGAGGCTTCAAGGGACTGACGGATGTCAACACTGGCATCGCTCAAGGATGTGGCGGTGTTGATTTGCAGTCGGGTAAGCCCTTGCAAGGTGCTGGGGTTATTCCCTTCGCATCATGGAACGGCACTCAAGGATGGGACCCTGTGACAGGGCTGGGTCTTCCCAACTTTGAGCAGATGAAGGCAATTGCTGTGATGAAATAGAGAAATGGTTTCATTTTTTATCACAAACATTGTGTAGTTGGGATTCTAGCTCAGAGGCTGGCTGGCCCTTTCGTAAATATACCGAGGAATGAATATCAATGCTGCTATTTTCCATACCACAACAACCGAGTCTATTTAGAAGAAGGCTTGCTGGTGAGGCAGACGGTGGAAATCCACGTTCCCGGAATGCTCCCAAACGTAATAATTCCCTTTGGGTCGTGTTGTGCTACTGTCTCAAGTGTTCTTTTTTTGGGGTTGACTAAACTTAAAATCCGAGGCTGATCTCTCCTTTAGACATTGACCACAACGCTTGTTATGTCATGTTAAGGAAGCTGAGCATTGTGTCTAGTATAGTGCAGACTCAAGGAGTCTTCCATGGACCAGAACATTGCCACTCGGCAGATGTTCAATGAAGAAGACCCGGGTTGACCGGAATTGCGAGAGTAGTCAAGTCAATGGCAACTGTCAGAGTAGCCATTTCGCACGCCGACTATAAGGACATATCGTGGCAATGAAGACGGAACCGGGGTAGTGAGACAGAGGATAGACAAAAAGTGAGACGGGAGTTCTTCACCAACCAGCCCGAGATGGCCTTGGCAAAGACTAGTTTGAGGTTCCCGCGACGGGGTTCCATAGCCATGGTAAGGCTTTCCGCCTATTCTCGTCGCGTGGCTCGTTTGACAGATGCATTTGCACCTTTTAATTCAAGGGTCGCCATCGAATTTCAATAGCGTATATCCTCAGCGCGTGGCAAAGGTCCGAGCCCGCGCCAGTCTCGTGGATGGCTGACAGCTGAAGCCTTGGCACCAAAAGAGGCTTTTTTCAGGGGTAGTCTTTAATCCTCCTGAAGCTCCTCGAGCAGTGCAGGATTCTCGAGTCTGGCCGTCTTTCAGCTGGCGAGACCAGCGATGGTAGTCATGTGTAAGCGAGCTTACGCTTCCACCGCAGAAGAGCACGCTCACCTGCGTGGTCGAATGCACCTGTAGGGTCGAGATAGCGGATTTGGCAAAACCCCATTGTAAGATATCGACGGCCATGGCGCAAAGTTCTTCTCGTTATCTTCCTCGCACCATTTACTAGATTGGGAGGTCGACAAAGACCAAAGCCAAATATAGATTGTTGCACGACGTGAATACGGGCCACTGCAGGACGGAGCTTGCATGGGCCAGCGTGTTCGTGGTTGTCGACACAATTATGTGTCGGTGACGATCTAGAACGAATGACTGCAGGAGTAGGGTGCCTTACCTACTGACTGCAGCTTGACGGCAGCTCGTCTAGGCTCCAGGCCCTTAGCGCCATCGCGCTGGCTTTGCCTGCATGGATCGTGAGGATGTTCGACCTCGGTCGCATGAACTATCGCTCTCCACGTTAAGGTTGTGCGGGATTTCTTCTGAGATGCAGAGATTCAATGGTCCTGGGGCGACGATGCCTGCGGGTTTCTTCTCAAAGGAGGAAACCATTCGGGAGCCTTAGCCCTAATGAGAGAGGACCACTCTCTCAGGATTGAGAGAGTCCGTTGCCATCATTTCAAACTTTCTTCTGGTGGTTTGGATGTTGGCCCCAGCGCTGCTAAATGCCGCGTGTCCCGGTCTCGACCTTTCAGATACGAACCAACGCAGACCGGCTAGGCACGATGCTTGCTCCTCGAGAGTTGCGGGCTGAAGTCCTTGCAATCTTCTTCTGTGCCGGTGCTTCGTTGAGCAGCGAACCAGCTCGACACGAGGCCTTGTCCACGATGTGGGCGATAGTGGGCGGTAAGAAAACAGGATTGGTTGAATCTGGACAGGCTACAGGGTGTGCCGGGAAAATTGTATGCGGGAAGGCAATAGTGGGAAACAAGATCTGCGCAGGCACAGGGGCCAACGAACAGGTTAAGTCTGCTGAAGCTGAAGTTGATTGACAGCACCGCTGGCATCTTGGCGGCTTTGCAAGTTGCCATTTGATAACATAACGCAGATGGCAGCGTCAGTTCCGATTGGATGCCGGGAGAGCTGAACTGCAAGATCCGTCAGTTATTGACTAGACTTAGTCGAAGACGGAGAGGCCACTGAGTAATAGCAACGCACATGGCCGAAGGTCGATCAAAGTTGGCAGTGTGCTTTGCTGACTCAGAAGCTTAGCCTGTCATTGTTAAATGAGGGAAGACAGGCGCGCGCGGCAAACCTGGTCCAGCCAGGATGGAGTGCCGAAGGCTTGGCGAGTTTGGACTAGGCAGCGGACACTTGCAGCTCCTTTCGTCGTCATCATCATCATCGTCACCAACAACAAAAACAATATTGAGCTTTCTTCTCAAGATGGTTCTTATGAAGACCATCCACACGCGTCGTTCGGCCAGTGCCGCTTGCTAGCGTATCAGACGCCTGCTATGGCGCAACGACTGTAGCCCAGTCCGAAGGATCGTAAAAGAGGCGATGGTACGTAGCTGGGGTTCGAAGCAGCTCGGGGGCAAACAAAGGGCCGAGAAAGCGCCACTATCGGGCAAAGAGTTGGACATGACGGGAACTTCGGTCCAGTCTTCTCTGTGTGGCATACCAGGAGGGTGGAAAACGAGCTTCTAGCGTATCAGATTCAACCAAGATTGCTGGAAAGCAGGATAGTCGCATGCAGTGGCATGGTGTCCACTGCGTAGCATACAGTAGCAACGAGAGCTATGCGGGCGGGCGATTTGGTTGTCGAGACCGAAGATAGGATGGGCCTGGCCTTGATGGAATGTGACTGATGCGATTGTACCAGCAGGGTAATAGACGCATATCCGGTGGTTCGAACCGATAAGAACGCGTCCGAGTGGGGCCAATCCTGATAGACGAATACGCGCTGGGTTGCATAATGGACATGTTCGACAATGCACGGTATAGGCAGGCGGGAGCGACTCAGAAAGTATGCGGCAGGAGCATCAAAGACATGGCCTAACCGTAACCGGGATCGCTATGTGGGATCTGCCGTCGTTTGTGACTGCCTGCTGCAAAGTTACCCTCTGCGTCGCACTTTTGCGTGCTTCGAGGCTCGACCTGCCCCGTCACCCACTCTCTTCCGCCTTTCTTTTCCTCTTCCTAGTGGCCCTCCCCTCCCCCAGCCACTACTGACTGCATGGTCAGCATCAACTCGTCCAGGAGGTATGCCCAACACGGCCACCAACCCACAAGCAATCACACGATGTTTGTTCGCCAAAACAGAGCGCTGCATGGTCCCTGGCGCGCTCGAGGTAGCCCAGAGGCAATGTCAGAGATTCAGCAAGCCACGTTACCGCCAACTCATCTTATCTCTTCCGCCCTCCACTTCGGATGATGGCAGCCTTACCGCCTTGCGCCCAAACTCTCCTCAGTCGACATCTCTTGCGCATGTCCTTCGGACCCGACGAATCATGAGACCGCCACCATCATGCCGCTGTCTGAAGCTGACATGGTGATATTGTTCCAGACTTCACAGATATGCACCCGCCGGAGAACGACCTGCTTTGGGAACATGAAGGTGATAGACCGTTGGCCCTCAGCCTCAACGTTTGCTCCCCCACGCTCGCCCTTCACTGCGGTCAATGCCAGAGCGACGAGCTTCTTAGCACACCGGCTTCAGATCCAGAGCAACGTGGTTGAGATCCTTGGCAGGCGAGTGCCTTGTTTTGAAGCCAAAACACCATCAACGTCGAAGGTCTTTGTTATACGAGCCTACCCCCACCGAGAATCAAAGAAACCCGGGGGCCTAGGGATTCCTCGGACCGAAAACCGATGGATCCCAGGAACTGTGAAATATACCTGTAGACCCCAGAGTGCTCGCTCACATCAGCCAAGTGATGAACGGGTCAAACCTACCAAGACCTTGGAAGACCCTGCCAGGTCTTGCCGTCACCAAGGATTTGGGTTGAAAGCGGCTAGGCGCCTGAGAGCAATCATCCTGCAGCTTACGGTAAGCCAATTTTAGCGTTTGTTACCAAAACTGGCCGGCTCAAGCCACGCAATCGAGCGGAAGTTTTTCAGTGGCCCAAGACCTTGCGAAGGCTTGATTCGCGGCAAGCCCATACTCGGAATGGAAACGATGCGACAAAAGTCTATTCCTCTCTCGGCTGTTGATATCTACTAGTGGCTCTTGCGCTTCGTTGCTTTGAAAACACATCCTGGAGCCGCAGCAGTGTGGCTGACCTAGACCGCACTAAGTCAGGAGTGCACTCGCGGTTCCTGAGCTAGACTGTCCAGAATTTCCTGTTCCCCCTCCTGTCTTCATGCTGAGCTGACTGACCCGTTACCGGTCCTCAGAGACAGACAGACGTTGGATCTGTCCCAACCGTCTTGTGCCCAGGCACTCTCGGCTGGACGGGCATACAGTGGAGTCCATGTTTGTCCCGTTTCAATGTCTCAGTCTTTAATGAGTAGTCCTCCACTGTACTCTCACGACGTCCCGTCAACCCAGGCCAGTCGCTTAACTCGAGCAGGCATCATGATGATGGCAACACTCTATGCCGGAGTTCGACCACCAGGGGAACGCCGAAGGACGAGTATGCCTCTGGCTTTGCAGGGATGTTAACGTTCCTTCCCAGTCTAACGGCTTGGCCATGCAACGCTTGGGGAGGCATCGTTCGCGCGATAAGGCCTCGACTCTCCTTTGTCGCCCTCGACCAACGCTACCACCTCACGATGGGTGAAAGCTTCCTCCTTCTTTGTACCTGCCCACCCACTTCCTACCCAACGCACGGGTGGCGCCAACTTCCCAAGTATGGAGCCAGGAACAATGCCGCTTGTCACCAGTCCCAGCTAAGCTACTGGTCCGTCTTGAGCGGACGACTTAGGCCGGTGGAACCCATGTTTGTGTGATGGCCTCGAGTGATGGTGAGGCTAGCCCGTTGCTTGTCCCCGGTACGATCCTTGACCATGGTGTTTCGTTGCCGCGGCGGGAGCGCCCATGGCAGCCCATATCGTTTTGGCGTGGCCAATTAGGCCAGGCAATATTGCTCTCAGCTCTCCGGTGCCCCCGTATATGCGGCTTGACTTGGTCTTTGTCCCAAAGTCGATGACCCCTCCGCGCTTGCGAAGTCTCTCTAGCCTGAACCCGTAACACATAACTTGAGCCGATTCCCGTCCCCTGGGTGACTGAATCCCTTCACCAGTATCACATTCGCTTGCGGCACTCACAAACGTTCTTTCTTCACCTCAAGGCTGGAAGTGGTTTGATCGGCTTGTAGTTCGTTCGTTCCATAGTTCCCACAAGATGAAGGCTTTCAAGTCCTATTTCACGCCCGACCAGGCGCCGGGTAAGGCTGCCACCGAAGCTCCGAAGCCTGACACACTCCAACCGGCGACTCCTTCGCCAAAACTGCAGTCTTCCGAGAAGCCAGCGCCCTACCGAAACTACAGCAACAGAACGTCCGCCCGGCATTCGACAGTGAGCTTGGCGCTCACGGCGGGAATGAGGGACAAGCATGCTAGCAGTATCCACGATCTCAGGGCGGATGTCACGGTACACAGCTTGTATCAGGACCAGCTCAGGAAGATGTACGCTTCAGCTTGGAATCTTGGGGAGGGCTGCGTTCTCAAGAAGGGGCGCAATGACTACGTCTGCGCCCCTCCTCAACTGTCAACCATCCCGAATGGGTTCTTCGATATGGTCAGCCAGCTCAACGTGAGCGTAAGTGAAGCCAGACACCACAAGACCATGACCGGTACTGACAAGATTAGTGCGCCATGACTGTCAATACACCCGTGATTCAATCCATCATTCATGGACTCATGAACAGTGGAGAGCCCATGAACTCGATCCCTCTCTCAGGAGGCCTGCAGCTGCAGGTCCTCCCGAGGATGACGGACCTGCCCCGGTGCCAAAAGCATCATTTCGCAGCCTTCATTCTTGACCCTCCTCTTCTGGCTGTCTGGGACGATGACGCGAACAAACTCCACGACCGTGCAGAGAGCTTGGAACAGATGATCATCGCTCACATTTGGCGAAGTGACCCCATTGATGAGGAGGAAGGTGATGAGAAGAATGAGAAGCAGCCCGGAGTCAACGTTGAGGAGCTCTCGCCTGCGGCGCTTGAAGAGGCTCTCAAGACCGAAGCCCGGCCAACGCGGGTGATAAGTTCCGCTCTCGTGGCATTGGCCCTCGGCCTCAGCTTCACGTGCTTGGGTCTCGGCTGGCGAAGTCTGGCTTTGGAACTTGCTGTCGATGGCGACTACACGCGGTTGGCGTTGTTGGCAGTGGCGCCGGTTACCCTCTTCATCAGCTTGGTGAGTTGATTGATACCTCAACCCTGCATGAACGTTGACTGACACACCCTTTAGTTCTTCTTCATTTCCATTTCTGGAATCATCTTCCAGATTTTTGGTCCCATCTCCTCTATCCACGCCAACTCCTCAAACTATTCTGGAAAGCCTCCTCGCCGGCTCAGCCCTCACCGAGAACAGCTTCCTCATGTGACCATCCAGATGCCAGTATACAAGGAAGGCCTGAGCGCCGTCATCAAGCCCACAGTTCTTTCGCTGAAGGCCGCCATCTCGACTTACGAGATGCAGGGCGGTTCCGCCAACATCTTGGTCAACGACGATGGTATGCAGCTCCTCGACGAGGAAGAGGCCGCGGCCCGTAGGGAGTTCTACGACGAGCATAACATCGGATGGGTTTCCCGCCCTGGCCACAATCCGAAGCCTGAGGATCCCGCCGAGAAGCCCTTCCTTCGCAGGGGCAGATTTAAGAAGGCCTCCAACATGAACTACGCCCTAATGACAAGCAACAAGCTCGAAGAGAAGCTCAAGCAGATCAACCGTGGCAGCAGCTGGAACCAGGAAAGCGAAGACAAGGTCTACGAACAGGCCTTGGCACAAGTCATTGACGAATCCGAGGGCCGAACCTGGGCCGGTGGCAACGTTCGCATTGGCGACTACATTCTTCTTATCGACTCCGATACCCGTGTTCCTCGTGACTGCCTGCTGGATGCTGTTAGCGAAATGGAGGCCTCTCCAGAGGTGGCCATCCTTCAGTACACTTCCGGTGTCATGAACGTCTCGGACTCGTTCTTCGAGAAGGCGTAAGATTTTCCAACCCCTAGTCGAGGTTTCTGATGCTAACATGTTTAACAGCGTCACCTGGTTCACAGAAATGATTTACACCATGATCACTTTTAACGTCGCCAATGGTGATATCTCCCCCTTCGTCGGCCACAACGCCGTGCTCCGCTGGTCCGCCATTCAGGATGCTGCTTCCTACATGGATCACGAGGACGGCTACGAGAAGTTCTGGTCCGAGTCCCATGTTTCCGAGGATTTCGACATGGCTTTGCGTCTCCAGACAGCTGGTTACACCATCCGATACGGCGCCTATACCGGCGACGGCTTCCAGGAGGGAGTGTCCCTGACTGTTTATGACGAGCTAGCCCGCTGGGAGAAGTACGCCTACGGCTGTAACGAGCTGCTCTTCCATCCCTTCCGTTTCTGGCCTACCCGTGGTCCCTTTACGCCTCTCTTCCGCAATTTCTTGACCTCCAATATTGCCTTCTTCAGGAAGTTGACGATCCTGTCCTACATTGGCACGTACTACGCCATCGGGGCCTCGTGGCTGCTGACCCTGGCCAACTACTTCATCACTGGTTGGTTCAACGGCGTGTACGACAAGTACTATCTCGATTCATTCGCCACTTACTTTTCCATCATCATTGTGTTCCCGCTCTGCGGTAACGTTGCCCTCGCTGTCCTTCGGTACAGACTGGGTCACCAGTCCCTCATCGGAGCCCGTAAGTCTCACCTTATCATTCTGCTTCTCCAATAAGGGCGCTCGCTAATTGTAATTTTATCCAGTGTGGAACAACTTCAAGTGGATGCCGATTTTCTCCATCTTCCTTGGCGGCATCTCGCTGCACGTCTCCAAGGCCCTGCTCTGCCACTTCTTCGAGATCAATATCCAGTGGGGCGCCACGTCCAAGGAGGTTGAGCGCTGCAACTTCATTGAGGAGATCCCCAAGATCATCAAGAACTTCGCGGGCACCTTCGTCTACACCTTCGCCGTGACGGCCCTCATTGTCTGCGGGTACTACGTCTTCCCTCCCCAGTGGCAGATCCACACCTTCGCAACCATCTTCCCCCTGTGCGTCTCCATTGTGTCGCACTTTGCGCTGCCCGTGCTCCTGAACCCGGCCTTGATGAAGTTCACCTTCTAAGTCCAGCGACCTCTTCTTCCTATTTCATGACTTTTTCTCCTCTTTAATGAACATAAATTTTTCGGTATGATAAAACTGGGATCTATAGATGGAGTTCTATTTTGGCAGAGAGGTGTTTGAGGGACACATAGACTTTGGGCACGCTATTGGGTACACAGCTGCGGCGCTATATGCTCTCTTGCTCGCTTTGGTATTGGTGGGAATCATCGTCACTCATACGATATGATTTAATGTCTCTTGTTTATTTCTATACGTACCAGATATTCAGTTGCATATCTGATGAAATGAACCATTCAAAGCAAATGTTTGCGCAACACTTTTCACTGCCGACCAGAATGACATGCTTCCCCCGCTCTTTCCTATGGTCTGACACACGGCAAAAGATACTCCACCCAACCTTGACTACTCACATGGTAGTACTTATTACAAACTGGTATCGTGTTGACATGAATCAACAGGAGGATTCGAGGACTTTATAGACCTGAAGGTTCTCTATCAAGTAACTTGCTACTGTTCAAAACCTACTATCATCCCGTCTCATGAATCAAACACGGTTCAACAGTCATTCCCCTTAGGATTATGGACTATGAACTCGAAACTAGCAAAAAAGACGCTGCAAGCAGTGACCTTGCCGTCCGTGGATCCTGCGTATGGGCACGCGTATGGGCAAGAGCTCCATCGTGCTGTACTCGGTCAGGAAGCTGTTTTTTCTCGACTTCTCTGCCTCTTCCATATCTTGATCGCCAGTGGTGTTTTGAGGCGGGGGATGGAGGACTCAAGAAAAATGGAGCAAAGTGTTCATGTAGGTCGCAAGGCTCTGTGGGATGATTTTGGCGGGCCAGTCCGTTCGCGGGTGAATCTCAACGTGCGTTCTCAGCCAGTCTCTTGTAAGCAAAGTGATTCATGCGCCGCATGTACTTGTCTTCCTTGGACTCCGCGGAGAAGGGTAGTTGCATCGACAAAGAGACGTCCAACGATACCAATATGCATCTGTACCTGTCCGAAGGACCTGACGAAGGGATGGAAGGCATTCGAGTCAAAGTCCGTAGGACAACCAGTCCAGGGTCGGTCTGTGTTGTTTCCTCGGTGTATTTTTTTGCGGTCTGTGGACCCATGGAAAATGTCGAAGTGAAGAGCCCAGGGGCATTACCATGCGCCCCGTGACTTGAAGCACGGGTCTTACGGTCCTGTCCAGATGCCATCATTTGGAAGCTTTGAACAGGGCAAGTCTGCTCAGTTAGATCAAATTGTCTCGGCCTCACATCCTGGCTCATGAAAAGGTACACCCCCAGTGTGCGGGCATTGCTGCTAAGCGCAATGTTGCGGCGAAGTTTCGATCCTGCCATCAGAACAAGCGCAAAGGTGAAGCCTGGGCAAAAAGATCACGGTTAACAGATACATTGGTTAGGAGCATTTCCAAAAATTGACGTTACACTATTTCTTCTCATTTGATATGAATCTGTACTCTTTGTGTAGGAGTCGTGTCCCTGATGCCCGCTTTCCCTTTACCCAGGTTGCGCCTGAAAACTCCGTTACCCCCAGTAAACGCTGACATAAAGCAATAATAACAATCTGAGGTATGGCGACCCTGACAATGGTATTTTAACCAGACTAGCACCAAGCCTTGGGGGCGAACTGGCACACAAATGTGTAGAGTACAGCCCCAGGTTTCTGCCACAGAATCACGTAATGTAGACCTTCTTGAGCTTGTCCATGGAGTAGACCTCGCCGGTGCGCAAATCCTTGACCTGGTCAGGCGGCAAGCCCGACTTCTTGGCGTACTCTTCGAGACGCTCCTTGCCATAAGCCCGGCTATTCGGCAATAGCAGCAGGTCGTGCTCAACGTAGCTCTTGGTGTGATGTGCATAAGGGACGTTACGCGCGAGATCGTTTAGTTCCGTCGAGCAGATTGGGCAGACGGACTGAGTGCCGGCAGTGGCTGACGCATTGGTAGCAGTGTTGGCATCCGCAGCGACGTGTGATGAGTTCAATGAGTGGCAAGCAGGGGTCTTGAGGGCTGAAAGGCCTGATGAGAGAGCGATGTGCAGGAGAGGGTAGGAGGGGAGAGCGAGGAGGTTGTTATGGGTACGAGTGAAGAGGTCAGCGAGGGCATTCCAGCGGTCTGGGCTGTAGAGGTCCGAGTAAACGGCGTTGGCTGCTGTAGGAGGATAGGCAAGGAGACCAAAGGCCTTACGAAGCTCATCCGGATACGTTGCCTTAAACGGGACAAGGTATTTCTTCGCGTGGGCGATGGCTTCGAGGAGTTTTGGTTGGGATTGGGTGCGGACAAGCTCGATGTACTGCTGAAAGCGGAGCATGAACTCGAGGTTGCACTATCAAAGTGTGGTCAGTTTCGACTCAAGGACAGGGTGGGTGGAGTAACGTACATCCATCTTGCGAAGTTCCTTCTTGTTGTCCTGACACCAAGCCAGCGCCTCGACAACGCTCCCACCTCTGAGTGATTCCTGAATACGACTCATTTGCACAAAGGTCTCAACGTCAACCAGGTCATCCATGTTACGCTCGGCGGTAAGTGCTTGGGCACTTTCGTTGTAGCCGTGGCGAAGCAGGTAGTCGACAAGCAAACGGTCAAGACGGGCGCGGCTCCAAGCCTCGTACTTGACGTCGTCAACCGAGTGCATGTTGTAGAGGTCGCCGAGGTGCGAGATGCGAGCGCCGGCCTGGCGGGTGAGGCGGGCCTCCTCCTCAGCGTGGGCGGTGAGCTTGCGCTTGACGCCGCGCATGCGGGCGATCATGGTATCAAGATTGCGGAGGACATCGTCGGGAGATGCGCGGCCGTTGACCGAGGCTGTGGCGGTCTCCTTGAGAAGGGTTTTGATGGCAGTCGAGTCCTTTTCGACGGTGAAGTGGGCGGATCGGAAGTTTTTGCGAAGGAGCTCGTACGGGAGGCGGAGGAGGGGTTGGTCCTAACGGTTGGAATGGAGGTTAGTGCTGGATTGAGAGCTAGCTTGTGACAGCGACGTACGAGGAGGAGATGGTCCTGATGCTTTATCGTGGAGTGCTCGTGATCGCCCATATTGGCAACTGTCAGGACGTTTCAATGGGTTGGCAGTACTGCTTGGCCGTCTACAATGGCGTGTGTGTCTTCGAAGGAGGGATTTGCAAAGGTTGGCCGCGTCGGTGTGGCTTGAGTGGATGTTGGAAACTCGCGGACAAGAGGTTGAAGCACAGATGCACAGATACGGCCGCTAACAGCAGTTGACGTTATGCGGCCCGATGTGGCGGGGCCGGGGTCGCTCCGTCGTGGAAATGCGTACGGAGAGTCTGCTTGCGTTAATAAGTATTGGAGCCTTGCATGTAGTCCACAGCGGCATAATTTCACCCAAACTAGCTTGTAGTACTAGTTTTGCGTTTTGCTGAGAAAGCCCATTGAGCTTGAGAGAGTCTCGATGCTGGCTATCAACTGCTCCCAGCACGTCCTTTGGTCCCCCACAATGACGAATCCGACGTCGACACACAACTGAACTGTTCTGGTGAACGGACCACATTTGTGGCTAAACTGGTGCGCTTATGTAACACGCCGGCCACACTGGGAACTCTGTCCACAAGCCACCTCGGTACAATACCCCACGCCCTCCGCGCTCACCTCGACTGAATGTCACTCGCTCATTGTGAGAAGTAAGCAGGTGCGATGTGAGAGTCTGGGTAAGAGGTGGGACAAGAACCAAGCAAGCCATGAGTAGCAACGGTCGAGACTACCGCGGAGCCGGCGTATTTGCTGTACTCGTCTTCAAAGTGGAATGTCTCACAGCCCATCAGTCAAGTGATTCATGCTGGCAGCCCAGGAGGGCATCAGGTGATTGGTGAGGCTCGGTATTCCCAGTCACAAAGTTGGCGGGTGGGTGCAATGAACTGCTCGAGTCGCTGAGGCTAAGGCAATGGAGTAAGCCCACCTACTCAAACTGGTGGAAAGCTACCCCCTGCTGCAGCTTGGGAATGTTGTCCATCGCTAACATGAGAGAGGAGCAAACCTGCATGTCAATCGATAAGTAGCAACAAGCAGCACTCGCATTCCCAGCCTGCGACGCTGCTGCAGCAGGTGCCCCTCTGCAGAACGGGGATTGGGTCGGGGCATTCGGGGAAGGAAGCACCCACAGCAGCCAGACGCCTGGGGGTGTGGCTTCCTAGCCCCTGATTGGCTTCAAGCGGTTTCTGCCTCAGGCCGGCTTCGTCCCTCACCCTCAAGCGTATTTATCTCCAGCCTCACCCACTTTGCACGTGTTCACCCTCTTCCTTTGCCGCGTGACCAAAGCTTCCCGCCGCCGTTCCCCCAAACCAACGAGCCAACTCAACCGGACCCCTTCCAGCCCGTTTCTCCTCAGGAAATAATAAGAATAAACGCAAGCCTTCGCCCAGGCTACGGCAATCCTCAAGACTCGCGATTTGTGAAAAAATCCGACGCGTTTTCCCCAGATTCTTTCCGTCACTCAACCTTCGACTGCTTATAACTGGACGGGCTCCATCCGACGAGGTCCCCCCCCAGCTACCCGCTGCCGCGCGATATCACGAGTTTGATCACGCCGAACACGTGAACTCCAGCAAAACCCGTGATCTGGCACTCACCGCCCAGACCACGCCGCAAAGCACATGATCTAAAGGTATGCGACCTGTCCCATTTTTCTGGCGATCTTCCCATCGGCCCTATCGTCTTTCATTACAATCGCACTGCACAGCGACGGAAAGCAGGGTTTTTCAGTAGTGTTGATTTTCCTCATTGCGCCATTTTCTGGAATGCTGCCTTCATCAAGCATCCATCGCGACGTTGCCTATCAGCCCCAATCAAGCGATTCAAGATGGACTTCTTTCATCTTGCGAGGGAAACACATTTATCTTTGCTCAAACAGACATAAATTTGGGTCATCCATACAGTCAAAAACACCCTTATTCGGAGCAGTGCGCGGCCTCTTTGGATGGCCTTGGATCTCACGATAATCTCTGGACTTGCTTGCTCAACAGCAATATGTCCCGCAGTTCATGTTCGGCAAGCATGCTGAGAACATACCCGAAATAGCTCATGCATCTCTAGAGCAAGCGCTCTCATGTTCCTGCCTCAAACAAGCGATCGCTCCTTCCTTGATTGTTCGTTAGCAGCCGCTTGAACCCGTTGTCTACCGCTCAGCTAGCAGTGCACTTCGTCCTCATCTTACTACCGCTTCGTCATTCTGCACACCCACTCTCTGGACTGATATATCATACCGTTCGATGCTAACCATCCTCGTAGTCCCACGAATCATCCTCGTGGCTCCGACTTGTGCTAACGTCGAAGCATCATAAACTGTCAAAAGCATAGTCCGGCACTCACATCTAATCCCCCAAAACTCCCATCCCATCAGAAACCCCATTCCACCGCAACAATGACAGACGTCATGGCCGATCACCCAGACCTCTCTGAGCTAGCAGGGTCGCCCTCTCCAGGTCAAAAGCGGAAGCGCGATGACATGTCAGAGTCAAACAGCCCTGGTCGGGCCAAGCGAGCCAGCGCTGGGCTCTCGGATGCCGACACTGCAGCCTTCATTGAAAATGCTGTTGAGGCTGCTCATGCAGCCGCCGCCAATGGTGTCAACGTGGCTGACTTCAGTGCCCTCCAGCAAGCTGCTGCTGCTGAGCACTCGGAGGCCGCTGACCCAGCCAACGCCTCCAGCACTGCGGCCGCCGCCCTGGGGTCCATGTATCCCACTCTTCACGTTCCGCCCACCACCGAGGAGCAGTTCGCCGCCCAGGCAACTAATGACTCAAACCATGGCCAAGATCACACCTTCGGTCACGCCGATCTGAGCCCGCCGGACGGACTCCCTGCCCTTCCTGCTGTACCTCAGCCCACGAACGGTGTTCAGGCTGTTCAACCACAGCAGACCCATCAAACTCATCAACAACATCAGCAACATCAGCAGCATCAGCCTCCTCAACCTCAACACCGATACTCATCTGGATCAGCCGGCACTCCCGCTAAGAAACCGGACGTTGGTTCCGAGGAATGGCACAAGATGCGCAAGGACAACCACAAAGAGGGTAAGCAACTGAAGGCACTATACTCATGGATGTTCAAGCTGACTCGAACAGTGGAGCGTCGTCGTCGGGAGACCATCAATGAAGGCATCAATGAGCTGGCTAAGATTGTTCCTAACTGCGAGAAGAACAAAGGATCAATCCTCCAGCGCGCCGTTACGTTCATTAACCAACTCAAGGAGAATGAGACGCAGAACATTGAGAAGTGGACTCTTGAGAAGCTGCTTACGGAGCAGGCTATAGCAGAGCTCAGTGCTTCCAACGATAAGCTCAAGCAAGAGTGCGAACGTCTTTACAAGGAGTTGGAGACTTGGAAGCGGGTTGCTCAGAATGCGGGTCTTTCGTACCCCCAGGCGAACAAGGAGGAACCTGCCGCTGCAACTTAGGAGGTCTCAGCTGAAGCCCAGGACCCTTCTTATGTGGCTGACATGGACCAAACTATGACCACACACGGTTTTCCGACTAACCACACGAACAGCCGCCATCAGGGTTTTCATCAGTATCGCCCTTCGGCTACGCACAATCTTCCAAGTCGATCTCAGACTACGGTCCTCAGCCCTGTAGCGTCGCGCCAGGTTACCTGCACCAACGTAGCGGCATCGACGCCTACAGCCTACGCAGACCAGGCTCAGGCTTTCGTTCAAGTCAACCCTTCACCTTTCTTCTTTTCATCTTATACCCCTAGTCAGCAATAAGCTGCTTTTTTGTTGTTTTTACTCGGATTCCAAAGCACGTTGCCCGTGGTCGCAGATACACTATAGTTTATAATCAACCATGCTCTCAGGCTCTCGTTTTTTTGCCAATGTGTGGATGAATTGGTCTCAGCGATGGAGGAGTTTCAGTGTTTCATGAAAAGAATCTATATTTGGTCAAGGTGGTGCCGATAGCAGCTCAGAAGTTCGAGCCTGGTAATCACAAACGATAACGACACATTAAATTGGTCACAATAGCCTTATAATGCCTGCTGGGAATGCCTGTCGTACTTGTTTCAGTCCGGTCTAACCAGGTCGATCGATAGAGAGGCGGGGAGGAGGTAAGGAGCCTTTGACTAGCGAGAGGAACGTTTGCCGACGTTGATCGTCCGTCTTAAGTTTGCGGCGCTATGCCAGAGTGCGTGCCGGCCGAATCTTACCCCAAAATATAAAATCTCAGAAGTCGGTCTGAGTACGTAAGCCGAGCTTGCCTTGCATCGCACCAGTCAGGCACTGGAACCATACTGTAGGGCTGTGCTGGTCCGCTTCTCAAACTATCAGGTCAAGGAAGATGACCCACTCACCTGGGATACAAAAAAAGACCCTGTAAGCTCGTGTCTCCCAATAGAACACTGGCTGTGTAGTGGTGACAGACACCGAGTATAGCGTGGGTTCAACGATATTTCACTCTTGATGATTGGGGGATATCGGCAGGGTATCGTGTTAGGGAATATTTAGCATTCTCTTTCACTCGACATCCAAGCTTATGGATAAGGCCACTGTGCGAGTGGTTCGTCTAAAAGGATCTGGCCGTTTTGTGAGCCTACAAAGGTGAGGAGTACTGACAGGGGCAACAATGCGGTTGACTGCCTAGCTATGAACTCTGCACTTACGTCTCAAGGGCAATCGGAGTTGAGCCCAACACCTGGTTGAGGATACACAGTCACTACCGGTTGAAACAGAACGACACGAGATGCCTAGCTGCATGGGAGTGTTCAAAAGTCAGCTATGTTTGGCGCTGTGGTCCTCCCCGGCGTAAAGGGACAGCATAATCTCAGGCAATCTCTTTGGTCGTCATGAGAGTCCGATACTAAGAGGGCAGAAGGTTGTTCTGGGAGCAACAATCAGGCGCCTCGAGGCAGTGAGAATGTTCCCTAGAGTGCGAGGTCAGAAAGGTCAAATTCATGTTGACATGTACCAGATCGCTTCCCGATCCCTCTGATCATCGACAACGCTTTATTCGTACGGGAAGATAGGGGACAGGATGAAGGGTGACCAGAACCCGCCGGTAGGTCCAGTGTTAATGACGACACGAGACAGAGCCTCCGACGTCTTGATGTAGGTGGCCGAAACCCAAGTCTTGTAACTGATATCCACGATCAGAGATGGTGGCACATTGAGACGGAGGCGGCTGTTTTCTTTTGTTTTGAGTCTGAAACAGTTTCATAGGGGAAATCTGACGTTTGGATGGATGAATTCGTGTTGGGCAGGGGTTTTCAGGAAGGTTATCGGTTTACCAGTAGTAGAGTCTGAAAGCTAGCAAAAGGTTGCAGCCAAATCTACTACCTAGCATGCCCGGTGCCTCATTATAGAAAGGGTAATTGAAGAAGATATCCCAAATGGCAGCGAGGGCGTTGGACCTTATTGAGCTGATATGACTGACAATTACGCTGGCTCCTGCCAAGTTTGCTCCTTCGCCATCCTTGCCTGAGTGTTCCCTGAGAACAAGAAGAAAAAAGGGCCAAGATAGCTCTATCACAGGTAAGCACACAAAGTTTTCGCAAACTACGTCAAGAGTCGGAACATACGGCAAGGTGGTTCCACCTACGCGTCGCCTTTTCGTCGACGATCTAATTGCCCAGGCCAGTGGCTCATACGTTTGCCGTTCCTACGTAACAACGCAGAACCCCCTTTTTCTTACACTATCAAGAAAACAGCCACCATGACATGCGGCCGTCTTGGTTTGATGTATATCCGAATGCGCTGCTGGTCTAGATGAAAGGAGGTGTCATCGCCGGCGCAAGCCTTCATCAGCACAACCATCTGCTCTCGGTAGATTGAATCATATTTCAGAACGGGCGAAAGCATAGAAAACGCCTCCTCAGCCGCAAAGGGCTGCAATCAGCGGATCTGCCTGAGAGTTGCTCCTGCATTCATCCCCTTTCGTACATATGCACGACACGATCAGACTCCCGTTTCCATTCTGCAACCCCATTCGCGCATCCGCGACGGGAGATTCCCCCGCTGGCTTCACACCGGCCACAAAATACGCGCCCGCAGAAGTTGTGACGCGAGTGAGAGGGCCAGTCGGCTCGGAACGCCGTGCATGACGCATGAGATAGATCAACGCTTCCCGGCTGTAAGGGGTTGGCGTCAGGAGAAGCCCCTTTCCCGCCTGGATCTTCCGGCTTCTGTATCCGTATGGGACGATGCAGAGGTCTTGCGTCGATGTGATTCAGTGTGCTCGATGTCTGATGCGGCAACGGAGGCAAATAGTGCGCCCCCCCCCCCCCCCCCCTTTTTTTTTTTTTCCTTTTCTTTTCTTTGGTCTTTCAAAGAGGAAGTCCGGCATGGCTGGCGATTGCACTCCATGTTTGCGTACGACGGCTGACGTTCGCCACAAGGAAAGAGTTATCCCGGGTTGTGTACAGAACTGTCCTATGGCCTGTCAGCCTAGTTGAGAGCTCGTGGTAGTCTATCGTTTGATTTCGGGGGGAGCGGGAATCTGGGCCACGAGGAGCATGTTCAAACGACCATCTCTCGGTGACTCCAAGACCCACATGTCCAGGGGTTTATTCAACCTCGAGGACTGCTTCATTTTCCAAAAAAGTTTTTCGTTCTCTTTAGACCGGATCTCCCCGTCAAGCTTTCGGTATGACTGCAGAGCCTTTGGAACGGACCCTAACCGCAATACCCAACACAACACCAGAAACTCTCACAGGAGCAATGCTTCTTTTCCAAGAGGGGAGACCAGACTGAAGGGAGTTGATTGGCAGCCATTTACAGCACAAACTTTACTTTCCACTGTCGTCTATATATGAATCCTAACAACGGCAAGGGGCGCGCGAGCGTAAGTCACTTGCGTGATAGTGGGTGACCGTGAGCGAGTACCTGTACATGCCTTCCGGCGACAACCCCTGCTCATCATCCAAACGCCGTCTCGTCCCGCTGTCATCTCTCGCTTGGCTCTCCGGAATGCAGTCAGAATACATGCGAGTGTATATGTGTGGGTGGGGAGAGGAAAACAAAGAGAGGGGGAGGGGTGGGCAAACATCCAAAGGCAAAAAAGGTGGAAAGGGAAAGGGAGGGAGGTGGTGGGAAACATTCTGCAGCGGGAGCCAAATCGACGGGCCGTGCCAGTAGCTCCCCTCCCCCCTCTCTGCCCTTCCATCCTCGCCGGATCCCGAAATCAAGCGGCCGGAAGAAGAAGGAAAAAGAAAGCATACAGCACATCATCTGTCAGGAATCAGGAAATCTGCTGCTAGGGGTGGTCAGACGTCGAAACAATGACGGGCACGAAATGGAGGGGCGTGTGGTGGTCATGGTTTAAAAAAAAAAATAAGGTTGATTAAGGGTCATTACGAAAAGGATGGGATAGGGGGGGAGAGAAATCCGACAAACCTTGGATTAAGGTGTGAGGTGTGGTACGCCGCGACCGGTGACTGGCCGCCCGGTGGATCCACTTCTTGACCGGTGTGCGGGGCTCCGGTGACCGGGGTACCACTTTTCCCATCCCCGGCGAGAACACACACAGTCCAAGACTTGACCGGGCCTTGGAAACTTTCGTACCATGCTGCCACACTCCCCCTCCTACACGCCAAAAGAACTCATATTCGACGAGTCAATTATTGTTTCCCCCTCCGAGAAAGCGGATCCAGCGTACCGGGATCGTTGCCCAAAGCTTCGACGTTTCCTCTTGTTGCATCGGTTCCTGCTCCTTCGTTACCTGTCAGATTTGCTCGGTCGTGTGTGCAAGCCCACTCCCCCCTCCTCCCTTCCCTCTTTGACATCCTCACTTCTCACACCCGGATTTTTATTCTGCCCCTGGACTACTGGAGCCCTTGACCACCCCCCCCCCCCCCCCCCCCCCCCCCCCCGATGGAGTGGGAACTCAGTGTTTACTCGTCATTTTGCAAATCAAACGGCGTGGAAGCCATTGGAAAACTGCCGATTGGCGCAGCTGGAATGCAACGCATCCCTGATTGCGGTTATTGGGAAATCATGGGCTCGCGCTAACGCCGCTCTAAAACCTTGGACCGGCTAAGGAGCCTCATTGACGTTGGAACCCAATGAGGCTGGCGGCTCTCCGAGACACGCACTAAATCAGACAACAAAGAAGGGGCATGCTGTACTGCAGAAGGCAACCTCAACGACACATCTCAATAATGACTTCGTGGACGAACAGAAACCCTTGCGACCAGACTGCCGTCCATTAATCGCCTATCTATAGCGGCACTCATGTAAGAGTACCCATGGTCGAATCTCAAAGGGTTCTAGAGACAAATCAGTCTTCAAAAGGCTTTAAGTCACAAAAAAGAACTCCGTCATCACATCATGTCGAACCTTTCTTTCCCGTCCCAATCTTTTACCATTTCTTCTCAAGGCACCGTTTCTTCCTCCAGCAATAACCCCCCTGTACATAACTCCGCCTCCTCCATCTTTGTATCCCAAGCGCCTCCCCAGTATGGACTTGACAGAGAAGAATAGAACACCCAAAGCCAACGGCATCGCAAAAAAGGCCTCGAAAATGGAAACGGTCATCCATTCAGGAGCAGTGGCCAACACCCTTTCCGAGTAACCCAGTCTGTCTTTGCTGATGTTTGGGGCAAGGAAGAACTCTGGAAAAGACAAAGCAAAACGTAATGTTCATGACGGCGTAAATGCCGACGGATGAGGATCGAAGAAAAATCCCCAAATCCATCTCGACCTCCTAGAAAACAGAAACTCCACTCATCAGGCCGCAGGCCGTCCCGCTCAAAATAGCTCGATCTGTTGTTGAAATCACAAGTTACCGCCCTTTGCATTGCTCCAATCTCGATTACCCTGAAACTTCTGTCGCTGACTGATGCGCTCCGGTATGCTTTCGATGTCAAGTGTTCCTTTTTGACCCGCAGACAATGATATAAAAACAGAGATGCCGCTCGCGAGGCGAGTGATCAGGCCGTAGCGACATAGACTCCAATAAAATAAACTAAACACGTAGCCGCACCATATCTCTACCTTCGTTCTGATGTTCCGATTTCAGTCGGCTAACTCTGGGTTGGTTCTGGGCTAGATGAACAGGGCTTCGTATGCGACAATGCCAGGACATGGTAATAAGTATCGGCATTGAAAGCGCGGTGGTTCCGTCTGCCGCACCTTACAAGGCCGACTGTTCGACACTGATGCATCTTGAAAGCCGGAGCCGTAGCATTGATGCTGACGCCTGGCGACAGGCAAAGAAAGACGTCATCGGGATCTGGGTTCACCTTATTCAATGCATTTGCCCTCGCGCAAGTGATTCTGCTTTCCCTCCTGTGCCAGGAATCCCTCGTGAATCGGTAGGTAGGTAGCCAGGAAAACCTTGGGAGTTTTGTACAGGAGTCTGGCTGGCGCTCACGGGTCGAAACACAGAATCGAAACCACCCCGCGACATGTTGTCATACGGCGTCGGCATGTACTGGTTTTGAGCCATTGGGACGCTGGGGTTCGCGAAGTGGCCTTGTGCTGGTCCGGGTTGTTGCGGAGTAAAGGAATAGACTGAGTTGCCACCAGGAGCAGCTGTACCCCCTTGCCACGTTTGCGTGTACATGCCCGCGGAGGCGGCGTTGGAGTATTCCGTGGGAGATGTGTACATGGAAGATCGTCGATGAGGATCATGAGATGCCGGCACAAGATCTTGAAGTGGCATGCCGGGCGGATGGATACTGTTGCTCTCCACAAAGTGGTGTTCAGGTTGGATATTTGAGGACAGCATTTGAGTTGAATACTGTTGGCCACGCATCGGCATCTCGCTCATGTAAGTGCCACCATGCAGAGGCCCCGCAGGACTGTGGTCGCCGCTGGACGTGTGCAAGAGATCGTGCGGCGCTCCCGTCTTCGTTGGTGATACGCTTGACGTGATGGAGGGATGCTCGTCCTCCTCCTTCACGAAGCCGTTGTCTTCGTTATCAGATGGGTAATTCTCGGGAAACTTGTCCTCAGACATCACAAACACCTGCGTATCGGCGTCTACAGTTCATTAGCTAGAAGCTCCCCTGGCAGAAACGAGAACGCTTACCGATTTCGCCATTCTTATATCGCTCCTCCGCCTTGGCCACTTTGAAGATTTCGTCCAGATATGGCTTCTTCTTCGCGTTTAATTTGTTTTCCTTGTCCGAGAAGAAAGCCGACATTGCCTCCGTAGTAGCGTCTTCTAACTTTTGTACATTCAGGTTCATTTTGCGGATGGCTGGGTGCTGTTTCTCGGGTGGTTCCACAATCATTCGGAGGATGTGACACAAGAGATGAACTCGCTCTGGGCCAGCTGTCAGCGTGTGAACCAAATCCTCGGGCTCTAGCATTTGACCGTACCTCGTTTATAGAGATGATCAGGCTCTTTGTGCCTGACTTTCTCTTCTTTTGTAGGGCCCCATGGTTTCGGCCACCAGTCTGGGGCTTTCTCGTCCTGGCCAGTGTACGGGTGGTTCGTTTGCTTCTTGGGCTCGACAACCTTGACCCACGCTTTGGCGATAAGCTTGCAGGCTGTTTGCTGACAGTTCTTGAATCGTTGTTCGTATAGATTCCACACCTCTTTATGGTCGCCCACCTTGAGGGTTTTCTTCGCATTGGACGTGACCACAATCGCGACATCGTCGTCGTCGTTGGCGGCTCTTCGGTAACCGGCCCCCATCCCTACTCGATGTCTCTTACGCGTCTTGTAGCTGTTGTCCTCGTCGAACACATCGCCACCTAGTCGTCGACGATCTTGCATGCGGTGCCCATAGCCGCCGAAAGCCTGGTGGTATCCATCGCCTTCGAGTCCGAACTCGGAATCATCATGTAAAGGAGTGGCAACTAAACATGTGTTAGAAGGTGAGCAGCCGTGCGAGATATGATGGGATATGTACCAGGACGTACACCACTGACGTGGCTGGCATGGTTGACATAGCGAACAAAGTTCTTCAAGCTGAAAAACTTGCTGTACCCATTAGGTTGGTGTCGTTCTCCCGTATTACCAAAAACCTCTGTGGACCCGTCATCCAACACAGCTACCATAAAGAACTTCTTGGCTGGGATGTTGCAATGATCTCGCAGCGCCTTCTCAATATCCTGGTATTGTCAGCAACCAGCAACGGCTGGGAAGGAACTGTATACACTCACAATCGGGGGTCTGCGAGTATCACGAGATTCGTGGTATCTACCATCGTCGGGGGGTGGGGGGTCAATCGGAAACCGCTCCGGATGCCATTGCCGGGGGTATGGCTCCCGAGGAAAGTCGCGGACCATGACGATGGCACAATCAGCGCAGCAATCAGTTCGACTGACAAGAAAGTTGCGTTCAGTTGCCAAGTTGGAAAGCCTGAGGCGTCGTTCGGGCAGGATTTAAGAGGTTATCGTAAGCAATGACACGTGAGGCGTGTAACGCTGAGGGTCGAATCCAGAAGACGAGAAGTCGAAGACGACGTGCAACTGTTCGAAGGTTAGACCATACTGACACACTGGAATCCACTGTCGAGTATCCTACGTAATGCGGTAAAGGCTAAGGCTTTACAGAGATGATTGTCATGTGGCAGAAGTATAGGTGCAGAAAAGGAGCATCGAGGTCAGATATCAATGTGGTCGAGTAGTTTCCAGGCCCGGAATACTAGTAAATGATGGCCAGCGGGCAATGCTCAAGCCAGAAGCGCGACGTAGTTCGTCAAGAGTTGACGGAGGTGTGCCGAATTTCGTGCGAGGGTAAACGCAACAGAGAGTCAATCTCGTCTCGGTGCCTGTTTAGCTAGTGCTGGCTAAATATCCCGAAGCCGATCCGAAGAATACCTGGCGGATTGGGACCAGAACAGGACACACAAAGTGTTGATACAGCTCACAAGAAAAGAAGCGGGATCTCGCCTGATATTGTCGAAGGTTGGCGGAGCGAATGGCTTCCAAACGGAGAGCCAGAGGCAGAGAAATTGCCCAGTGTTGTATTGTGGCTGAAGAGACGAGATTGACGGCCCAAGTGATGGACACGACGAAGAAGATGGGTGGTGACTTGTCAGCGGGCGCTGCTGGTATTTGGGAAGGGAGTCGGCGGAGACGGCAGGATTGGGGGCGGTCGAAACAGATCTATCAGCTTGCGAAACTGGGCGCCGGGAAGGACCTCAAAATCCTCTTTGTTTCCAAGATGACTTGAGACATCGGGGGGAGAAGCCTCTCCACTGGTTCGCGATTTGTCTTAGAGCGCAACTCTCCACGCAATGTCTCGGGGATAATGTGTAGACCAGGAGAGAGAAAGGCTGAGAAGTGAGAAGAGTTAGGGGAACAGCCAGCAAGACGCGTTTGCGATCTCAACCAAGAGGACAACAAGAGTACGGATACGGCTGTCTTCGGGAAGAGAAATCAAGAAGAAAGAGCCAATGACCACAGGCTGGAGGATGAGGGCCCTAGATGAGGACAAGGCTCGCGGGCTGAGGTGGATCTTGGAGGAGGGATGGGCCTGCGAGGCGAAGACGAGTTGAGTTTGTCGACGGGTCCAGTACTTTCGTATTGATCTGACTTAGGGCTTCTTAGTGCACCTCGATTTGCTGAGGTATGTGAGAGCTAATTGGGGAGTGCGAGCGCAAAGTGGTGTCCCGCAAGCGAGGGGGTGAACAGCGAGACCACCGATGACTTGAGGTCGAGACCAGTATCCGCAGCAGTGGAAACAAGAACGAGCCGAGAAGCAGGAAGTCAGCCCAAAAGGGACCCTGGTCTAGTCGAGGGGATATTTCTACCCTCCTTCAAGCTTTGGTTGAATGGTTGGTAGGAGACTAGGAACGAACAAGCTGCAGAAGTAACAAAGTTGACCCGTATGAATGTCAGAGGGAAGTGCAGCTAGGTTGCGGAAAAAGGGTGGATACACACGCCTGAAGCAGGACAGTAGGTCTTCCGACACGAGACTGACGACGGTGGGGAAGGAGAGAGAAAAAGAATTAAACAAATAAAAATAAAAATAAAAAGGGTTTCTCAGGTAAGCCTTTGAGAGGTGTGGTGGAATGTGGCCAAGGTACTTATGAAGTTGTGCAAGGGGAAAACTCGCGGGTACCTATTCGAGGGCCCTCCCTGGTCCGCAATCCTGATAAGGTGTGGCAGGTGCCGGTCAGAGAGAGAGGGAGAGGGTGTTGGATGATCCCATACACCACCAAACTCGAAGTTCCAATGTGTCCTGCAGGTGACCACACCCACCCCCCTCCCAAGGCAGCCCCCAGGCTCTCCTGTCGTGTTTGCGCTACTGTGAGTAGACGAGGTTGTCCAAGTACAGTACCGAGCAAATACTGCTCGCATCTTCGTACATACATGGCCTGTACCAGACCCAATACGGCCATGCGTGGTCAAACACACGGATCCCCAGCCGTCTCCCGACAAGGAGTCCACCATGTGCTGTCACTTGCAAGATTTGTGAAGGGCGGGCGGGCGATCCTCGTGGCCCTGGTCGCTCTCCCCAGGCCCCCACTGTCTACACTTTACAAAGCGAGGGAGTACCGCAGTGAGGTCCGCAAGTCGAAGACTCTGATCGGTCACAACCCGGAACGCATGGGTTTGTAGTTGTCTCTTCATCTATCTGGTTCCCAGTTACCCTCAAGATCTTCATGAGCATGGCGTCTCGAGTCTGGGTTTCGAAGAGGCAATTAGGGAAGCAACCACGTGGGGTCCACAGGTCGACGTGAGTTTCCAGCACGACGGCCGTAACGAGTACTAAGGCACCCATCTGCTGGAAGGTTCGGCAGGTGCTTGGGTCGCGCTTTTTTGAGCTGCCAAACATTCTTCCCGGTGGTGTTGGGGAGATACTGGCAAAAATGATAATTTGTGTGAGTGCATGAAGGTGTGGGAGTGACCCCATGTCGATGAGCAGGGGTTGCAGTGAGACAGCGGTGGACCGGGCTGAACGGCGCATCGGTCGGCAAGAGCCTCGCCAGCCATACGGGTCTCCGGAACTACTTGACTGGCTGCATTTTTGGACGCTGATTGCATCATGTTTAACCCGGTGCTGTTTATCTCAGGACTTTCTTTTTCTCTCTCGATGGCTGCTGCTATCTAAGAATGCCTGAAATACTCCCTTGGGCCCTTCTGTGCGCCTCCTAGGATGTCCGTATCATGGATGTCGAACAGCATGACGACTACGAGGGGCCGTGGTGGGGTGGTAGTCGCCAACGTAGCGACACTGTCCACTGTCTCGAGACTTTCCGATTTGCATTGGCCGGCAACGCTCGAAGGATAAATGGTGGGCCGAAGCCAGAAAAACAAATAGCAGTTTGTTGTGTTTAGCTCGAGATCGAGGCGGCAATATGTGCGACCAGCAGCTTGCCGTTCGGTGTATGCGAGACGCAGGGCTGGAATCGAAGCAAACCAAGGAGATTCCGAACAGAAGAAAACCCTCTCCTACAGAATTGGATGAGACCTCAGCCCTTGTTCGGTCGATTGCGAATGCGTAGCGACAACTTGCTGGTCAACTGGTTGCCAGACAGTGTACGATTTTCGAGCGGCGTTTCACTTTGAACTGGTTTGTGGACGAGAGCAGCTGCAATCGTGGGTGGACCGCCACGCGGCCACAATATGAGTCCTTGACTCAAAGGTCCAGCTTGCCCGATGCAGGTTCCCTGGAAGCGATAGCGTGTTCTTCGTGACAAGGCTAACGTTCTGCCCATAACCAAGCTGCGGGCGGGCTTTCGGGCTTTGAGAGTGGAATTAGTACTGTACAGTATTGAGCTACGTAGTTAGCCAAAGGCTCGCTGGAATTCAGGGGGGAGAAGACCACACAGCCCGAAATCGTCCAGACCAGCTCACTGTTGCAGAGCGGGGATTTCTTGTTGGTAACTTTGGATGTGGTTCGTTCTTGGTGGACAGGTTACCCCTTGCGTCAGAACGGGATTTGGGCGGGGGCTAGGTACCTGAGCAAAGGCCGCTATGCGAGTCCGTCGTCGTCGGCTTGACTGTTTGTTTTTTGACAGTTCAGGGCCAGCTGCGGGAAGCGGTACGGCGCGGAAGTTAGTACGTTGGATGGCAGGCAAACAGTTTTTGATGGGGGCCCGGCGCCCCATCGACACCGGTTCCCTACTTGTCGCCCTCGTCGCCCTCGTCGTTGTGATCGTCGGGGGGGTTGGGGTTGATAGGGAAGTGTCCATGCCAACGGTTTCATCCGGTAATCCCAGTGGCTAAGTGCTCAGAGGCCCCGGCAAGACAAAGTGACAGAGGTCCGAGGAAGGCTAGCTGTTAATTCGCCATGCATCAATACCTTTCCGTCGGCCACAATCGATGGCAAGTCGTCAACGGAAGGTCAGGGCAAGTTGTGAAGCTGGGGCCGCAAGATGGGATGAAGCCTGCAGTAGGAGCGGATCAGAACCAAACATAGCGTGGTCGGGGGATGGTTCCGAACGGGGGTCGGCCTGTCGGCGTTTCGCCCTGGCGTCCCCTCGCATGCTGGAGGCGTGTGATTCAGGGCCGGACCTCATTGTACCGATACCTGAGGGATTGTTAGCTCCTGGCAGAGCGAGAAGGACATTATCAATGGCAAACACCAGGGCAGGCCTCACTAACCGAATCACCAATAGCAGAAGACGGCGATTCGCCAACCGACGGTTACTGCTGTACATCGGGGGCTCGACCCATGCTGACCCAGCCGGGACAGGCAATAAGAAAGGTTCGGTTCATTGTGGAGAAGAGTGGACGGGGCTCAACGGGCTTCATACCAGTCTCGAGGAGCCTTATGGATACTCTTCAGGCGTAGGAATTCCAGAAACGTTGGAAGCCGAGAAACGCATGTTTGCTTCCTTTACAGAAACAGGGAAGGTGGTTGGCGGCGGACGGTGGGTTAGACCTTTTGTGAGTCCCCCGGGTATCTGGTGTACGGTGTTCGTACACTACAGGTATGCGTGGGGCATGGGACGAACAAATGGGGGGTGGAACGAAGCGGTACGTACTGACCAGGTAGGTTGGTACCAAGGTGTCCCGTTGGACGGACTGCGGTCCCGCAAAGTAGCCGGCCATCGCCCGATCGTGTTGTGTTGTAAGGGCGCATTCGATGCACTGACAATTCGTGCGTGTATGCACAGAGGAGAAGTGGTCGTCCAGGGACGGAAGCCCGCCAGAGAGACGGCCGTTGAGAGGTAAGTGTGGGCTGGGCAAAAGACGACGAAATGGATGGATTGTTGACCAAAAGGGAACAGCAGGAGTGTGAGCCGAGAGAGGAACTGCTAGAGGACGATCATGAAGTTGAGCAGGAAAAAGGCGGGGGCGACGGGACGACGACAGGTCATTTAGGATGGCCG